CTGTAAGTGTTTTTAAATGCTCCAGCCGCCAAAAAGGATAAACCTGTTGCTGATTTTGAAATCCAGTAAGGTACAGAAGCAAAGACATTCCTGCCAACTCAAAATTCACAGCTATTTTCCAGACCTTTGTATATGGATTTCTCAAACCTTTCTGACCAACTCACTGAAGATAAATTCCTCCTTGAGAGTCAAATACACACACACACACACACACACACACACACACTTATATATGAACTGAAAATGGAGCTCTAAATCAATTTCTCCTACTGAATTAACACAAAAGAAAAAAAAAGTTTTGTCTCCATTCTAAATAGCCAAGGCTACACTGGCTCTCATATTAATTATACAGCATAATGGTTTTCACATGGGTCGGTAAACAGGCATCTATTTTGATCAATAACAACTTATTAAAACCCTTAATAAATAACCATCTTTTCACTACATCAACAACGAAGAGTACCCACTTTCTCTACTCAACGAATTAAGAATTGAGGTACAAATCCAGACTACGCAAATGTTTTTGTTTTTTAATTTTCAGTCGCACTAACATGCAATCAGTTCTTACAGATAAAGGTGCTGTGCAGAAGTAAAATGATTCTGGGTATTTCAGTGAGGGTAAATTACTACTGGAAAAAGTTAACTTCCCTTACAGAAGCAGCATCGAAAAAAACAAAGACGGTTGCCCTAGACGCACACAATCAGCAAGAAATGACCTTAGATCATTTAATCCAAACACCTCATAATCAGATGAAGCAACTCCAATACCGAGATTAAGAAATCTGCCCATGGGGGAGATAAGAGATCAACCGCAGGACTTGTATACATACATATAAGTACAACCAATGGACACAAAACTCTGGGGAGGGAGAGCATGTATGGGAGGGGGGAGCAATGTAAGTATGTACACAAATAATGTAAATAAATAAATAAATAAATAAATAAATAAATAAATAAATAGAAATCTGCCAACCCAGGTCCTCTAAAACCTATACACCCAGGATTGTCCCCCTGGCATTCCACATCTTCTTGCAGACTTCCCAGTTCTAAAACTGATTCCTTTACTAATTTTACAAGACTGTGCTGATGTGCTATAGACGTGACGACAGTCACCCCCACCCTCACACCAACCTTTTCCTTTGCACCTCCCTACTTCTCTCCCCGCCAGCCTCCATTACTGATGTGCAGAATGAAAGAAACAAAAACAAAAACAAAAAAATGCCCGGCTGCCTGAATGTCTGGCCCGTTAGGTGCAGAGTCCTGAGCCCCGAGTGACTGTTTCCGTGTTAAATCAATCGGCCTTTTTTTAACCCTTCGCCCTGGATCCAGCAATACCTACCCAGGGCCGACCTGGCGACAGCGCCGTGCACGCCGCTCTCCAGCCCCCGGGACCCCGCAGCCGGGGCGCCGGGGGATCGGGGAGCCAGGGGGCCGGGGAGCCCGGGAGCCGAGAGACCGGGAGGCCGGGGAGCCCGGGGAGCCGGGAGGCCGGGGAGCCGGGGGGCCGGGGAGCCAGGGGGCCGGGGGACCGGGAGGCCGGGGGGCCGGGAGGCCGGGGAGCCGGTGCGCCGGGGGGCCGGGAGGCCGGGGAGCCGGGGGGCCGGGAGGCCAGGGGGCCGGAGCGCTGGGGAGCCGGGGGGCTGGGGGGCCGGGAGGCCGGGGGGCCGGGGAGCCAGGGGGGCCGGGGAACCGGGGGCCGGGAGGCCGGGGAGCCGGGCGGCCGGGGAGCCGGGGGGCCGGGGGCCGGGGGGGCCGAGGGGCCGGGGAGCCGGGGGGTCGGGGGGCCGGGGAGTCGGGGGGCCGGGGAGTCGGGGGGCCGGGGGAGGGGGCGGGCGGGCGGGCGGGCGGCGCGGGGCCGGGCCGATCGGGGCACGGGCTCCGGGGACTCACCTTTCCGCAGCTCCCGCTCCCACACGGTGACGATGGGGCGCGAGTGCTTGCGGTGGTGGATGAGCCACAGGGACAAGGTCTGCACGCTCTGCTGCGAGTTGCTCAACTCCGACAGCTTCTTCTCCAGCGCCGCCTCGGAGAAGGCGGACATGCCGCCGCGCTCCCGCCGCCGGCCGCACGCGGTGGGGCCGAGGGGAGGAGAGTCTGGCCGCACTCGCCGCGGCCTCGCCCCCTCACCCCACCCTTCCCCACGCCCCAGCCGCCGCCGGCCAGACGCCCGGGACCCACGGCGAGCCAGCAAGATGGCGCCCGGCCGGATGTGACGTCCCGGAAGAGGCGGGACCTCAGAGGCACAGGCGGGGCGGAAGCAGCGCAGGGGCGGGGCGTGCCGCGGGTCTGAGCAGGGCTGGTGGGCGGGGTCTGCCGGGCATAGTATCCTCCTGGGCCTATGGGAAAAGTCTCAGAACCAGGAAAGGAGTCATAGCCCTGAATGGTTTGCCAGAGTGGATAGAGTGTTGGCTTGCTGACTGAAAGGTCCCAGGTTCGATTCTGGTCAAGGGCATGCACCTTGATTGTGGGCATATCCCCAGTAGGGAGTATGCAAGAGGCAGCCGATCAATGATTCTCTCTATTAAAAAATCAATAAAATATATTGGAAAGAAAAGTGATTAAAAATCTCTACGTGGGCGTGTAAATTGGTATAGGCATTTTGGAAGACTATTTGAGGTCTGGTGCACAAAATTCATGCATAGGGAGGGGGTGTCCCTCTAGTCTTTTATATAATGAAAGCAAATTGAATCTTTTCCCATAAATATTCATCTTTTCTTTTGTGCATTCCTCCTAGCCAAGAACAGAAATACCTCTACATTTATTCAAATATTAGCAGTGTTTTGGTTGTCCTCATATAGATCTTGCATAGGTATGTTAAAGAAAAGTAGTTTTTAAGTTGACATGTAAATAAAAACTAACATTTGAACATCATTTCTAAATTACTGTCACTGTAAAAATTGGAAGTTTCATCAAAATTCCACAAGGCGGCGGACTGGTTCCATTATATCTGGCTTGTGAACTGATTTAAATACATTGTATTAATAGATATTCCCAGTATCGGTAACCTCAAATATAAAAAAGCTTTCTAAGTCAACACAAGAAATCTACAAGTATTTTCTCCAAGAAACAGCTTTACAAATGATGGTTAATTTTGTAGATCAGTTCAAAAGCTTTTTACTTTTTTTAAAAAAAGCTTTTTATTAAATTAGCTAGAGAATTTTACATTTAAACTACACTTAAGAGGTAATTTAATTATATAATACTTACCCAAGTGCAAATATCTTTATCCTTGGCTTCAAAAAGCCCCACAGCAGTGGGAATTTAAAATGATGCAGTTGCTATGGCAAATGGTATGGCAGTTCCTCAAGCTAGTAAACATGTAATTATATGAGAGGCCCGGTGCATGGATTCATGCACAGGTGAGGTCTGGCTGGCCTGCCCTAATCAGGGCTGATCAGGCTGGGCTGGCAGGGGGAACAGGCTGCAGGATGTTGGCTGGCTGGCCCCATCCCATAGTCAAACTCCAGGTGGAGTGGACAATTTTCATATTAGCCTGTTTTATATAGGATATGGCTCAGCAATTCCACTTGTGGGTAAAGAACTGAAGCTGAGACCCCTTTTGCAATCCGGGAACCCTTGGGGGATGTTGGAGAGCCAGTTCAGCCTGATCCTGCAGGCTATTCCCCTTGGGAGGATGCCAGATGCACCGATGCAGGGCATGGCTGGTGAGCGCTGCTGAGGCACTAGACTCTCCCGATCAGGGATCTGGACTGATTGGGTGCGAGACCACAGCAGGCACAGCGGGACCAGGATGAGTGGGAGCAGCAGGTGGGAGCTGAAGGCCGCGTTGGACTGCGGGTTTTGGCCCGATCCCTGCAGGCCACCCAGAGGGACCCCACCCGAGCACCAATTTGTGCACTGGGCCTCTGGTACATTTTAAAATGTTCAAGATGGTTAAAAGAAATATCAGACACTTAATATCAAGATATCATGGGGATTTTATTTTGTAGAAAAGCAACATCTAAAGAATTTCATATAGCCCTAGTATGTCTAAAGTACTCTACATATACAAACATGAGAATTGCTCATAATGACAACACTGAAGCACTGAAAGATACCAAAGGACTTACTGAATACAGAGGTCAAGATAAACTCAGGATGGTTTTAATGTCCTTTTCTCAAAGTCCTAATATGCTGACATTTGGTAAACCAGTTAACTATCCAATTGCAACTTCAGGCAATATATAACTTGGTGATGTCTAAGTCTTCTGGCAATACAGAAATTTGCTCACACTCATCTGGTATATCTCCAAACAAGTATTTTAAAATTCAAATTTCTTGTTCAAGTGGTAGTGTGTTTGAATTCATTAATTATATTTAGACGTTTCCATGATACTAAGTTAAATGTACAACTAAATCAGTAAAAAGTGCTTACTATGGTTTTATGGGAACATTAATACCCTGACAAAAATGGTACACATGTACACTACACCAATATTGCCTTTTTAATTTAAATCTAAATTTTCCTTTTATTTTATAAACACTTGTGTGAATTTTTAAAAATAAATTTATGCCTTTTTAGTTCTCACATATTTTTTGCTCCTCCTTATTTCTTAACTTAAATTCAGTACAAGCTTTATTGGTATCTGAGGCTTCATGTATATTCTTACTCCTGAACACGAGCAGTTCTATGGAGGCCTAAAATCCAGCATGGGAATTACTGTTAAATTCGTTCTAGGAAAAAACATTAAAGACATCTTTCTTGAAATATACAGAACATGTCATGCCAAATCTCTTGTTTATACAATAGACTGGTAAAACCGGTAAATTGCATATATAGATTATATTCCCAAAATAGAATAACTTAAATATTAAAATGTACCGTTGGGTTACCACCATAACTGACCTTATAAGCATAACAAGTGGCAATATTCCATTCGAAAATCACAAAATCCACTTACTTTAAATGCTACATATCATAGTAACTACGCTCATCTCCCTATGACCTATTCAAACTATAAACAGCATTTTTTTAAGCTACTCTACCATTTATACCCTAATTAGAAATTTATACGAAACACAATTTTATGTTCAAATATGGAAATGAGCAACATTATTCCAAATCCCAAAAGCATCCCAGCATTCTGTAAAAGGAAATATCCCCAGCGGCTACATCCATGGTCACTAGCATCATTGTGCAGCATCTCAGGTACCTTAGAGAAGAAGAAAAAAGAAAAAAAAGAGCAACATTAAGTTTATAAAACTACAGATTAGTTTTTATAAGCCTTTGTAGGATAGTTTATTTGTACTATATGTAGCTGGATATACTGAGTTAATTCCTTAAAACAAGACCACATACATACTGATTCTTGCTAATGTCACATAGCATTTCCTAGCAGTTTAATTAACAATGATTATTTACCATTTGCTTAGCAAGTCAAATTTATATTTGGTCCCATTTGCTCCCGCTTCATGCCTGTATCTGAACAGACTGTAACTTATGGCTTACCCGAGTTCAGATATATGAAAACCTTAAGCTATAAAAATAAAATTTTAGAGCCCTGGCCCATGTGGCTTGGTTGGTTGAGCGTTGTCCCGTGCACCAGGAGGTCTCGGGTTTGATTCCTGGTCAGGGCACGTGCCTGGGTTGTGGGCTTGAGCTCCAGTAGAGGACGTGCAGGAGGCAGCCAATGAATGGTCCTCTCTCATCAATGCTTCTCTCTCCCCCTCCTTTCTTCTGTCCTTCTCAAATCAATAAAAACATTTAAATCAGAATGGGGTAGATATTTCTCTACATCCTCAGACACATTACGCAGGATAAGGATGTGCTTGTGATCACCAATTTAAAAAGATAAGCTCTAAACTAAAGGAACTATATTTTACATTCTACCTTGTTGAGTATAGGATGACTTATCACTACTGCATTTAATCTAAAGCCCTTTTAAAAATAAGGTTTCCCTAAACAGTCTATTTTATTGCTAGTCAATACTATAATTTGACAAACTTACCATATCAACCAGAGCAACATACATGAATAAGCCAGCAGTAAGTGCAAATATCCACATAGAAACATTTTCAGCATAATGACCAATGAAAATTCCTGTTGCCATTCCAAGATATGCCAGCATGGCTGACAAAGCATTATAAAGAACAGCCTGCTTAACAGTCATGCCAGCCTTTAGTAAAACAGCAAAATCACCTTTAACGAAAACAAAAAAAGGGGATTAAGTAATTGAAAAATCATTTTAAAAACACATACCTACGACTTTGCCCTGGCCAGTGTTCTCAGTGATTAGAACGTTGGCCCATGGACTGGAACAGTGGTCGTCGACCTTTCAGTCCTCATGGGCCACCAGTGGTCCATGGTCCACCGGTTGACAGCCACTGTTCCAAATGTTAAACCAGCGGTCGCCAACCTTTTGGACCTCATGAACCAGTTAGTAACCGCTGGACTGGAGAATCTCTGGTTTGATTCCCGGACAAGGGCACATATCTGGGTTGTAGATTGGATCCTGGCCCAGGTCAGGCACATGCAGGAGACAACCAATTAATGTGTGTCTCACATCTGTTTCTCTCTCTCCTCCCACTTCGCTCCTCCCTTCTGCTCTCTCTAAAAATAAAAAATAAAAAAATATCCTTGGGTGAGGATTAACAAAACAACAACAAACAAAAACAAAAATAGCAACACATACCCAAAAGACTTCACAGATTTAACAAATTACCTAAAATTTTTTAGAAATTATCTAATTTTTAAGAGGAAAAATTATCTAATTTTTAAGGTGTAAATCACCCTAACAGCTCCATAAACTAAGATTTTTTTTTTTATCCGAAGTTTTTCTGAACGTTCCCACTTTGTTAGAGTGATACAAACCTACTATTACTATGCTCTTACACTGTCTTTAAGGAGCTTATAATAGGCCATAAAGAGGAGCGTGGAGAACACACATGAAATGAGCAGCAAATGATAAAGGCAATTTATAACTAAGAGCTAAAGAGTTTAATGTTCTAGTCATACAAGGAGAAAATGAGATACATTACGATGGGAATAGGTAAGGCTTCATGGAGCATGAAGGATCCAGAACAGAACAGAAACTAGATGCTGATTATAAGCACTAAGCAGGCAAGTGGGAGGCCTTCTGAGTAGCAGAACTCATGGCAAGGAAGGGAGTGAAAACAGTGTCGTGGTGTGTGCAAATATGTGTTTATAGGGAAAAAACAAGGACATGACTGGGATCCAGAATAACTTTGGGGTTTTTCTTCAGCTCTGAAGAGATTCTCTCTGTTAAGAGAAGATGATTCATTTGATTCCCGTGGTCTGATTCACATTGTGTTTGCAGAAATGACCACTGAGGTCAGCAGTATGCTGGCCTATGAAATAGTAGGGGAAGAGAATGCGAAAGGAGGCCCAGGTACCTCTTTGGCAACCCCACATGGGCAATTGTGTAATTGTACTTATGGGGTCCGAGTTCTGGCTGGAAACAAACATACACCGATTAAAAAAAGAAAGCTAGCTAGGTTAGCAGACTTATGAGAAGGCATAGAAGTTATGAAGAAGCAAAAGCTAGTGACACTCAGAAAATTTAGCCACCTGGAAAATACCATTTATATGGTTCTCTTACCTAATTCATGAGGCAACTCGTGACAAAACACAGCGACAGAAGTACTTAAACCGCTAGATAAACCCTCAGTGAAAGCAGCACCTGTATAAAAATCAACCAGAAAAAGACTGACTACATTATTTTATGGGTGTGTTTCTAAAAAAACAAACAAACAAATAAATAAATAAATCTTACCAGCATACAAAATGAGGTAAAAGAAATAAACCGTATTCTGGCTGTGAATAAACAGAACTTTCCCAACGGCACTCTGTATCTTTGTAAATAATTTCAGATTACACTCAATTAGGTTTAAATGGCCAACGGAGCTCATGCTTAAGAAGGGAAAGCTCCACTACACATTAACAGTGATTAGATAACCTTACAAAAACCTGAGAATTGCTATGTCATCAAACACTTATTTATTGATTTTTTTTATTTTTTTTTTACAGAGAGGAAAGGAGAGAGATAGTTAGAAACGTCGATGAGAAAGAAACATCGACCAGCTGCCTCTTGCACACCCCCAACTGGAGATGTGCCCGCAACCAATGTATACTACATGCCCTTAACTGGAATCAAACCTGGGACCTATCAGTCCGCAGGCCGACGCTCTACCACTGAGCCAAACCGGCTTTGTCCAAACACTTATTTAAAAATATAAAATAAACTGATTTAAAAGGTTTAGAAAAAAACTCATCAGTAAAGAGTACAAATCGCTTCACTGGCCTCAGAGGAATTCACTACGTAATCAGACTTGTTTACATTCATTCTTTCATTGCCTCATAAAAAGAGTCTAAGACAAATAGCTCTTCTCCTTTTAAACCTAACTTATTTTACAGCTGGTCAGGTATAAACCATGACTTAGTACTTGAGTGTTCTCTTTTGTTGCTTCTGATGTGCACAATTCACAGAGGGGGAAGAGCACCAGGCTCCCAGGGAGCCAAGGCCTGGGCTCATCTCAAACAGCACTATCTCCTTGGGCAAGTGGTTCACCTTGCCAGGCCTCAGCTGCCTGGTTTATAGCTATTTCCATGGTTCCTTTTAGCACTAAGCTACTAAAATTTTTAAGTATTCTATAACCTCCTATTGTGGTATAACAACTTAATAACAAAAACTCTATAATTCTTTGGATAGAGATTGGTAACTGAACTTATCAGAAATAGAGTCCTTTATAGCATGAAAGAAAATGTGATAGAACAGATTCTTTTACTTTAATAAATACTATTTATATTGCAGATAAGTGAACTTAAATGATTAGGGGACAAAAGCTCACACATGCCCCAAACACATTGGAACTTGATCTTAAGACCTTGCAAATTAAAACAACTTTTGGTAGTTACAATATAGGTAAATGTCAAAGTAGCCAAACAAGAAACAACATTTTGATAATCAACCAATAAGAGGCAAATATGTAGATGTATACCAATTGCTAGGCCATCGCTGAAATTGTGCAGGCCATCGCCCATTATCACCATCCATGCCAGTGTGGCGATGCCAGCATCTTTCAGCTCCTCCCGAGAGTATCGCTGGCTGTGGCTGTGGGGGTGGTGGTTTTGGTGGTGGTGGTGATGAAGAATATGATGGTAGTCATGATGGTGGTGAATGAGGTCATCTGACTGGCCCAGGGTATCGTGGAAATGCGAATGGCATTTGTTCTTGCACCCTTTGGGTACGTATTCATTATAGACTTCCTGTGGATGTGCATGGGCTATCATGACCTCTTCTTCTTCCAAGATTGCTGGCTGCTGAGAGTCAAAATGGGAAGGCTCCTGTGTGTCTGCTCGTAAATAGCTTTCAGGTCCTGGGTATAAACAAAAAGGACACGTTTCAAACAGTTCCACTGACAATAAAGGCAAAAAAGATCTTAAAATGGAGCAACTATCTCCCATATACCTGAAGGACTAAACATTAGAGTATTATTGTTTTTTATCATACATTTTTTTATTGCTTTCAGAGAAGAAGGGAGAGGGAGAGAGAGATAATCATTGATTGGCTGCCTCTGGGCATGTGCCCTTGACTGGAATCAAACCTGGGACCCTTCAGTCTATAGACCAACAAACATTCTATCCACTAAGCCAAACCCAGCTATGGCCATTAGAGTATTATTGATTGGGGGGGGGGGGAATTAATAGGTTTTAATGAATTTTAAAAATTAAATGGTCTCACATATCAAGAGTAGATATTAAACACTAATCTGCAATAACCACTCCCCAGATCCTCCCTTAATTTCTTCTGCCTCCTTACAAACAATCTCCTCACTGGCAATTAAAAAAAGTATGAGTCAAAAAAAAAAAAGAAAGAAAAAAGCAGGGAGGGGGGGCACGGGATGGGACACACACACACACACACACACACACACACACACACACACACGACATAGTCCCATCCTTTCCATACAGTCCGAGAAGAGCAATGAATTCCCTCCAACTCTCAGATTCATAAGGACTTACGATCATCTGCGTCTACTTTTTCCTCATTTGTTGAAAGTTGAGATTCATACTTGGACAGCCGCTTCTTAATCTCCTCGTCATCATCATTTTCAGTTTTTTTCTGATTCTAACATAGCAAGGGAAAGAAATACTTTAAAATAGTTGGGTTGCTTATGTGTACAACTTTCAATAGACACTTACGCAAAACCTGCAGAGTAACAAACTTTCATTGGAATAAAGGCCACCAAAAGGACAGGGCATACGCTTAGCTTGCACAGCACCCAGCAATGTGTCCTAGGCACAGTAACTGTTCAAAGGGTGAAGAATCAGTGCCCGGTGATAGGAAATGCAGAAAAATCACATTCATCTTTATGAATGTCCTCGAGGTCGTCTATCCTACGTGCGGTATTCCGTACGCTGCACACCATCTCAGACCCAATGAATCAGATGGGGATTTAACTAGATCCCGTGACTCACATACACATTAAAAAGGAGTTCTGTCTCAGGTTATCAATGTAGAACCAGCCAGAGAGCATTTTCTTCAGGCATTTAGTGATCTGCTAGTGCTAGGTTTCCTCCATCTCTCCTTTGTATGCTGAAAACCCATACTTCCCATACTTTTTACATCCCAAAACTACACTGTGACATTGCTATGTGTTAGTTATATTATTATAACTAAAATACTCTTCCGATAACATAACACCATTAACAAGCTTTCTCTCTTTAAATAAATCTCAGGTAGCCTTGAATTTATAATCAGGGTTTTTAACCACTATGCTTGAGATGCTGCTCCTATCTCTGAGCCCGAGCATAAGGTCACTGTTTAAAACAGTGGTCGCCAACCTTTCGGACCTCATGGACCACCAGTTGGCCACTGCTGGTTTAAACAATGGTAATACTTATATAGAAGACAATATTCAAAATATTAAAAATGTCACACAAAAATTACATTTGTAGTACCTATAAATATGACTTAAACAATCACTATTATACCTAAGATTTCATTCTGGTTCTGACAGTGTGTAAGATATCTGAACATTCTGACAGTGTGTAAGATATCTGAACATTCTTACAGTGTGTAAGATATTCATCCATTCTGTGGATGAAAAAGAGGCTCTAAAATGAGAACGTAACCTCTCAGGGCAATTGATCTGATCATAACTGTCTAACTGGGAAGGTTATGGTATAGAACTTCCCTAGTGAAAGGTTACCTGTCCATTGTTTTTGTACATCTGCTAACACACCTTTGAAATGCCTTTTTCATATACTTTAGGAATGGAACCAGAACCACTTCAGGAGAGCACATAATCTTGTCAACCATCCTGTACTGAATCACAGATATTTCCTGCCTTGCCCTTTCACTTAAAGTAATCTTCCTTACTTCCCTCCTTAATTCCAAATGCATTAAGGAAATTGCAAACCCTCATTCTGGGAAGCACCGTTCTCAGTCTGATGAGATCCTGCTCCCAGGCATGTCCTGTTTGGCTCAAATAAATTCTGATAAACTCATAAAATGTTCACAGCTTTAAATGTTCTTATGTCAACAGGCTGTAAGAATTTTGAAAGGCAAGCACACAAACAAATCTTTATACCTACCCTTAACACAATACCTCAAACAGAGGAAGTATTTAAATATCTGTGAATATAAACAATTCAGGGTATTTTAAATAACTTTACTTAATCTTCATTTCTCATTGAGCAATGACTCTCTCTAGAACTTACAAATTTTTTTTTTTTATGTTTTATTGATTTTTTACAGAGAGGAAGGGAGAGAGACAGAGAGCCAGAAACATCAATGAGAGAAACATCGACCAGCTGCCTCCTGCACACCCCCTACTGGGGATGTGCCCGCAACCAATGTACATGCCCCCGACAGGAATCGAACCCGGGACCCTTCAGTTCGCAGACTGACGCTCTACCACTGAGCCAAACCGGTTTCGGCGAACTTACAGATCTTAATGAATTCTTTTATTCTTTAAGTATTAAGGGCCTATCATGTTCCCATTGCTTAGCACTGGCAATACAATGTAAAATAAGAAACAAAGAGTCTCTGTTCTCACGGAGAACAGTTCAACATCAAACTTTCTGCCAGTAAAGGTTATTGCTCATGCTGGAAATCTGAGACTCATCAATGATATCTCCCTCCTCCTCATGTTCAACCTAGTTTTATTAAATATATCTAGAATTTTTCCTTTCTCTCCATCTTCCTTGCTATTCTAGTCTTTAGTGACTTCCCTGGTCACATCAGGAGGCAAATAACCACAGGCAACCCAAAAGTTATTTTTGCCAGAAATAAAGTCTACTGTTTGGCTTCCTACTATTTTCTAGAGGAAATTTGCAAAGATCATATCTGAAAGCTACATATCCTTAAAAAAACAAACAAACAAGCAGAATATCTAGCTACTAGATAAATAATTAAGAGTTAATCACATAATCATAACTACCAATGAATATTGATGGTATATCCATGGTTTTTCTTAAATCACTTTACTGGGGTATGATTGAGATATAAAGAGCTTTACATATTTGATGTATATAATTCAGAGAGTTTGGGGATAAGTATACACCCATGAAACCAGCAGGGCCATCCATAATCATGAATCTTCTGATCTCCAAGGACTTGTGCTCTGTTTGGTCATTTATATAAATGTTTATCCTTGCCTTTCTCACTCTTCTCATGAGTTTGAAGGGAATTCTGTAGAGAACTCCAGCATTATAAAGATACAAACTTGCTCTCCATTAATGTCTCTCAGAGCTAAAAGAATCTCAAAAATGCTCAATACCTCTCAAACAAAGATCATATGCCCAGGACAAGCTCTGCTAACAGTGTAGTTAGAATACTACTCTAAATAAATGTTTGATGCATAGTAAGTACTTAGTATACTTTTCCTTACCTTTTTCTTCTTATCTTTAAATTGCTTGATCAATGTGAGTACATGTTCAACAAGAAACATGAGATACAAGCCTCCCAGAGCTGTGAGACCCTTCCATGTGGAATCAAAATAGGTACTTTCTTCTATGTTTTGAGAAGACAGATAACTGAACAGTGGCCCTCTCTTCATCTCCACTGCTGTTTCTTCATGGCTGTGACTATGGTGGTGACTTGCATGAGACTAAAAGCAAAACACCATACATTTTATAAATTCATTAGTTTCACACGTCAGAAAAACTGCCTAAGGTCCAATTTGAAATAATTCAGAATTAGGTAATTAAAAGGATACTTTGGGAAATTTAGGACATTTAAGTAACAGGGAACTGCTAGACTTAATAGGTCTGTAGAGATTACTGCTTCCACTCCTTGCTAAAAGGCTCATTCCACTGTCATCCATGTGCTTACAAGAAGCCCAATCTATGTAATGAGCTCTGGCAAGTACCTGATCCAGGGTCACTGGCCAGTGGCCTTCAGGGTGCAGCAGAGACTATGTTAATTCATGTTAGGAAGTTGAGTGTGACACATACACAGAGGAGAAACTAGGGTTGGTGGGGGGGTTACAGGATACACCCCATGTACATGTCACTCTGTGCAGCAGGTAGTCCTGAACACCTGCCATTTGATGGTCAGGGAGTTTGTCATAGCAAAACAGCTTCCTTTCATTATTGGGAAAAGCATGATGAGAAGTCTAGGAATAATCCCCCCACCTCACACTTGCCTGCAAATCTCCAAGGGAAAAATAAAAAATGAGATCCAAATATTTTCTACCTGCACACCTATCCCGGATATTTAATGGAAAAGTAAACTCACTTTACCAAACTTGCTTTACTTAAGAATTAACTCATGTCACCAAGTGAATCTGTAAATATACACATTAATTCAACTCTGAAGAAAAACCCTCAATTTTCTTGGGTAGACAGCCACATTTTTTATTATTGTGGCAATTACACTAATATGTAAGCAGACAATTCACACTGACGCAGACTGACATAATACCAGAATCAGTAGAATCTGTCTCCTTTTATTAACTGGACCCCCCAAAATTAAATTAGTCTTTATAAAGGAAAGTAATAACTGCCCACAATGTAATAAGATCAAGCACAGTCCTGGCTGTTGTGCTTAGTTGGCTGGAAAATTATCACATACACCAAAACGTTGTGGGTTCGATACCCCGTCAGGGCTTGTACAGGAGACAGCCCTGTGTGCTTAGTTGGCTGGAAAATTATCACATACACCAAAACGTTGTGGGTTCGATACCCCGTCAGGGCTTGTACAGGAGACAGCCCTGTGTGCTTAGTTGGCTGGAAAATTATCACATACACCAAAACGTTGTGGGTTCGATACCCCGTCAGGGCTTGTACAGGAGACAGCCAATCAATGTTTCCCTTACATTGATGTCTCTGTCTCTGCTTCTCTCTCAAATCAATAATAAAAAGATCAAGCCCCAAAATGCGGCTTTTGATTACCAAATATATTTTAAAATCAATTCCTCTAAACCAAATTTCTTACCTTTATAAATATCAATACAAAAAAATTCTAGTACAAATAAAAAAATGTATGTGTATTTTTAATGCTGAATAATACAATACACTAATAGGACAAATTATCATACTTACATGTGGAAGAAGGTGTAAAAAAGCATCACCACTCAATGTCCCAACAGCCAATGCCACAAGGAAACTCAGGAGAAACTTAAAAAACACCCGATTCATGAGAGGCACTAAGATAACACCCAGCAAAGACAGGAAACTGATGATGGAAATGGCTATAAAGCCACCAACCCAGGCTGTCAAAGAAAAGAGCAAAGGTAAAAACATACAATTGATAAACTTTTAAAAGAGAGACTTTGGAGTAGCATAAAGTAACTTGTAAACGTAGGCAATCTTAAAGAAATACAAACTCAATAACCAACAATTGGGCTCAAATGAACAATTTGAGTAAACTCTCTAGGTCAGGGGTCGGCAACCTGCGGCTCCGGAGCCGCATGCAGCTCTTTTGAACCTTTGCTGCGGCCCCCAGCAGGTCCGACACTAGCAGGGCAAATAGCAGGGCGGGGTGGGGAGCTGTATCACTTATGTCGCGATGGTTTTGCGGCTCCGAGGTTTTTTTTTCCTTCGAAAACAGGTCCAAGTCGCTCTTTATGTCTTAAAGGTTGCCGACCCCTGCTCTAGGTAAAGAGCATAACCTAAAGGAAAATCCTTCAGCTGATAGTGACAGAAGGGAAAAGGGAAAGAAATGATAAACAAGGATGAATTCTAGCTCATTTGGAAACTGAACTTTCAAACTCCTGTAACACTTAAATTATGAAAGAGAAGAGGAATATGTTAAAGAAGAAAAAGAAAAGAAAGAAAAAAAAAAAGGAAACAGAATTATTTTCTCAGTAAACAAAGCAACTATTTCTTCATTATAGTTTTTTTTTTTTTAAATATATTTTATTGATTTTTTACACAGAGGAAGAGAGAGGGATATAGAGAGTTAGAAACATCCATGAGAGAGAAACATCCATCAGCTGCCTCTTACATACCCCCTACTGGGGATGTGCCCGCAACTAAGGTACATGCCCTTGACGGGAATCGAACCTGGGACCTTTCAGTCTGCAGGCCGACGCTGTATCCACTGAGCCAAACCGGTTTCGGCTTCATTATAGTTTTTGAGCACTGAAAATTCTAGTCAGGGGTGAGGAACTTACAGCCAAGCCTTATAAGGTCTGGCCAGAGGTAAGGAATGTCCATCAGACTTTATAAGGCCACCAGAGATGAGGACCGTCTCTAGAACATCCGGCCCGTAGGCTGTATAAGGCTTGTGAAATCATTTGGTCTAGTCCTGCCAAGGCTAAAGGTGAGTTAAATGACCAAACGTAGAAAGCTAATTTTTTAAATTCTTAAACATCTATCAGAAACATCCAACAGCTGCCTCCTGCACACCCCCTACTGGGGCTGTGCTCACAACCAAGGTACATGCCCTTGACTGGAATTGAACCTGGGACCCTTCAGTCTGCAGGCCAATGCTCTATCCACTGAGCCAAACTGGTTAGGGCTTTTTTTTTTTATTCTTTATTGATTGAAGTATTACATATGTCTCCTTTTTCCCTCATTGACCTCTCTTGGCCACTCCCACCCCCGACACATGCCCTGACCTCCCCCACCCCCACCTTCCCTCAGAGGTTTGATGATCTATTTAATGGTTTAATGCTTCTCTGTCTCTGGATATATTTTTGTTCACCAGTTTATGTTGTTCATTATATTCCACAAATGAGTGAAATCATGTGATATTTATCTTTCTCCGATTGGCTTATTTCGCCTAGCATAACTCTCTCCATGTCTACCTGTGATGTTATGAAAGGTAAGAGTTCCTTCTTTTTTACAGCAGCGTAGTATTCCATTGTGTAGATGTACTACTAGCAGGCTAATTTTTAAGTTATAACTCTGTATGGCCAGTGAATGATTTATAAATACCCAAATGGCCCTGTCAGAAAATAGGTTCCCCAATCCTGCTCTACACTATAGCACAGCTTATCCTGGTTTGATTTATTAATAACAGACTAGAGCCCTGGCCGGGTGGCTCAATGGATAGAGTGTCAGACTGTGGACAGAAGATTGGTAGATTCGATTCCAGTCAAGAGCATGTACGTTGGTTACAGGCTCAATCCCCAGTAGGGGGCGTGCAGGAGGCAGCCAATCAATGATCTCCCCCTCATCATTGATGTTTCTCTCCCTTTCTCTTCATCTCTGAAATCAATAAAAAGACATGTTAAAAAAATAAATAACAGGCCAGAATTAGACTCCTAAAGAGCAGAAATTAACTCTGACCTTCTCCCAATCAGAGTGACAATATAAAAAGCCCAGATTTCAGATACCCCTTGACACTTCATGATCTCAGGCAAATTACAACTTATGTTTTATTCATTTATCTTTTTTTTAAGATATGGCAAGTACCCCTTTTAAAAGCACTTTTGCTAATGACCCACTGAACTGTCAAGAAAGGGCAAGTAAAAACACCGCTTTTGGGTGAAGCAGTAGCGGTTGAATTGTTTTGCTTTAATCGGTGGTGTGAAGAGGTGTTAAAAAAAAAAAAAAAGATAAGGCAAGTTACAACCTAAGTTTTTTTAAGGTTCAAGCTAACATGCTTACTTTTTTCAATCAAGGCAGAATGATCTCACTCATGTGGAATCTAACGAATAAAATAAACTGGTGAATAAAATAGATCCAGAGACATAGAAGCAGGGAACAGACTGAGGACTCTAAGAAGGACGGCAGGAGTAATGGGGTGAGGAGGAGAGGATAAACCGGGGATTTATATGCATAGCTCATGGGCACAGACAACAGTGTGGTGCAGGCCTTTGAGGGTTGGGTGCAGGGTGGAGGGGATCAATGGAGGGGTGGGGGGAAGGAGGGGAGACATCTGTAAGACTTTCAATAATAAAGATACATTTTTAAAAAGATGGTATATTTGAAGTTATGCTAAAAATGAATAGGTTTTTGAAAATATAAAGAACACTACAACATAAATGTATCCACTGGAAGTTATTTTTACATAAAAAAAACTCAATTCTACCTATTTGTAAAGAATAGGTCTTTGGAGGGACTTCAGCTTTCTTTTCACTCGTTGTATGAATCAGACACGATCTAGCATCAATTTGATTGATGATGGCTGGGCAGAGATAGTTGAACTCCGTTGCATTCAGCGGAACCTGGGTGCCCATGCCATGTGAAGTGAGCAGCTTTGACGCATTGAAACACTAAAGAAAACAAAGCAGTGAAAAGCACCAAAAGGCATTCCCATTAGATAATCCAAAAAAGTTGTTTGATCACACAATACCCGTTCCTTACTGAAGCTGCTTCTTAATTTTAAGTTAACACTGATTAAAATCAACTTCTGTTTTAAGTACTTTGGAATTTCTCAAACTACCTGGAGATAGTATGTCATAATAGTGTTATCTCACCTCTCTGCTTACTTCTAGGTGGAAAGTTACACCACTAGTCACCTAGGGACAAAGCCTTAAGTGAAATAAGCTTGAGAATAAATGAACATTCACAAGCCTGTTAACTCAGTGTATAAACCTATTAAGGAAATGAGCTTTAATTTCGAGATGGGGGTCATTAGAGATTGACACATATGTTATTTTAGTACCAACGCTACCCTACCTGGCCTAAACAAGCCCAAAACACGTCATTCTTACCACAGATACCATACTTGCAAAACTTAGTTCAGTTCTGACTACATACTTGGCAAAATAATGCTCTACGAGAGAATGTACATTACTCTCACATAGGGTAAAGTTGGTAATAAAGCAAACCTGTACCGGCAGGCAGCTGTTCCAACAATTTAATGAGTTGACTAGTCTGAAGAGAATCTGTTGAGTAACCTAAGCTCCTTCTATTCCCCCAGAATTGGTGGTAGCAACTGTTTCTCATCATCTGCAAATTTAAATTCTACCAATTCTTGGTTAATACTACACAGAACACACTTTATTACCAGTGTCACTATGGCAATGACCATTAGTAGTATTATCCCAGAATTAGAACAGGTCACATGATGGCTTGCATGAAGTACTTAGTAAGTTTTGCTTATTAACATATATCAACTAACTCCCTGTTCTTAATATCCTTCAGTCAAGGCAAACTGAATACAGCCTAAAAGTCTAATCTAGAAAAGTATAATCTTAGAAAAAACACATGAAATCAGAACTTCATTGCCCAGGCATTCACTTGTCCAGTACGTCGTTCTTGGCAGCAGTTCCAATGACTCCACAAATCATTACAATCCATCTGCAAGGAGGTATTAAGGTTCTTGCATTCTTCAACCCCTTCAACCACGCCTTTCCCTAAAACATGGATTCTAACCCCCGCATTTTCAACCTCCCATTTTCTACTTTTTATTAATAATATTCGCCTTTAAAAACTTTCTCCAAAAATAACTTTGATACCTGCTTTTTATACTTATTTTAAATTCTATATAGAAAACAGTTTTAGTCCAGCTGGCATGGCTCAGTGATTGAGCATCAACCTAAAGGTAACGGCTCAATTCCTGGTCAGGACACATGCCCAGGTTATGGCTCAACTCCCAGTGTGGGGTGAACAGAAGGTAGCTGACCAGTAATTCTCTCTCATCATTGATGTTTCTCTCTTTCTCTCCCTTTCTAAAAGCAATAAAAATATATTTTAAAAAAGTTTTACAAGGCAGCTCTATTCTTTCTATCCTCCAAGTTTTTTTTTGTTTTTTTTTCCTTCTTTTCTTTTTTAAATCAGGAATGATTACAACATGGTAGGAACACTTTGGGCCAAGTGCCTTGCTGAGAAATTTCCTTTTCAGTAACTTCACCATTTTATTTTTACTTTAAACTCCTTACAACTAGAGATAGAATGGCAATGACAGAACAGACAAGCAGGCATATTGATTAAAAGAAGAACAGCCTTCATCTTACCTCCTGAGTGTTTGCATTTGTGTTTCTGGAATACATAAACTCCTTTCTGGGCTCACTCACAGACTCATTAGTTTTCCTCCTGGCGGGCCGGCTCAGCCGGCTCTTTTCTGTAATACTGGGGGGAGTGGAGCTGCTCACAGCTTTAGGGAGCTTTCCAGGTTTTGGAGTTTCTATTGTCTCAAGAGAGTGAGTTCCTTCAGAGACAGCATTATACACAGTTGAGGTCACTTCACTAGCACCAACACCATCCTTGATTACAACATTCCTTCTGCTGTTGGCATGTTCTGATCGGCGAGATCCTTTCCCCTGGTTATTCCTAGTATCTTTACTGGAACTATCGGAGTCATGGTCTGGGCAAAGAGCTTTCCGATTATTTTTACCGGAAGCAGCATGATTACGGTGAGAGTGATGCTCGTGGTCAGAGTGATGGTCATGGTCAGAATGATGGTCATGGTCGGAGTGATGCTCATGGTCGGAGTGATGCTGATGCTCATGGTCATGGTCATGGTCATGGTCATGGTGTAAATGAACTCTTTTAATCTTATCTATGCCTATGTTCTGAAGTAACTTTCTGAACCCTTCCACTGACAAAGAGTTATTTTCTCCATAGCGATGGAAAAGCTGCTGCAGATGATGCCGCTGGGCGGTAACTGCCAAGTCCACATCAATACCGGATTCCCAGTTTGGGATTTTCTCAGTGGCCTGCGGGAGAGCAGTTGCCGGTTCTACTTCATGAAGGAGATTTGTGACTGACAGAGTGAAGGTCAGGATGAAGATTATGGATAAACTCCTCGCCATTGCACCTTCCTAGAGAAGACAGAGAAAAGAAACTTTGTCCTCACTTCTGTAATAATTTGAATTAAAAAATCTCCTGCTGAACAGTGATGTCTAAATCAAACCATCAAGGTCTACAGAACATCATGCAGTGTGACCAGTGCCGAGTCCTAGGCTCTACCCAGGCATTACCAAAATAAGAGGAATAACCGGAGAACTGTTGAGTGTTAAGACTCGGTAATTAGCACTATAAAAGCAACAGTAACTGAGGCACTGGAGAGGTCCATGTGGCCACAACCATACTGGCAACTCCTTACTGTGTTGAGAACAATGATTTAAAACAAAACTTACCTCTACCACCGTCATTTCATAAAACATTATTCAACATCAAAAGGAGAAGATACAGCAATCTCAGAATAATTCACAGTTAAAATTTTCTTAAACTATATACAAATCAATTTAAGGCTTCTTTCCCCAACAGCACTCTTCAAAGTCACCCAATTAGGCCTCGGGAGGTGTGTAATTAAACCACACCAATGGGATCTTTTTTCCTATTCAAAAATGACATCGTCCCAGGTCAGTACCTATAGACTGACCCCATGCGTTAGACTGGTGGCTTAACAATAGCTCCTTAAGCAAGTTAAACTTCATTTTATCATACGTCATCACTCATCCAGACAAGGGTGTTTGGAGACAGAAATTGAGTCTCTGAAAAGCAGAATTCAGTGAAGCCGAGGAAGGTACAAGTCCATAGAGGCGAATAAACTGATATCTCAAGGAAACCAGCCGTCACCAAACTCTGCAGCGAGAGAGCAGAGGCCTGGGGCAACCTAGCTTTCTTTACCACTTTCAGCTGCTTCCCCTCGCACCAGGGAAAGCTGGCAATACCCACTCACGGGGTGCCTGGGGGAAACTACAGGAACCGGTACATGGAAGCGCTTGTTTCCAAACAAGGTGGGCGGTGTTGCCCAGAGGCTGATCACGCGGGGAGCAGCGACAATGGAAGTACCCAAGTACCATCGGGATAGGATCCTGCAAGAACCATCTTTCGCCTTGAAGTTTTAACAGGCAAACGAGAACCATTCAGAACTCATTCGCAGGAGGGACAGGCCAGGGGCGGGATGGGCTGGGACAAGCACAGGCGGAAGCACTGGGGGGCGGGCGGGGGGGGGGGGAAGAGGGGCGGGTGTGTAACTCCGCGCCTTTCTCCCGCGAGGATGCTCCAGGCGACCGAGGACCCGCGGGCGGGCTCCTTCCCTGCAAGTCCGCGAGCGCCGCTGGGAAAACGCACAAAGGGCCGGGGAGAGAAAGGGGAAGGCGCACAGACCACTCTTTCTAAGGGTTTTGTTTCTTATTTTTAATACACATCCCTTCCTTCCCAGAAAGTCCTCGGTTGGACTCCCCAGCCCATCTCGGCATCATCCTAACCCTGGGAATCCGACCCCCGCGGCCTGGGGGGGGCTCCCCTTTCTGCAGACCCGCCCGGCCCCGCGGGACTCACCCCTCCGCGGCCTCGCCGTTCCACGGTCCGGCCGCCGCGTGCGGGTTCAGTTCCCCGCACAGGCGGTCCGACCGGAGGGTTCGGAACCGGCCCGGTGCTTCTCTCTCCGCCTCGAAACCTCTACAGGGCGCGGGGCAGCGGCGATCTCATCGGCCCGGACGGCCCTCGGCCCGGGGACCGCGGCGCAGCCACCGGGAAGCCGCGCCCCACGCGGCCTCGCCTCCCGCGAGCAGGACAATCACTGATGAGCGCCGCGCGCGGCCGGGAACCAGCGCCGCCGCCGGCCCGACCGGGGCGCATGCGCAGTGCGGCCCAGAACCCCGTCCCCGCCGGCCAGTCCGCGTGGCCGCCTGTTCGCCGGCGCCGCGGGGCACGCAGGGGCGGGACGGAGGGCGCGAAGGCGCGGCGGCCGAGCGCACTGTGAGCCTCGAGACCGATCTTGGGATCCTTTCTTTCTTCGAAGCCCTCCGCGCCCCTGCGCTACGGAGGCCCGAGACTCGCTCGCCGAGGCTCCCTCCTGGGTCAACTCCGCTGCTGCTGCTGCTGCTGCTGCTGTGAGTCCGGGTGTGAGGGGCAGCGAGACGTTCCGGACGCAGCCCCGGGCTCAAGTGCCGTGGCCTTTCTGGAAGGTCCCGGATTGCTCCGGCCGCGCTTTGTCCGGGGACGGAGGCCGCGTGTGTGCGCAGGACCACGGTCAGCAGACCAGGGGTGGCGGAGCCTGGCGCCAGGGCGGGGGGCGGGGCCTGGGGGCGGGGCCGTCTCCGCCGTCTCCGCCCCGCCCCCCCGGCTGCTTCCAAAACGCGGTGCAGATCACGCCGGCGGGATCGGTGGCCTCGCGCGTAGTTCCGCTCTGAGGGCGGAAGTGCGCCCCCCGGCCTCGGCCTCGGACCAGCCAGCAACATGGTGGCGTCCGTGCTGGAGGCATCTCACGTCTTTTGCTGCCCCAACCGGGTGCGGGGAGCCCTGAGCTGGAACTCCGGGCCCGGAGGACTCCTCGCCTTCGGCACGTCCTGCTCCGTGGTGCTCTACGACCCGCGGGTAAGCACGGAGGCCGGGCGGGCGGGCGGGCCGACTGCTGGGCGCGGCCGGGCCAGGGGGCGGGGTGTGCGGTCTGTCTGGTCGGCTTCGGGCGCGGTCACCGCGACCCCCCAGGGACCTGTTAGCCCCCGAATGAGGAGGATCTTTTCTGCAGCCTTCTGTGGAAACAGTAGAACTGCAAAAAAAAAAAAATTAGTTTGGGTTTTGAAAGATTTGCCAGGTAGGTATGGATTAAATCCATTATCACAGATGCTATCTCATTTCTATATTTCCCGCAGTTATAAACTGCCACTTGTATTTTAGCTTTGGACATTTTATGGTTTTTAAGCAATTCTTTCATTTATTGATTTGAGAGAGAGAGAGAGAGAGATTGATTTATTGTTCCACTTATTTGTGCATTCATTGGTTGATTCTTGTATGTGCCCTGACCCGAGCCTACGCTGCCATGGCTGGAATTGGACATTGAAAAGAAAGTGCCATGGGGGTATAAAAAGGTCATAGGGGAGGGGTATCCTAAGCACTCATCAGGTGAGGATCAATACCTGATTAGTCATGACATGCAAAGTGAGCCATGAATTTGTATCCGTTAATCACAAATTCTTTTATTGAAGATTTTTTTTTCCCCCCTCAACAAAACCCTCAGATTGATGCAAGCACGATAGAAGTAGGGCCCTGAGACCTGTGGGAGCACCAGGAAGATGTTTCTTATCCAACCTGGGGTGTCAAGACAGGCTCCCCAGATGAGCACGGGAGTGGGAAGGGGACGTGAGTGGTGCGCAGGACCAAGGCAGATGGAGACCGGAGAGCTTAGTATGATGAGAGCACGGGACACTGGGAATGCGGAGTGGTGAAAAAAATCAGTGACTGGATGGTTTAAGCCACAATGACAAGTTTACAAACGAAAGGAAGGTGATTTTGTCTGGAGTCACCCTGAACTTACCGTAAAAAATACTGAAACCTGATTTTTATTGATTTAATGATTCCCCTGTAGGATAGATTCTAATTTACTAACTGGTGCCCCCTTTGTTAAAGGAAAGGGTTGTCGTTACCAACCTGAATGGTCACACCGCTCGAGTCAATTGTGTACAGTGGATTTGTAAACAAGATGGCTGTAAGTATTAATCTAACCGTTAAAGCTGATTTGAATTGTTTTCTAATGAAGTATGGTTAGTCATTTTTCTTTCATCACGTCTCTTACCATCAGCTCATCTGATATTATGCAATTGGAAAATAGAAGAAAAACGAACGATATGTCCAATAAAATATCTGACTTGAAAAAAAAGAAAGAAAGAAATATCTGACCTGTATTTTTCCTTTATTACAGTTGAAGCAAGGAAAACACAGCAGAGCTTAGGGTGAGGGTAGAGGCAGCCCCTAACTGTAGTAAGACCTTCCGCCATTGCCCAGAGCTTCTGCTTGAACACCTGTAAGCAGGGCCCTGTTAGGACCCAGGCTGGGATTCCAAAAATTTGGCTTGTTCCCGCCACAGACAAGCTATTTTTTTTTTTTTTTTTTTTTTAGGCAGGACATTGCATTTTTTCATGATCCCGGTTTGTACCTTAGTAACACCTGAAAAGGAAAGGCTCGGACTGCATCAGGGGAACTTTTGAGGTTCGTGACACCTATGAGATCAAAATTACTTTCAGAATAATACCAAGAGGTTATTCACAGTTTTCATCCTCATTCCATAACAGTTTTATAGCGGCCCTTTCAGTAGCTGTGTGGTGTATGTATTTAACACAACAGAAACAGATATGATAATCCAGCTGTATGCTAATAGTTAGATGTTAAAGAGATTTGCAGAAATGTAAAACAGTACCTCTTACTAATTTTTTTTTTTTTTTTATAGAAAATGTAGTGGTTTTCTTTACCATAAAAATGTTTTTGTTAACATGCAATGGAATTTATTATTATTTAAAAAAATACTTTTTATTGATTTCAGAGAGGAAGGGAGAGAGAGAGAGAGAGAGAGAGAGAGAGAGAAACATCAATGATGAGAGGGATTCACTGATCAGCTGCCTCCTACTGGGGACCAGGCCTGTAACCCCAAGCATGTGTCTTGACCGGAAATTGGACCTTGACCTCCTGGTTCATAGATGCTCAACCACTGAGCACACCCTCTGGGCTGGAGTTTATTATCCTATCTAATAATCTAATAAAAGAGTAATATGCAGACTGACCATCACTCCAACACACAATATGGTTGCCCCCATGTTGTCAAAAATCCCTATGTGGACACAAGATGGCCACCACAAGATGGCCATCAGGAGAGGGCAGTTGGGAGGGACCGGGCCTGCAAGGGAGGGCAGCTGTGGGCAATCAGCAAGAAGGGGAGGGCAGTTGGGAGGCACCAGGCCTGCAAGGGAGGGCAGTTGGGGGTGATCAAGCCTTCAGGGGAGGACAGATAGGGGTGACCAGGCCGGCAGAGAAGGGAAGTTGGGGACAAACAGGCTGGCAGGGGAGCAGTTAGACATCAATCAGGCTGGCACAGGAGTGGTTAGGGGGTGATCAGGCTGGCAGGCAGAAGTGGTTAGGGGCAACCAGGAAGGCAGGCAGGTGAGCAGTTAAGAGCCAGCAGTCCTGGATTGTGAGAGGGATGTATGACTGGTAGTTGGACATCTCTTGAGGGGGTTCCAGATTGGAGAGGGAGTAGGTTGGGCTGAGGGACACCCCCCTCCTGGCCCCATGCACGAATTTTGTGCACTGGGCCTCTAGTTTTTAAGAAAAATGATAAGTAGTTTTCAGATTTCTTAATTTACATTTCTGATGTGTTTAATGTTGGTACATAGAGTCAGTCCATATAAACAAGGGCTTTATGGGGTCCCCAAACATTTTTAAGAGCATAAAGGAGTCCTGACAGCAAACTGAAATTTCCTGGAATACAGATTATCTCCAGGTCTCTCTTATCTCTAACACTAGAGGCTCTGGAGGAAGGGTCCCTCAACCCGGTCTGCCCCTTATGGTCTGGGAGGACCTGGTGATCAGGGGAAGGCAAGGCCCCATCACACCTCTGCTGCTGCCACTGCCAACAGTGCAAGCCTTGGCCGGCCCTGGTTACCTGAGCCTTGGGCGGTCCTGGGTGGCTGGGCAGCAGGCATCCAAAGCTTGCCTGCATCTCAGGCCGGCCCTGGGCGGCTGGGGGACTCCGGAGGCAGGTGCATGGAGCCTGCAGCCCCTGAGGAACTGAGGGGAATAGACGCCGCCATTTTTGAGTGTGTTGCAGTCAATTAGCATATTCCTCCCTTTTGGCTGTGGGTGCTGCTATCTTTGGGAGGGTGTGAGGGTCAATTAGCATATTCCCTCTTTATTAGATATGCTTCTGTATTTCCAGAGTGTTTAATTAGCATACTGCTTTTAGATGTTGCTTCCAAAATACGATGCAATTTCCTCAAATGACTTAAATATGCCTAATGGAGTTTTCTTATGGACTCTGAATTAATTTTTATTCCATAAACACATATTAAGAGCATTCTGAGCCAAGCACCAATGCAGAATTTCCTGAATTAGTGAGACCTACTTTGATTTTGTCTGTGACATTAAAAAAAAAGTTGAATAAGCTACTTATTTCAGTTAGTAATGCAGGATTAATTACATTCGGTTAGTAAAAATGATTAAATAGTAGAAAAAGTGGCTTTTAATGCAAATATTAAAACACAATCATAATTTTATTGCAAAATGGCATAATTTTATTAATTGCCACCAAATGGCATAATTTTATTAATTGCCACCAAATGGCATATACTTGAATCTCAGTATACGGATTTGCTATAAAAAATTTGGACTTGTATATTTTATCTTCCCTTTAAAAATGAGGTAACATAAAATAAATTGCTTGTGCATCACTAATCTGTAACTATTAGGATTGATTTTCTCTAAGAATAGGTTTCTGCCATATTCTTTCTAACCCACAGATCAGGTGTCTTATGGTGATGCTCAGAATCACATAGTTAAATGGCTTAATTTCTGTGATGCTTGAAGATATTAAATCCTAAGACCATAGCTGGCTGAGAGCAGGGTTAGGAGGAAGCTGGAACTACTGAGTCCTTGTCTAATGTTCTTTAGACAGTCCCCCAGCTGCTTCCCCTAAATGTCTATCTAGCACATAGGCCAGAAGAAACAAATAAATGGAAAATCCAAACTAAAATTATATATTATTTCTCCCTTTTTAAAAAACCTAGATTGAGAGACATTCTATAAAACTACTGGCAGGGAGTTTTGAACCATAAGGGAGGAGTTGAACGAGTGAGAATTCTTGGTAGGAAAATGAGCATGAGTAAAAGCTCAGGTGTGATAGTATTGTGGTTATGTAGAAGAATGTTCTAGTTCTTAGGAGATCCATAGTAAAGTGTTTGAGGATCAAAGGGCCTGATGGCCTGATGTCTGTAACTTATTTATTTTTATTTTTTAATTTAATTTAATTTATTATTTTTTAAAATTTCTTTATTGATTAAGGTATTACATATGTGTCCTTATTCCCACATTACCCCCACCTCCCATTCATGCCCCCACTCCCCTTTTAAATATATTTTATTGATTTTTAAAATATATATATTTTATTGATTTTTTACAGAGAGGAAGAGAGAGGGACAGAGAGTTAGAAACATCAATGAGAGTGAATCATCAATCAGCTGCCTCTTGCACACCCCCTATTGGGGATGTGCCCGCAACCAAGGTACATGCCTTTGACCGGAATCGAACCTGGGACCTTTCAGTTCGTAGGCCAATGCGCTATGCATTGAGCCAAACCGGTTTCGGCTTTTATTGATTTTTTTTATAGAGAGGAAGGCAGACAGAGAGGGAGAGGGATAGAGAGAAACATCGATGAGAGAGAAACATCAATCAGCTGTCTCCTGCACACTCCCTACTGGGGATATGCCCACAACCAAGGTATATGCCCTTGACTGGAATGTATGGAAAATAATACAGTAATTAGTAAATAATAATAATACAAGAATAAACTTTCGCATAGTCATAACTAAAATCTACTTTTGTCCCACCCTGTACATAAAAAGAGAACAAGCTATTAACAACTGTGGCAAAATGTTAACAGTTGGCGAATCTGTGTAAAGGGCATATGAGTTTTCTTATAACTTTCCTATAGCTTTGAAATTTTTCTAAGTAACTTAAAAAAATGAACAGGAATATTTACTGAGATATCTTTTTCAGCTCCTTCAAATGAATTAGTTTCTGGAGGATCAGATAATCAAGTGATTCACTGGGAAATAGAGAATAACCAGGTGAGTAGGCATGTTTATAGTTGTAAGAAATGTCCCAGTTCTGTTTGCCATGTTTCCATTTTGCAGCTAGGCTTGATTTAGGCAAGTGCATTGTGGGGATGCTAAACTCACCACGTAGTAGTTTGATGGAGAATAGAATACTTCCAAAGTATAATCTATCAATCCCAAAATTTTAAGTTCACAGTGAAAACATCTGGCAGACACTACCTTTACTAAGATATCAAGGTTAACTTCACTAAAATTGGGACAGATTGACATCATGGGTGTGAGGCACTTAGATAGTATTGGTGACAAAACATCAGACTTAATTCAGAAAGGACCATTCCACAAAGCTGGCCTATGTTCTTTAATTTCTTAATGACATGGACATTTTTCCATAGTAATAAGCATATATTTACCTACATTATCCTTTTTATTGGCTATAGTGTATGTGTGGAATAATTAATCAGTTCCCTATGATTAATTTTTTTGTTTTTACTATTATAAAGTGTGTGATCAATGCCTACATCCTCTACCAAAACACACACAAACACAAAACAAAACAAAAAGCGAGTGTGATGAATTTAGCTTTTATTACTTGTTAAACTATTGCTGTTAGCACCTCAGATAGATTCTTAGATGTGAGATTGCTGTGTCAAGGTTATGCACATTTTATGTGTCATTAATATGGTCAGATAGACTTCTTGAAAGTTAACATTCTCTTCAACTGAAAGGACCTACTTCTAGGTCTTACATTTTATCAGTACCATTCATTAATCCTGTGATTTCAGTTAGAGATGAAACTGGTAATTCCTTTTTATCACAATGTTTTTGCCATTTTTTCTGACTCAGCTTTTAAAAGCGGTTCCTCTCTACGGCCATGAAGGACCTGTTTACGCAGTGCATGCTGTCTACCAGAGAAGGGTATCGGACGCTGCATTGCGTACGCTGATGGTTTCTGCAGCTTCAGATTCCACTGTTCGAGTCTGGTCTAAAGAGGGTTCAGCAGGTATGTTTAAAGACTTTATAACCTAACTAGAGGCCCCGTGCGTGAAATCGTGCACTCACGGGTGGGGGTCCTCAGCCTGGCCTGCGCCCTCTTGCAATCTGGGCACCCTTGGAGGAGCAGGTCTAAGCCATCAGGTGGACATCCATAGCACTGCTATGGAGGCAGGAGAGGTTCCCACCACCGCCGCTGTGCTGGCCAGCTGTGAGCCCGGCTTTGGCTGAGCGGTGCTCCCCCTGTGGGAGCGCACTGACCACCAGGGGGCAGCTCCTTCCTGCATTGAGTGTCTGCCCCCAGGAGATCAGTGTGCATCATAGCCACTGGTCATTAGCCTTTTATTATATAGAACTAGGGGCTCAGCGCATGAATTTGTGCACTTTGGAAGGAACTGTGTTGCTGCGAGGCTGTGGTGGACACTGGGGTGGGTCTCGGCCCATCCTCCACGCCCCACCGGCACCTCCTGCCGTGGTCCCTGACCCTCTGTCTGCTGAAGCCCACTTCCACTGCTGCCACTCCCACGCACTTACGGCACTGACCCTGCTTACACCTACTGACAGCGCGGAGCAATTGGGGCCAGTGCCGGCAGCTGCTTTTCCAATCACCCCTCAAGAGCAGTGGGAAGTATAGAAGCCCTCAGGGGCGATCATGGCTGGCAGCTGTTGCTTGCACCCGCTCGGCGCCGAGCAATCAGGAGCGGTGCTGGGTACTGGCAGTGGGTGCAAGCGGTGGCTCTGGCACTGGCTGTGGGTGTGAGCGGGGCAGTCTCCAGCAGTGGATGTAAGAGGCAGCTACTAGCCTTGATTGCCCCTCAGGAGCAGGGGAAGGTGGAGAAGCCCTGAGGGGCAATTGGGGCAGGCAGCATGTGCTAGCAGCGGCTTGTGCCAGCAACGGGTGCAAGTGGGTCTGGCGCTGTAGTAGGCGCGGGCGCCAGCAGCAGGCGCGGGCACCAGCAGCAGGTACAAGTGCCTGGCGGGACCTCAGTGCTTGGGAGCAAAGAATTTTCAGTAACCACTAGAGGCTCACCACGGTGACAGTGACCAGTGCCCCTCCTTGGTCTGGCGCCCCCACTCACCTGCTCCACCATCCCACCATGGCTGACACCTACCATGTTCCATGCATGCCCCTGGGTGTTCAGTGCACATCATAGTGACTAGTTGTTCCACCATTCGGTCTATTTGCATATTAGAAGGTAGATAGATGTAGCCGAGACCAGTTTGGCTCAATGGATAGAGCGTCGGCTTGGGGACTGAAGGGTCCCGGGTTCGATTCCGGTCAAGGGCATGTACCTTGGTTGCGGGCATATCCCCAGTAGGGGGTGTGCAAGAGGCAGCTGATCGATGACTCTCTCTCATCGATGTTTCTAGCTCTCTATCTCTCTCCCTTCTCTGTACAAAATCAGTAAAATATATTTATTAAAAAAAAAAAAGGTAGGTAGATGTAGAAGGTAGATAGATGTAAATTTCCTCCCAGCCTTTTCATATAAGTAATTTTGTTCTCTGTAACCTTGTTAAACATTGACCATTTCAATTCACATGGTGTGTGGGGCTCAGGATTGGCTTTTCTCAACCTCTGCTAGTGTGTTGATGCTGCTCAGTCTCTAGGTAGATAAGCTCAGAGTCAGTCATTCATGGTGTTTTTCATTAATTTTTAGTAACCTGCCTTCAGACCTTGAGCTTTGGAGATGGATTCACTCTGGCTCTCTGCTTATCTTTTTTGCCTAATACTGATGGTGAGTATCTTCTTAAGAGCAATATATTTTTATATTTCCCTATGACCAGAACCTAAAAGAAACATTTGGTCTCAATTTTGTATCTAAATTTTTTCATGAAATAGGTTGAGACCTGGCTAACATACTTTGTTTTCAATATTTAAAAGATCTGAATATAGAACATAAGATTAAAAGAGGCTATTAGGATTTGGTAGCTGTTGAAAATTTAAATGACTTCATAATGTAACCAAGATTGATACTGCTATTTATGAAGTATATTGCTGATAGATCTAATTTGGGAAAATTGTCTAGCTCTTTAGTTGATGAAGGTCTGGGATAAGTTGGAAAAGTACTGAAGATGGACCATGTGAGCATTTCTTATGAGAGGACAGCCCCTCTCCATCCTGCATGATAACATTTTTGCCTAAGACCACTCACTTAAAATCTCCAAACAGAAAATTTTCCCTTTTGCTATGAAACCTATCTGTACTTCCTTTGATCAACCCCTGCAGTGATGATGGCCAGTGTGAGTCTGTCTCTCTGTCTCCTCAGTTGCCTGGAGGACAGGCCAGGTGGAGAGAGGCGGGTCTGGAAGCCACCACCCTCTTGCCTTTTGGGGTAGGAGCTGCGAACTCATGGTTTCATGTGATGCTTCCATTTTGTGTGAGGATTCCCTGGGAGGAGGAACTCACACATTATGAAACATGGTTTCATAACATCAAATTTAACGTCTTCCCACATACACTGAGGCCAAGTGACTGGAGATTTTTGGTTTTGGTTTTAGTGGGTTTAAAGTGATAAAATCTTTGAAAAATTCACCTGGTAGCAAGGTATTTCCCTAGAGAAAGAATTCCTACTTTATTTTGCGCCACAGTCATGAAGGCTATCCCTTGGTAACGTTAATTACTTTTTTGTGCTATTAAAATTTTACACTTGCACCTCTCATAGCTTTTTAACCAGGTATTTAATTATATGTGTTTTTATTTGGTTCTCTAATTGCTTCAGGAATTTTGTTTTACTCTTGGATTCTCAAAATGTGAGACCCTCAAAGTAACAACCATACCATGATTGCATCTTTGTGCAGTAACCATGATGCCAGGCTGAAAGTAGCTCTTCATTTTATTTTTCAACTAGAGGCCTGGTGCATCAATTTGTGCACTGGTGGGGTCCTTCGGCCTGGCCTGTGGGGATTGGGCTGAAACTGGCTCTCTGACATCCCCCAAAAGGTCCTGGATTGCAAGAGGGTACAGGCCAGACCAAGGGATCCCATTGGAGCCGGGGAGGGACCACGGGAGGGCTCCAGGGCATGCCTGGCCCATCTCCATCTCACCCAATCCTGATCTGCCGGACCCCAGCAGCAAGCTAACCTACTTAGAGTTTTTATTTTTTGTTAATCCTCTGTGGTACAATATACTATGCTCGATATAGATATCTTGGGTGAAGATTAAAAAAAATTTTTTGTTAACCTACTTAATCGGAGCGTCTGCCTTCTGGTGGTCGATACTTATAGTGACTGGTTGAACAGTTGAACAAATGGTCAGACACTTAGCATATTAGCCTCTAATATACATAGATTGGATTAACTTTCCATATTAGTCTTTGGTCTAACAGTGAAAATGCTCCCAATTGCTCTCGAGCTTCTCCTTTTGCTGCTGCTTCTATCATAAAATACATATCATGGAGAAAAGGGCTCTCAATCAGTAGTCTTTCATTGCCAAGTAATCACGTAATAGGACATTTAGAGTGTTCACTTTATTCCTATAGACATTTATTGAGCATTTTCAATTTGTTCAGTGATGTGAGAAATAGAAACATGGTTCTTTAGTTAGAGCTTAGAATCCATCAAAGGTGATAATCACACTGTCTGATTGAATACTTAACAGCAAAGCCTCTTTTTTCCCCAGTACCGATATTAGCATGTGGCAATGATGACTGCAAAATCCACTTATTTGTTCAAGAGAATGATCAGGTAATTGATGATGTTTATGAAGAGACTGACATTACTTCTGCTTAATTACATTTCTTAATGTCAACTATTTCCAGATTATAGGATTTCAGTAATGTTCTCATCTAACCCAAAATAATCCGATAGCAGTATTTCTTTTACAATTCTTTGTTAGATGGTTTCCCACCAAGCTGCTGCTGCCTTGACTACAAGTCCAGGGTTGTTAGAGGGAAACATGTTGTAGGTGGGAGAAGGGAAGGGAGATTCTGTGGTAGTGTTTTTTCTTTAAAGTTTTAAATGAAGTACATCATACCTACAGTGAAAACACTCCCTGGTAATGTTTATTGATCCTTCTGAACCTTATGTCTACTTTGAGTAGTTAAACTAGGGGAGAGAATTTCTAGAAAGGGGGTTGTTAACTAGAACCTCTTTTATTTAATAAAGGAGATAGTTTCTTTGCATTCTGTAAGACAGTTTAAAATGGTTGTGAATGTCCCACTATCCACCTTTTATCTATGTTACATCATAGCGTATATCATTCTATTTTGTAAACATTTAAAGTATTTGAGGTCTACTTACCATTGCTCAGGTGATATAGGTGATTATGAGATTTTTCATGAGACCTCTATCTTGTGTCTAATCGGGTAGTGTTTCCAGGTTTTTTATTTTATTTTTAGTGTGTGTGTGTGTGTGTGTGTGTGTGTTTTAGAAGAGATGCAGCAGGACTAACTGAGACCAACTGAAAGATATACATGAAAATATTAAATTCTTACACAGGTCCTAATGATTTTTTATATTATAGTTTCAGAAAGTGCTTTTTCTCGGTGGACATGAGGATTGGATAAGAGGCGTGGAATGGGCAGCCTTTGGTCAGTATGAAATTTTCCTAAGTTGCTGAGATGAGGACTAGTGTGTGTAACTTCCAAGAAAGCAGCCCCCTATGTTTTATTTAAAAATTTTCTTTGTATGTACTATTAGGAAAGAGGATACTTATTCCTCTGTTAACTATTAATTAGAAAAGAGGACACTTATCCCTTCTGCTAACTATTAATTGGGGTGGTAGAAGATGAAACAAGTTGATGTTTAAAATAGGACATGAGCCTATTATTCCACATGCAGGCATTCTTGAAAAGTTCTCTGTAGATTTTAGTAGACAGCATATAAGAATATCACATGCTACCATCATTTATCAGCATTGCACTATATTTGTCAGTGTCAGTAAAACTGAATATAGGTCAAATGAATGAAGGGTAAGGAAACAAAGTCTTATTTTTTCAGGAATAATAATTTTTTTTTTTTTTTTAATTAGGTAAAGATCTTTTCCTAGCAACCTGTTCACAAGATTGCCTGATACGAGTATGGAGGATGTATTTAAAATCAACATCATTAGAAACTCAGGATGATGATAATATAAGACTGAAGGAAAATACTTTCACTGTAGAAAATGAAAGTGAGTAATAATGAAAATATTTGATGTAATAATACTTAGGTCTCCTAGCTGAATCATTTTTGTTTTATTAGTAAACCTATGTTAGTTTTTCAGAAATATCAGAGCCCTACATGAAATTTGATACTATGCATTTTTCCTTTTTAAAATTTTTATGAAACAAGTCTTTTTTCATATATGAAATTTATTTTTGTTGTAAACCATACTAATGAGGGTTTTTTTTTTTAATTTTAAAATATATGTTTTATTGATTTTTTACAAAGAAGAAGGGAGAGGGATAGCTTTATCCACTGAGCCAAACCAGTTAGGGGAACTAGTGAGATTTTTAAAAATTGCTGAAAATATTTCAAAATGTTTTCTCAATACATTAATTTGTATAGTGTTACTAAGGTTGTAATTTTAGCATATGAAGATCAAAAGAAATCATGTGAATTAGCCATACCTTAGTTGGAAGATACTCTACAAGACAAGCTAAATCCCTGCATTTGAGGACTATACATAATTCTGATTTTCACACTGTCTGGCATCAGAACAGTATCCCTGCATGGGGTATTGATCCTGTTGAAATAATTGTATTTGAAGAAGTTATTTTTGTTTGTTTTTTGAAGAAGGTATTTTTGGATGTGCATCTAAATTGTGAAGTTAGTTCTCAGTGAGCATTGTTCCCCCACGAATTCTCCTCTTTGTTATTACTCTTCTCAATTATAAAGCCCGTAAGAGTTGAGATTTTGGTAACAGTTTTTATTTATTTATTTTATTTATTTATTTTTTATTTTTTTAAAAATATATTTTATTGATTTTTTACAAAGAGGAAGGGAAAGAGATAGAGAGCTAGAAATGTCAATGAGAGAGAAACATCGACCAGCTGCCTCTTCCACACCCCCTACCGGGGATGTGCCTGCAACCAATGTACATGCCCTTGACCGGAATCAAACCTGGGACCTTTCAGTCCGCAGACCGACGCTCTACCACTGAGCCAAACCGGTTTCGGCAGTAACAGTTTTTAAAAAATATTTTTATTGACTTCAGAGAGGAAGAGGGAGGGAGAGAGAGAAATAGAAACATCAGTGATGAGAGAGAATCATGGATCGGCTACCTCCTGCACTCCCCTTACTGGGCATCGAACTGCCACCCAGGCATGTTCCTTGACCAGTAATCGAACTCGGGACCCTTCAGTCCACAGGCTCTATCTACTGAGCCAAACAGGCCAAGGCTGAGATTTTGGTAACAGTATTATAGGGGGTGGAGAGGGCAAAGAAATAGTATAACCAGCATATTATAAGTAGCTATTCCCAAAGTTGAATTTTTTTGTGATATTTTTATGAATTATTTTGTTTGAAAGGTCACAAACTTTCAAACTGACTTGTCTTCCTGTACTTCTGCATTTATCTTTTTTGTTTGTTTTGTTACTCTTCACCTAAAGATATTTTAATTAAACCCAAGACTCTGATCCACAGGCCAACACTGTAACCACTAAGCAAAACTGGCCAAGGCTATCTTAATTTTTTTAAAATGGCATTTTAGATTATTATACTGTAATAATGATAAGCATAGCTAGGAGGCTGGTGTGTCTGCTTTTTGCTTTTAAATTGTAGTATAACAATATATCCCAGAAAATATTAAAAATAGAGTAAAAAAAAATAGAGTATAATCTTTAATGTTTATTTCTGACCGGGTAGAGAAAAGGTAGAGAAAAGTTTATCTGGAAGAGCTTTGAGGAAACAGCGCTTCTTCATTGCATTTGTTAAAGGTATTAAAATGGAGTTTGCGGTTACTCTGGAGACAGTGCTGGCTGGTCACGAAAGCTGGGTGAATGCAGTTCATTGGCAGCCTTCATTTTACAAAGGTAGGACAAAAAACATACACGTATCCCTTCCGCATCAGTTAAATCTCCCACGCAGAATGTTACGCTGACTAAAATGGAGGGTAGTTTGAATGTGATTAGGAATCTCAAATGTAAGACGTTTTCAAGTTGACAAAGTGTAATACTGCAGCCCTTTTCTGCTGGACACTCAATTCCACTGCATATTGCGCTCCTGAGCCGGAAAAGGGTGATCCTTGCCACAGTTACTGAAAGTGCCTCACCCCAGTATCTTTTTTTCTGGAAAGTCTCAGACTATTATGGGATTGAAGAGAAATTGACTTTCGGGCAAACTTCACTGGATCCTTGGCAGTACAAAGATGGTAATACTGACATGCGTAATTTATGAGAAAATAAGATCCCCCCATCACTCAGAACCTCCACTTCTGAGTGATGGCTGTGTGCATGCTCATGCTGGTGCTGGAGCTAAGTAAGGCACAGCCTCCTCCTTCCCCAGAGCTGAAATAGAGACTATCCATTGTTACTGTTCAGGTAACCACTACTCAGCTTTAATTATATTATACCTTATTTGCTACAGTTTAAAAAAAAATAGGTGTAGATATTGAGGACCCCTGTGTATTCCCTGAGCCCTTGCCTCTCCATCCTTCCCTGGAGGCAACTGCAATACTAAATTCTGGGTATTAGCATTCCCAGGCATGTTTTTATACTTTACACATTGATGTCGCCACAAACAGCAGTTTCATAGCTACTGACTGACATGATCTCAGTGTGTCATTATCCTCTTAGAATTTGCCTTTTTAGCTTACCATGCTAATCATTTGGAGTTGTATCCATGTTGATTCATGTTTATTTTGATTGCAGTTTAATAGTACACTGTTTAAATATACCACAACTTGTTTACTTGTTCTTATGGTAGACATTGTGGTGTTTCCAGATTTTGCTATTGCATTGCTAAAGTGAATGTTTTTGCAATATCCATGTTGTTTTTTCTAGTAATCTACAAACATAATGCCTGGTGAAAACCTAAAGAAATTATATTTTTTAGATGGTGTTTTGCAGCAGCCAATGAGATTATTGTCTGCCTCAATGGATAAAAGCATGATTCTCTGGGCTCCAGATGAAGAGTCAGGAGTTTGGCTAGAACAGGTAAAAATGTGGATATTTAAGGGAATTGAGTTTATAAACAATATTTAATTCCCAAGTCTGTATTCCCAAGGAGCTGCAGACCTTCACTCTTTGTATATGTTAAATGAGTGAGAACATAATCTCTGGAACCAGTGGTTTCTATTGATTACAAATTGTTTTCTGTTATTGCTTTAGGTTCGAGTAGGGGAAGTCGGTGGAAATACTCTGGGATTTTACGATTGCCAATTCAATGAAGATGGCTCTCTGATCATCGCTCATGCTTTCCATGGAGCATTGCACCTATGGAAACAGAATGCAGCTAACCCAGTAAGAAAAGCACTTGAAACCCAGTTAACTTATAGCATACGTAGTACCAATAGAGACACTTAAGTACTAATGACATCACTTCTTTTTGTAAGCATTATACTATAGTTTACTATTTTGTAAGCATTATACTATAGTTTACCTAGTAAGAAATATACTATTTCTTACTAGGTAAGAAATTCATATTTTTCTTTTTTTTTTTTTTAATATATTTTATTGATTTTACACAGAGAGGAATTGAGAGGGACAGAGTTAGAAACGTCGATGAGAGAGAAACATCCACCAGCTGCCTCTTGCACACCTCCAACTGGGGATGTGCCCACAACCAAGGTACATGCCCTTGACCGGAATCGAACCTGGGACCTTTCATTCCCCGGGCCGACGCTCTATCCACTGAGCCAAACCGGTCCCGGCAGAAATTCATATTTTTCTAAGAATAAAAGTATTAATTTCTCCAGCATTGGTGAGGCATTGAAATTTGCACATACATAAAATTTCTACCTAAATGAACTTTAAGCTATATACATTTTAAGTTCTTCCTTTAAACTATATGAATATTTTTATGGGAGCTTTTCCTAAAATGTGTAACTTTTCTATTTTAAAGAAAGTAACATAGTTTGATATTTTCTTGTTGAATGACTGGGTACTCCATAGATAATGACTGAACAAGTGACTGACAAAAGGGCATTCTGATCACTGTTATTTTGTGATGGATTATATTGATGCTCTCTCATGTGTAATTCTACATGGCCTAACAAGAATTGGGCCCTTTTAGCTTTTTCTTATAATTTTGGTCTCTTCTCAAAGATAGGTAATCTTCTTCTGATCATGCTGAACATTATTACATCTTTTACTTTCTAATTTGCTTATCTGCTGCTTGGGTTTGGGAAATGGAATAGCAGATGTATAGTGGCTAAGAGCACAGGTCTTGGACTAAGACATCTGAATTTAGGCTCCATGCCAGCACTTACTAACCAGCTATATGTCCTTGAGGACATACCTAAGTCTCTCTCAGGTTTTTTATTTGTAAAATGTGAATAGTCATAGCATCTAAACTTAAGTTTTTTATGATGCTTAAATGAGTTAATATTTGTATAGCATAAAAAACAGGTCCTGGCATATAATGATACTATATAAATGTATTTTAACAAATGAAAGAAGTCAGAACATTTGACTGAAATGTGAATCACCGGATAATAGCTTCCTTTATAAAGTACAAATTTATGGATTTGCATAATGTTTAATTTGTGGGCTTTGTAATAGGTGTGTTACCTAGGAGGATTTGACTGCTCAGAACATAGGGTGACTTGCTCTTTCCCTTATGTCTTCTATGTAGTTGATCTTCATGATTATTTATACTTCTTTTTCTAAATATATATTTTTATTGATTTTAGAAAGGAATGGAGAGGGAGAGAAAGAAACATCAATGGTGAGAAAGAGTCATTGATTGGCTTCTTCCTGCATGCCTCACACTGAGACTGAGCCTGAAACCTGGGCATGTGCCCTGATCTGGAATTGAACCCTGACCTCCTGGTTCATAGGTTGACACTCAACCACTGAGCCATGCTGGCTGGGCTCGTTTCTACTATTAAGTGAGACAGGAAATCATCAGTGATGACTTTTAGAAAGAAATATTTTGGGGGATAAATTTAATTTCATTCTCAGAGCTCCTTTGAGCTGTATTTCGGGTGGTCTTTGAGACCCTTCATAGGAAAAAGCATCAGATGGGTAAGGAGAAACTCAAACCAAAAGACATAATCTCAGTATACTTGTGCTTGTAACTTGGCTTCACATTTATAAAAGCTACTTACAAGTATTGAGCGTGATTTTTTTTTATTGACTTTATTTTTTAGAGCAGTTTTAGGTTCAAAGAAAGCATGGAAGATTCCCATATAAGCCCTCCCTTCCCGCCTGTTGGCCACCACCCCCAACCTTATGCATGTCAACATCCTAAACCAGAGATTTACATTTGTTATGAGCAAGAGTGATTTTTTGTTGTTGTTGTTAATTTTCACCCGAAAATATTTTTTCCATTGATTTTTAGAGAGAATGGAAGGGAGGGGTATATTCAGAAAGAGAGAAACATCGATGTGAGAGAGACACATCATTGGTTGCCTCCTACATATGTCCAGACCAGGGCTAGGGACTGAGCTTGCAATCGAGGTGCATGCCTTGACGGGAATTGTACCCAGGACCCTTCAGTACGTGGACTGACGTCTGTCTACTGAAGCAAACTGGGTAGGGCAAGAGTGTGGTTTTTAAAAACAAACTGCCTTAGGACTTGCAGTGGCAGGCTGTACTGATAGTCCAAAAAGCTGCCCTTTGTTCAGCACTTTCCGGAAACTCCCATTAGTGCTAACTTTAGAATCAGTTGTGTGCCACAGAGGAAATTAATAGCATTTCTTTGTCATAGCCTTTTTATTTATTTTTGACCAGAAAATAGTACAGTTTAACTTAATCGCTGACCCCACAAATTTAATTTTCTTCTTAAGACAAGTTTTACCATCACTTGGTTTTTGCCCTAATAGACATTCAAAAGTTGTCAAGCCTGGCTGGTATGGTTCAGTGGTTGAGTCATAACCTATGAATCTAGAGGTCACGGTTTGATTCCTGGTCACATGCCATGCTGGGTTGTAGGCTCAATCCCCAATGGGGCCATGCAGGAGGCAGCCGAACAAGGATTCTCTCTTCATTGATGTATCTATCTCCTCTTCCTCTCCCTTTCGCTCTGAAATAAATTAAAAACAAACAAACAAACAAAAAAAAAGCTCTGTGGCCATGGCCAGGATACTCAGTTGTCTGGAGCATCGTCCTCTACTCCAAAAGGCTGTGGCCCAATCCCTGGTCAGGGCACATATGAAAGGCAACCGATTGATGTTTCCTTCTCACATCAATATTTCTCTCCCTAAAATAAATAAAGACATATCCTTGGGTGACCAGCTAAATGACATTTTCTGTATTTCGTTACCATTATTTATATGGTGGCTTGTGTAGGCTCCCTCAGAAAGTGAACCAACTAGGCCTGGTTCACCCCTTGGTTTTCTACTCTGCAATTCCCTTTACTTAGTAAAGGAAGCCATTGAGGCATACAATTGGAATCTAATACCTCATTTTACACAGTACTCTTTGATTATTTAGTTTAACAAATAAATACTCACATAGTACCTCCTTTGTGCTGACATTGTTGTGTGTGCTTTATAAATATAAACTCATTTAATTCTCATAATTAGGTATTCTATGAATTAGGCAATTTTACAGAAGAGTTAATTTAGGCATAGAAAGGTTAAGTAGTATTTGGCTTCTAGGAGGTATTCAATAAATGATGAATGGAGAGGTATTTCCCAAAGTTACTTTTTTAAAAGAATTTTTAAATTTTTGTTAATCTTCACCCAAGGATATTTTTTCCATAGATCTTTAGAGAGAGTGGAAAAGAGAGGGAAAGACAGAGAGAAACACATGGATTGGTTGCCTCCTGCATAGGCCCTGACCAGGGCCCATGCTGGGGAGGAGTCTGCAACTGAGGTACGTGCCCTTGACCAGACTCGAACCCGGGACCCTTTGTTCTGCAGACCGATGCTCTATCCATTGAGCCAAACTGGCTAGGGCCCAAAGTTACATTTTTGAAGGACATAGAACATATTTGAATGTAAGTTCTAATATGCTTGACTGAAAAAGAATCTGTGTTTTCCTTGGGGATGGGGAGATGGAGAGGGCGAGGGCAGGGAAAGGCATGATATGCTTCCAGGAGGGAAAGCACCAGATTCTGTTATTTTAAAATCCCATCTTCACTTAGCTTTTCATCTTGCTTGGGGGTTTCAGTCTTTCCCAGTAGAAGACCTGAGGGCTGAAGGCATTATCAGATTTTATTTTGAGCGACGGAGGTCTTTGATTATTTTGATGTGTCCTGAACACTTTCATTACAGAGAGAGTGGACTCCAGAGATTGTCATTTCAGGACACTTTGATGGTGTCCAGGATCTAATGTGGGATCCCGAAGGAGAATTTATCATCACTGTTGGTACTGACCAGACAACTCGACTTTTTGCTCCATGGAATAGAAAAGATCAATCACAGGTAAAATGTTGTCATGTTTGATGGATCCCAGTTAATAAAAAATATCCATGAGCATGTGAAAAGTGGAGCAACATCATTAGCTATTAGGGAAATGCAAATTAAAACCAAGATGAGATGTCACTACACACCCTCTGGAAAGGCTGAAGTAAGAAATACAGTAACAGGTGGTGATAAGGATACAGAGCAACTGGAACATTCATACATTGCTAGAGGAAATGTAAAAAGATACAAGCATTCTGGAAACAGTTTGATATTTTCTTAAAGACTTACACATACATGCATTCTTTACATTCAAATAATTCAGTTGTTGTTAAATGTATTTGCTTCAGTTCTACACAAAAGTTCTGTGATGCCTTGTAATTAATTCATTAGGAAATACTAGCAAGTCTGTAGTAAAAGCTAATTTCTAAAGTCATAGTGTTAGATAAATAGTGGTTGAGAGTGATTTTTGTCCAGGAAACTTTTCAATCTTGGACTTAGCTCAGAGAACTTGATGGTCATTTTTGTTTATCCTATGTTAATACCCAGGTGACTTGGCATGAAATTGCCCGGCCTCAGATACATGGATATGACCTGAAATGTTTGGCAATGATTGATCGGTTTCAGTTTGTATCTGGAGCAGATGAAAAAGTCCTTCGAGTATTTTCTGCACCTCGGAATTTTGTGGAAAATTTTTGTGCCATTACAGGCCAATCATTGAATCATGTACTTTGTAATGTGAGTATCCCTCTAAATGTTTTACCTAAATCTAGTCACTTAATTTAAATTTTTAAAAATTTTGCTTAAGGTTATAAATGGGTAGAAAGGAAGTCAAACCTTTTTATTGGCTTGACAAACGTGTGTGGAGTAATTTAAATATGAAATATTTAAACATTAAAACCAGAAGTTTTATAACAAATTAGATCAAGACAGTAAAAATTTTAAATATATTTTTATTGACTTTTCACAGAGAGGGATAGAGAGTTAGAAACATTGCTGAGAGAGAATCATCGATCAGCTATCTCCTGCACACCCCTTACTGGTTATGTGCCCTCAACCACAGTACATTCCCTTGACCGGAATCGAACCCGGGACCTTTCAGTCCACAGGCCGACGCTCTATCCACTGAGCCAAACCGGTCCCGGCAAGACAGTAAAACTTAAATATTAAATTAAGGTAGGAATACTGTATATCATCACTGTGCCGGTTTTGATGGTTACACATAGTTTCATAAGAGATAATTTGATTTACATAACTTATGGATTATTGGCATTTCAGATGGTAATCTAAAAAATTTTTTTTAAATATTTGAGTATTTAAATATGTTTAGTGAAAATATGGTGAGCTGTTAGGATTCAATGAGAGGATGCCCAACTTTCTGGATTGGGTAGAGAAGTTCGGGTTAGCTGGAACTTGTCTATTCGAGAGTGATTCCTAGTGTTGCATCTGTTGGTTCAAGAAATTAAAGCTGGGCAGGTATCCACACACAGGTGAACTTTAAACTGCTTTTTAGCATTTGTGAGCATGACAGTTTTGTAGTGCCTGATGTAATAGTAACTTTAAAACATATATCGTACTTTTTATTTCAGCAAGACGGTGATCTTCCAGAAGGCGCTACTGTCCCTGCTTTGGGATTATCAAATAAAGCTGTCTTTCAAGGTAAGGCTGAAAAAAATTATTGGTATGTAAATCTACTTACACACTTGTATAACTTGCACTTAATATTCATTATAGCCGGTATTATTTTAAAATCATAGTACATACATCTATCTCCTTTTTTACGTATTTCGTGATAAGTACTCTGTACACATGCAGACCGTGAAATGGTGTCATGGAGCACTACAACCACGGATGCTAATATGGGTGGCTGAAAGAATGTTCCATGTTTTATAAACTTGGGAAATGTTAGATCAAAGGAAAAGGAAGGACTCTCCTTATGGATTCCTTATGGAACTGATTAGTGCTCCTAGGAGCACATTGGAAAACATGAGTGGCAGAAACAAATGCCTTTGGCTTTGCAATCACATGGGTATGGCTTTGAATTACACTACTTTGAAGCACCACTACTTTCTAACTGGTGGCCTTAATATTGGAACATGTAGAGGAGACGTAAAGATGATGACTATCTTCATGATGTTACGTGTTTCTTTTAAACCAGGAGATATAGCTCCTCAGCCCTCTGAGGAAGAAGAGCTGTTAACTAGGGCAGGTTTTGAGACTCATCAGATGGCCTTTCAACCCACCCTACTTTCTGGTAAGAACTCACAAAAATATGATTTAATAGAATCATTAGTACTCATATTTGCCACTGCTGACCTAACTAAGTGCTCTAGCATTTGCTTTTTTATTTGCACGGAAATAGAAAAAATGATTGCAGTGCTATAAATTTATTGTAGAACCTCCCACTGAGGATCAGCTTTTGCAGAATACATTGTGGCCTGAAGTTCAAAAACTGTGAGTTAAACTGTTAGCAATTTGGTCTGATTCTGTCATAACTTGTGATTTCCACCACTCCAACTTGATTTTTCTCCTTGGCTTTCCTCTAACCTACATTTCCCTCCCTCTTGCTCTAAAGATTTTTTAGTAGCTTTCATAATAGGTGAGAATCAAACTTCACATAGATTTTTATATTACTATGTCTTTATTTACTAGGTTTGTTTATTGGTCTTAATAATACATATTTGTGTATCTTCCATTAAAAAAAAACACACTTTTAGATTTGTTATTCTGTTTGTCTTTTTTTCCTTTGTTGGTTCCCAATCAAAACCTTTCCATGGTTTATTATTTATTGTACTGACTGGCTGGTGGTGAAAATTTGTGTGTTTTTTTATTTTTCCTTTTTATTTTTGTTAATCCTCACCTGAGGATATTTTTCCATTGATCTTTAGAGAGAATGGAAGGGAGGGGGAGAGACACCGAGAGAGAAACATGGATGTGCGAGAGATACATCTATTGGTTGCCTCCCATCCTGCAACCTAGGTACTTTCCCTTTATCGGAATCAAATCCGGAACCCTTCAGTCCGAAGGCCAACACTCTATCCATTGAGCCAAACAAGCTAAGGGCTTTTTTTTTTTAAGTCCTCACCCATGGACATGCTTAAAGAGAAACATCAGTATGTGAGAGAGAGCATCGATTGGTCGCCTTCCATACAATCTATTGGGATCAAACCTACAACCTAAGTATATTCTTTGACTGGGAACCACACCTACAGCCTTTCAGTGTATGGGATGATGCTCAACCAATTGAGCCAACTCTGGCCAGCCAAACCTTGTATTTTAATCTTATTGTTTGAATAAGTTGTATTACTTCTAGGATGTTGGCATTTTTCTCCAGTCTCTCTTGTCCCCCAAAATGTTTGCCTGGGCAGAAATTTAATGTTCCTTAAAAGAACTGTATGTCAGCTAGAGAGGTTGATGTTATTCTTTTCACATTTTAAAACTTTTCAACATGAGGCTATTTACCAATACGGCGGTCACGTGTTTTCTTGTTTTAAATTTTAGATATGGACATGGTTACGAGTTATTTAGTGTTGCTTGTAACAATTCAAAGACTCTGCTTGCCTCAGCTTGTAAGGTAGGGGAATTTTACTTTTTTACTCTACTTGGTCACAGGTATTTGAGTTGTTAGATTGGCGGTGTTTTAATCAGAACACTGTATGAACGGCCCTGGTGTCTGCTCTAACCGGTTTTGGCAATAATCTCATTTTAATAGGGATCTTATTAGACAGTTTACATTTAATGTCTTAATTTATATGGTTGGATTTAAATTGTCATCTTACTATTTGCTTTCTACTTGATCTATCTATTTTTTGTTCCATTTTAGTTATATTTAATTAATTGATTGCTTTTTATGATTTTACTTTTATATATAGAGATTGTTTTCTTATACTTTGTCTGGATTTTTTATTTTTTTCAGACAAGAGAGTAAATCTGATCCCTGCTACTCCATATTGACTAGAAGTGAATGTTTTTTTAAAAAAATATATTTTATTTTTTTTTAAATATTTTATTGACTTTTTACAGAGAGGAAGGGAGAGAAAGAGTTAGAAACATCGATGAGAAAGAGTCATTGATCAGCTGCCTCTTGAACACCTCCTACTGGGGATGTGCCCGCAACCCAGGTACATGCCCTTGACCGGAATCGAACCCAGGACCTTTCAGTCTACAGGCTGACGCTCTATCCACTGAGCCAAACCGGTTTTGGCTAGAAGTGAATGTTTTTAAACCATCGTTTCATCTCTGTCCTATAGGCAGCTAAGAAAGAGCATGCAGCCATCATTCTTTGGAACACCTCATCTTGGAAACAGGTGCAGAATCTGATTTTCCACAGCCTGACTGTCACACAGATGGCCTTCTCACCTAATGACAAGTTCTTACTAGCTGTTTCCAGAGATCGGACCTGGTCACTGTGGCGAAGGCAGGACACAATCTCCCCTGAGTTAGGTAAAAACAGTTTCTGATTGGGAAGATGAATAGGAAGACAGTTCTATCCATTTTTAAAATATATATATTATTGATTTTTTACAGAGAGGAAGAGAGAGGGATAGGGAGTTAGGAATGTCAGTGAGAAAGAAGTATTGATCAGCTGGTCTGTGTCACAGTCCCAGTACGTGTGAGAAAAGACTGATTGCTCTTGCAAATAACTAGTGACTTGTAACATGCAACCTTTACTTTTTAAAAAGTTAAAGTGATAAAACATACCCATTGATTTTCTGTATTTTTATAGATTATGGATTAATAAATACCTTCTTCTTCTTTCCTCCTCATAAGAGTTATGTTTTAGTTTTAGTCTATATAAGGACTAAATATTAGCTTACATTTAAATCTTAAAAGGGAAATTTTTTTAAGTTTGTGTTTTTAAAATATTACTTAAGGGTGCATTAATCTTTTCCCCATTGCTTAATATAAAATCTGGCTACTTCCCAAATAAGGTTGAATTGCTTCAGGCTTCTTCCGTAGGCATAAACTGGATCTTTAGCTAAGTGCCTAGAAGACATTTGTCATCAGTCACTAGAGAGTAACTTGTCAATATAACTCATTCCCTACTAGAAAAATAACGGTATTCCCAGAGCCTCTGACAAGGGATCAGCTGCCTAGCCATGGTCTGTTGCAAAAGTTAGCATTTGGAGATTGAATACTAAATTGCATGATGTACATGGCACTTAAACATAGCTTTTTAATAGCCAAAATGCCAGCATTCTCTGCTTTGTGATTGGTGCCTGTGTATTTCTTTCAGACCCAATTTTTAGTCTCTTTGCCTTCACCAACAAAGTCACTGCTGTGCATAGTAGAATTATTTGGTCTTGTGATTGGAGTCCTGATAGCAAGTTTTTCTTCACTGGAAGCCGAGACAAAAAGGTAATTTTTTTTTAACTTAATAGTTTTTGAATGTAAAATAATATTGTTACAGGTATGTTTGGATAGAAACCACATAATCCTGACTTTCTGATACAACTTTTAAAAACCAATTTATATATTCCCTCTGTTTTTCATATACATGCATAAAAAAGTATTTTCATGTTAAATGCTATATAATACATTTCTCTGAAATCTCAAATATGAAAAGACCTTTCTTACACGGCCTGCATCAGTGGCCCCAGTGTGAGAAAAACAATAAATGAAGTGGATCAAAACTAAGAAAGGAGGAGAGTAGGAGAAGGGCAAAAGACATATGGGGGGAAAGTTTCTACTTTTCCTTTTTATGTTTTTATGAATGAAATGTTTTCTATAGCAAATGACTATTACCTTTTCCTTCAATAGTGAGAATGGTGTGTGTGTGTGTGTGTGTGTGTGTGTGTGTGTGTGTGCGCGCGCGCCAACATTTCCAGAAACCAGAGTAAGCTAGCTAGCAATAGGTTCTTGACCAGGACCTTCACCCTTGTTTTTCTGGCTCCTGGTCTTTCCTCTGTTTCGTACTCTTGATTCCCTTTTCCTAAGGTCCTTGCACACCATGGAGTGTTTCCCTGCCCTTGCCAGTCCTAGTCATGGTACAAATTACTGAAGTCAGGACCAGCATGATCAGTGAGACTGACACGTCAACCCCTGAAACGCTTTTCCTCAGACCTTCACTTTATTTAATTCTTCCCTGGCATTTATTTCCTGTGCTCTGCTAGCTGCCCAGGGAGCAGGGCTGTCCTGCCCTCCACAGTCATGCCCAGTAGCAGATGGCCCAGCTGTGGCTCTGGATACGCCAGGGCTGAAACAGACAGGGCATCATCCACTGCACATGCTCAGAAATGCTCTTCCGCTTGTTTGGGCGGAGCCTTCTACTCAGAATCTTGTTTTGGTCCTGCATTTTGCAATTATTAGCCGCTTCACTTCCCTCTCCACTTCTTTTTGACCAGTCACACCCCCTTCAGGACTAAGCTTCCAGGGAAACCTCATGTCTTATGTGGGTTATCTTCAAGGTTACCCCGCAGCTGGGCTGATGCCTGAGCAGTGGGTGATGTAGAGGAAGAGTGGTGATGTATTGGTCCCTATACATTTTGTAACTTCGTGGGCAGGTGCCTGAGCCCCTCAGTGAGGACAGGATCGATTGAATCTCGCTGGATCCGACCTCCCGAGTGTGAAGAGCATGCTAGATAACCCCTGCCAGGGACAGTCTGTCTTTGGGTGACACATGTAGGTAATTGAGGTCTCAGCAACTTGTGTCTGCTACACTGTGGCTTCTCTGTGTGCTTAAAGTCTCCTCCGTCCTGGAACACACATGTAAGTGCTGAATTTTTTGACTGCCAGAGCAGTTGTTTTGCTGGAAACCTTGCAGAGAGAAAGCTTTACAGAGTCTGGCCTGTTTGTGTTAGGTGGTTGTCTGGGGTGAGTGCGACTCCAGCGATGATGCCATTGAGCACAGCGTCGGCCCCTGCTCCTCCGTCCTGGACGTGGGTGGGTCTGTGACGGCCGTCAGCGTCTGCCCGGTGCTCAACCTGTCCCAGCGGTGAGTCTCTGTAGGGCTTCATGGGTTTCAGTTTGTAGCCCTCCTACACTTATGGGCTTGTAGCTTCTGAGCTGATTTTTTTTTTCATACTGTTTATATTTCTCATAAGAATTTTTAAATTGGTAGAACTTGGGATATTCAACGTGGTGAAAGGGAAGTTGGGAGTGTGGCTCAAAGGTTCTTATTCACCAAATTCAGGACTCTGGTACTTCCTGTGTAATAAGTATCTTCAACAGAATGGGGCCCCTACAGCTGGCCAGGGAAACATTGGTTCTTGGGCTTTGCCAGGGGAGGACAGAGGTAAAACTGTGGGCACCCTCGATGGAGAGGAAGCCCCTTGAGGGCACAGGACAGCAAGGGCCCCTATTCTGGGCTGGTGGTTTTAAATAGAGATCTCTATAGGTGTGGGGTGGTTGGGAACACTGAGAGCTACTTGGAGTGATGGTTGAGATAACAGAAATTCTTGCTAAATTAATAACTGTCTTCCTTTCCTCCCTCAAAAACAGGTACATTGTTGCAATAGGGTTAGAGTGTGGAAGGATTTGTTTATACACCTGGAAAAAGACTAATCAATTTCCTGAAGTAAATGACTGGGCCCCCTGTGTTGAAACAAGCCAAAGGTATTTTCTTCCTATTTTTTGCTTCTATCAGATTACATAGAAACCATGATATCTTTAGTGGCACATTTTATGCCATGTGTGCATGGATGAGGACACAGATCTGAATTTGTAGTGCTTACCATTGAATGGCAACCCTGTGTTGTATAGTATATCTCTTGAAATTGATGTTTGTTAACTCTGTTTTTTAAGAATTTGCTTGACCGAATTGCTTGTTTGCATATTATCTTTACAGATTACACATTTAAAGCTCATCTTCAAATGACTTAACTGTTTTTAGTAATCAAATCCATCCTCATGCAAAGATGAGCTGTCACTGATTCTACTTAAGTCATAACCTGTGTAATATGAGACTGTGGGAGCATTTCCGTTAGAAGGATTTCCGGAAGCATTGAGGCACAGCAGCACTGTGAGATGTGTGTGACCTCCCAGAGGGCTCAGTCATATGGTGCCATAGCTCCCGGTGTGCTGATTTTAAATGTTTCAGGCTTCAAGATTAACCTGTAGTCCTGCCTTTGAACCTGAGAGTGCATCAGGTGACAGAGACTCTCAGTATTTGAAAGTCTAATTTGTGTGCTCTGTCATTTTCCTCATTTACTGCCTTAAAATATAAGTCTTTCACTTTATTCTTTCTTGGTTTGGATGCCTAATTTGCAGGTTAAATTACAGAGGATATGCTTTCACAGACATTTATTAATAATCTATGCTTGGGAGCATTGTAGGTCTGCCTTGGGGGTGAGGGTGGGCATTAATGTGAGCATCTTGCTCAAGGTCATGCACTTGAAGATCACATTAAAGACCAAGGTTCTTTCACTGGGCATTTTATTAAGTCATTTACTATCCTTCCTCACCCAGCACTAAATATGTTAGTAAGAGTCCATCCATGTCATAGGGGTGTCATGCTGGAGTTCTTGTTAAGAAGGGCATTAAGCCGAAACCTGTTTGGCTCAATGGATAGAGCGTTGGCTTGGGGACTAAAGGGTCCCGGGTTCGATTCTGGTCAAAGGCATGTACCTTGGTTGCGGGCATATCCCCAGTAGGGGGTGTGCAAGAGGTAGCTGATCGATGACTCTCTCATCGATGTTTCTAACTCTCTATCTCTCTCTCTTCCTCTCTGCACAAAATCAATAAAATATATATATTTTTTTTTTAAAAAAGAAGGGCATTAAGAAGGGTTCAGCAATCTGAAGAAAGGTTGTGTGTAACTTAAGTAAGAGTCCAGTGACAAAAGATAATTTTGAAAGGCATTGGGGGTCAGAGGAGCCTAGCTAAAGGAGCAAAGTTCTCTTCATCTCAGGACCCTTTGCTTTTTATTAACACAATTTGTCCTAAGGCAGCGTGGAGAAATGCACATCAAAGGGTAGGGTTTCCTGCAGAAGTATTGTCAGGTTGGGGAATTGCCTGCAGCTGTACAGGTGTTTGGCCAGTAGGAGGCATTACATGTATATTAAGATGACCTAAGCATTCTGACAGCAAATAATCGTCCTTTTCAGGTTTGGGGAAATGCTTTTAACCAGCCATTCTCCAGCAGGCGATAACGTATGTGGGACTCAGCCCTTGTTGAGTCCCCAAGTTCCATCAACCTTTTTATTTTATTATTTTAAATATATTTTATTGATTTTTTTTTTACAGAGAGGAAGGGAGAGGGATAGAGAGTTAGAAACATCCAGGGAGAAACGTCAATCAGCTGCCTCCTACACACCCCCTACTGGGGATGTGCCCGCAACCAACGCACATGCCCTTGACCAGAATCGAACCTGGGACCCTTCAGTCCGAAGACAACGCTCTATCCACTGAGCCAAACCGGTTTTAGCTCCATCAACCTTTTGATGAAACTCTTGCAATTATGACATGCTGGAATTGGCTTCCGGCAATATCGGAAGAATAATCTAGAATATGTTGCAGTGTTAGAATTCTTAAAGAAACACATTCAGTAAAGTTATCTGAAAGGCTGATCTTAATAGCCATGTCATGAATTCCACTGATCATTAAAACAAAATTTGATGGAAAGTTATTATCTATTTCTTGCACTTTTGGTGGTATCCTTGATTAGTAATGAAGTAAAAGATGTTTCCAAGGTTAGAATAAAATTACTAAAAAATTAGTGATGGTATTTTAAAACCTGTACATTGTGATTTTCAGGTTTTGATTTAATTTATGTTAATATTAATAGTAAGAGTATACTAGTTAAATTACATGTAGGTAAGCTCCCAGTAAAATATTTTTTAGTCATAGAATACATTCATTTAATGCTTTCTCTGTCTTTGTTTTAGTCAAAGCCATACACTTGCTATCAAAAAATTATGCTGGAAGAATTGTAATGGAAAAACTGAGCAGAAGGAAGCAGAAGGCCCTGAGTGGTTACATTTTGCAAGTTGTGGTGAAGATCATACTGTGAAGATATACAAAGTAAACAGAAGTGTACTGTAATGGACTTAATGACTACAAGCATGTAATCATTAGTGGCTTAACATCATTAAATCATGTAAATGGATCATCTGTCTTCATAATTTCATTGAGTTTCATTTGTAAGTCTTATAGGAGTATATTAATTTGTATCACAGACCCTTTGAAATCTGATGAAAGCTTCAGACTCTACTCAAAACTGTTATATATACAGACACCCTCAGAACCTTGCCCATACCTTCTGGGATTCAGATCTGCATCTATATATTTCAGATAAGAACTCTGTCTTGCTTCATGACTGAATTTGTATTTCTCTTTTTACATGCCTCTCTTTGGGACGTATCATTAATCATCTTCTTCAGAGGGAGGACGTAGAAAATAAAAAAGAGATGAAAGCCAGATTACTCAATTCTTTTAAAAACAGTTTTTGTAAATTGGACCACACAAAGTGTGGTCTTGACCCCTTTTCCCAGTACACACCAACCATTTCAGGAATTTGGCAGGAATTTGGGAACTTGAAGTGTAGCCAGCCACTTCTTTCATTCTTTAAAAGTAGATGGGTTCTTCTTTTAGGCTTTGACTTACAGCAGAATATCTGAACACTTACCGTAGTCTGATAGATGAAGGGACTAAAAAGTCACTTTCTGAATCATTTGATTTTATCAGAAGTCACAAATGAGTCATGAGAGTAAAGGATGTCCCCAGGAAGAATGAGCAGTGGGAGCAGAGGGAAGAAGATGAGAGAAACAGAATGTTGGGTGTGCCAGCTGAGGTTTGAGAGGTGGGATTAAGAATTAGAAGTTGGGGTGAAAATGTTAAGGGGATGTGATCCCTGGCCAGTGTGACTCAGTGGTTAAAGCCTTGGCCTGCGCACGAAGGGTCTCTGGTTTGATTCCCGGTCAAGGGCACATATCTTGGTTGCAGGTTCCTCAGCCCTGGTAGGGGCGCATACGGGCAGGAGGTGATCAGTCAATGTGTCTATTTCATGTAGCTGTTTCTCTCTCTCTCTCTCTCTCTCTCTCTCTCTCTCTCTCTCTCTCTCTCTCTCTCTCTCTCTTTCCCCCTTCTCCCTTCCCCTTCCTTCCACTTTGTCTAAAAATTAATGGAAAAATATCTTTGGATGAGGGTTTATAAAAAAGAGAGGTAGTAGGAAGACTCAGGCGAGAGTGGAGGTTTGCCCTGATACTCTTGGAACATGGAATCAAGAATATTTTATTCCATTGGATATTTTTTTTTTAAATCAATCTTTATTGTTCATATTATTACAAAGGTTCCTCATTTCTTCCCCCCTCCACCAGGTTCCCACCCCACCCTCTGCCCCCTCCCCATCCCCCATTGTCCTCATCCATAGGTGCAGTTTATGTTCAGTCTCTTCTTCCCTCAATTTCCCCGATAGTAAATCCCTTTTCAGATAGTAAATCAGTTACTTAACATTTTCTCATATCAATAATACCTCCACATGCCCAATGATACACTTCACACAAAAGACATTTCCCACTAGGTCAACCAGCCTCATCCAGGCCCCACCCAAGGCACTCACAGATCAACACCCCAGCCCTATACTAACTCAACACATCCAGATCTAAGCCTTCATCACTTGATTCAGCAGACCCTCAAGGTCTCACGAAAGTTTCCAGCCATGTCTGAGAGGCAGCCATGGGGCAGGGGCAGGCGAGGAGTGAGCTGTTCCGGGCCTGGCTGCTCAGGGCCTGGCCTCTGTTGCTCTGGTTCGTTCCACAACCAGCTGCTCCGGGTCTGGTCACTGCCGCTCCCGACCTAGTTGCTCTGGACTTGGCTGCTGCTGCTCCGGGCCTGGCCGCACCCGAACCGGCTGCTCCCCCGGGCCTGGCCGCTCCCAGCCTGGCAGCCGCTGCTCCGGGCCTGGCCGCACCCGACCCGCCTGCTCCCCCGGGCCTGGCCGCTCCCAGCCTGGCAGCCGCTGCTCCGGGCCTGGCCGCACCCGACCCGCCTGCTCCCCCGGGCCTGGCCGCTCCCAGCCTGGCAGCCGCTGCTCCGGGCCTGGCCGCACCCGACCCGCCTGCTACCCCGGGCCTGGCCGCTCCCAGCCTGGCAGCCGCTGCTCCGGGCCTGGCCGCACCCGACCCGCCTGCTCCCCCGGGCCTGGCCGCTCCCAGCCTGGCAGCCGCTGCTCCGGGCCTGGCCGCACCCGACCCGCCTGCTCCCCCGGGCCTGGCCGCTCCCAGCCTGGCAGCCGCTGCTCCGGGCCTGGCCGCACCCGACCCGCCTGCTCCCCCGGGCCTGGCCGCTCCCAGCCTGGCAGCCGCTGCTCCGGGCCTGGCCGCACCTGACCCGGCTGCTCTGGGCCCGGCTGCCCCGGGCCTGGCCGCTCCGAGCCTGGCCACTCCCGACCTGGATGCTCTGGGCTTGGCTACTGCTGTTTTGGGTCTGGCTGTTCCCACCCCGGCTGCTCTGGGCCCGGCTTCTCCGGGCCCGGCCACTCCGGGTCTGGGTGTTCCTGGACTGGTCACCCTGGGCTTGGCCGCCTCCGCCTCATGCCTGGCTGCCACTGCCCCAGGTCTGGCTACTCCAGTGCTGGCTGTTGATGCTCTGGTTCTGGCTGCTGTTGTTCTGGTGCCTGGCCGTTGCTGCTCCGGGTCTGGCTGCCACTGCCTTGTGCCTGGCCACTCTAGGCCTGGCCACCGCTGTTCCAACATTCTGTCCTTTTTTTTTTTCTTTTTTCTTTTTAAAACGCATTTATGTTGCAATGTTGGCTGGTGAGTTGAGTTCTGACTTAGTCTTTGATTTTTCAAGATCTTCTTTGTATTCTTTCTTAAGTAATTTTACTATTTTTTGCTCTCACTTGATTTCTTCACATTGAGAACTTCTTTGGTTTCTTCCTCCTTGTCCTGGGAGCTCAGCAGGTTGGCCTGTGGCACCCCTTTGTTCTCCGCGGGCTCCTGTGCTGCTTCAGCCTGTTGCCAGGGAAGGCGCCGCCCAGGAAGCAGCCCCCGGCCTTGGCTCCATTGCCCGAGCTCAGTGGTCAAAGGCTCAGGGGCACCCACACCCCCAGGGGTCCCGAGCCCGCCTCCTTGCTGGTGCCCGGTTGGCTGGAGTCCGGCAGGGGCTTCCGCTCCCCTCCGTGTTCCCCCAGCCTAGAGTTTTTTTTTTTCTCCTTCCCGCTAGAGAAATCCAGCATCAGAGTCAACAGACTGTCCTCTGCGCGCAGTTTGTGCGAGTCCCGGGGGCCCGGCCTTTCGCGCTCTCCCCAGACTCCACCTCACAGCCCCGTCTCCCTCTGCCTGAGCCTGGGTCCCCAGGGATTAGCCCAGAACTGGGGTTCGGAGCAGTCCGGACTGAGGCCCAGCGCCGCCGGAGGCCTTGTTTCTTCCGGCTAGGGCAACCCAGCATCAGAGTCAACATTCAGTCCTCTGCGCGCATTGCGCGCGACTCCCGGGGCCCTGCTTTTCGCCGTTTTTCCGCCTCACGGCCCAGTCTCCTCCCACCGGGGCCTGGGTCCCCAGGGTCTGGCCCATAACTGGGGCTCAGCGCTGCCGGTTCGGGGGTTCAGCCCAGGCTGGGGGTTTTATTTCCTTCCTGCTAGGGAAGGAAAGGCGGCTCCCCGCCCTCTCCTCCTCTCCGGCTGCGACCTCTCCAAGCGTGCGTGCGGGCGGACGCGCGCGCAGCATGTCTCCGTACCTTAGGCTTTTTTTCAGCTCCTCTGATTTTCTTTCTGGTTTTCTCTTTCCTTCTTGTTGTAGAAATTTCAGTCAGTCGACTACCTGTAGCTCTGGGCAATGTCCACTCTACATTTTAGTTGTATTCCATTGAAATTGTTGTGTGCTGCCGCGGCTAGATGTCTACCCGAGCAGCCATCTTTCCATTGGATATTTTGAAGGGAGTGTTAAAATATTTTAATTTTTAATCTCTATATAAAAGCCAAAGGGACCGAATGACCTGTTGACGGGTTGCTATGATGTACACACTGAGCACCAGGGGCAGACATTCAATGCAGGAGCTGCCCCCTGGTGGTCAGTGCGCTCCCACAGCGGGAGCACTGCTCAGTGGTGGTGGCGGTGGTGGCAGTGGGGCAGGCGCAGCAGGACCAGGATGAGTGGAGTAGCACAGGCTTTTCCCCAGCCGCCTGCCGCTCAGTGCACTACTATTGTACATCCCTAGGGGGATGGCGGACTATGGATTTCTGATGATCTTTGTAGGCTGTCAGACATCCCCCGGGGGGTCCCCGCATTGCGAGAAGGCACAGGCCAAGCTGAGGGACCCCACCACACTGGGCTTCTAGTAGTCAAGTATTTTTCTACTGATTTTGAGAGAGAGTAGAAGGGAGGGAGAGAGACACAGATAAAAACATCAGAGAAACATCGGGGTGAGAGAAACATCTATTGGGTGCTGCCTGTACACACCCTGACTGGAGCTGGGGATCTAGCCTGCACCTGAGGTACATGCCCTTGACTTGAATTGAACCTTTGACCATTCAGACCTCTGGCTGACACTCTGTCCATTGAGCCAAACTGGCTAGGGAAGGTCAAATTTATTTTAATGACACATTTAGCCCAATGTCTCCAAAATAGTATCATTTCACCATATCAATATAAACGATTATTGATTATATTTTGTACAGTATAAAGTGCATCTTGCACTTAGGGCCCAAATCCGACTAGCCACATTTCAAACGCTCAGTGGCCACATGTGGCTAGTGGGCACCCACATTGCAGTTCTAGACAATTGGGTCTGTATTTGTTTCTCGAGTGTGTGTGAGCGTGCACCAAGGCAGTGAGCAACTGAGCTTCCCAGCCTCAGAAGGCAGGACTCCCTGACCTGCTGTTTCCCTGCTTCCCAGCTGAAGGACCTGGGCCTCTCACCCCACTGACACTCGGGGATGTTCGATCCCATGCATGCTGGGTTCCAGAGCAGATTCAATCCTTCAGAGCCCTTTCCAGCATAGAATCCAATCCCTGAAATTCCCCTGAGAGCAGGCCTCGTCTTGGAGAACTGAATCCATGGCTGGTTATTGTTTTGCTAGTTGAGCTTATAGACAGTTTTCCCAAGTTGTCCTGAAGCATCTTCCTCAGTAACCCTCTGTGTCAGCGGATGGGCTGCCCTCCTTCATGGATGAAAAGCAGCCCCTGAAGTGGCAGATTTCCTTGCTCGTATCAAAAAGCCTACTGATAAGCCCTTAAATATGAAAGTCCCTCGTGTTACTTGGACCTGAACATCCTAAACCAATCATAGTGGGCAGGAGAAACCCACGCATTGAGGGCCCATCTGATGGAGCAAGAGTCCTGAGATCACTGTTGTGGAGCTGGAGGCGGGTGGGTTCCATTAGAACCACATGGCATCTCTGCATCCGGTGTTTTTCCGAAGCGAAACCGGGCAGGCACCCCACAAAAGCCCGCTATCCAAGCCCACTCAAGCCTGAACCCCGGGCATCAGATTTGCTTTCTCGTTCTCCACAGCATCCAGCACGGTGCGTTGTCAAATATTTGGTGAATTCAAGGTAAGTTTGACAGCATGGCTGGCTGGCTGGCTGGCGGAGGAAGCATAGTCCAGTGTAAGCCACCAGTCAGTAAAGAGCATTTTGTCAGATCCTTTCCCTCTCTTGGTGGCATGAAGAGCTAGAGAGCAAAGAGCAGGAGGAAGGAGTTCGCACAAAAGGGACCAGGAAGGGGGTGGCCTTCCCCTGAATGAACATGGGGAGGAGCCGATCCCCAGAAAAACCGCCTCAGGAAGATCCCTGCCCTTGGCCACCCTCCTCTCTGTGGTCTGCCTCCTAAGGGTGGGGCTTTGTTGTTTTGAACATGATGGGCTTAGATAGAATGGAGCTTTGTTCCCACCAGCTAGCTGCCCTTTTAGCTTCCATCCACAGGAAAGGCCTGTCCCTTGGGGAGGCGTTTCCTGGGCTGCCGATTTTCCTCTCCACTGCTCTTCAGTCCTTGCACCAGAGCTGTGACTCTGCAGGCTTTGAGGAGAAGTCTGCTCTGTGGCTTCCTCTCACTGATCCCAGCTGGGCAGCCTGCTTCTGATTCCTCAGGTACCCAGATACGCAGCCAGCCGTTCTCACTGAGCTGGAGGGATGCATTTCGCTCTAGCAGGAAGTACTAGATTAATTTCATTATGCAAGCCAAATCCAGCCTCTGACCCCTCACCCCACCCCCGTCCCAATTACTTGGCAGGAAACTCGATCCATCATAATTGCAGCCCCAGCTGCCTCCATGGTCACGAGGCCTGGAGGTGTAAGCCAGTGGGAAAACCTCTACCGTTCCTCACCTGGAGAGACTTGGCAATGACAATGGACTGCCTTCCCCACCCAAATAACACTTCATGCCACCTAACTTCAGCCTTAGCTGCTGCCAAGGCACTTTCCTGTGGCTCTTCCCACCTCGTACCTTCTCACCAACCAGTGGCTGGAGGCCGGGACCCCTGAAAAGTTGCTATCCCCAGGCTCTGCCCTCTCCCTGAACACTCCCCAGCTCCTGGGATGACCCGTCCCATAAGTTGTGTCTCCAACCCTGGACACTGCCCTTCCTGAACTCGGGGCCTGAATCTTCACTTAGACATCCTAGACTGAGCTTCACGTTGTCTAGATGCCTGAGCCCCTGCTCCCTGCATCCACCCGTCACCCTGAGCCAGTCTTCCTTCATCCCCTTTTGTCTCTGAGTTCCATCACTTCTGCACCCTCTGGGCCTCCTCATCAAGGCTCCTGCCCAGTCTCTGCAGGACAGTGCCACCTGCATCCTCCCTCCCCCCCGCTCCTGCTCATGCTGCCAGGGGGTCAGACGGGACTGCCGCAGCCGCTGACCTGAAGGACTCCCGGCGTCCTCCTGCACTGCAATCTGACTCGCTGCTCGTCCTCATGCCTCACCCCCACACAACCACAGTCTGTGCTTCAGCTGCATTGAACTTCTTGCTTCTGGAATGTTCTGAGCCTTTTCTACTTCCAGGCCTTTGCACATGAGTGCTGCCCTCCGTCCCCCGCCTCTTCCAGGACCTCTGGAGTCCCACGTGGGACTCTCCTCAGCCCCACCTTCGCTGAAGGCCCTTGTCCAGCCTCTGCAGCGTGGAGGGGTGATCTGACTGCGGACCCACCTCCTTCATGTCCTTCTCAGGCCCAGAGGCGTGTTGTGGACTGCTGTCTTCTTAGCACTTGCGGTGTCCCTAGCAGGGAGCAGCTACCCAGGGAATGCGGGTGAATGCCCCTGACAAAGCCTGTGCCGTTTGCAGCGATTCCAGGCTGGACAGTTGCCAGAAGCTGTAGCTGGTTTTCCACTTCTCCCCACCCCACCCACCCTGGCCATCGCCATTAGACAGTCTGCCAATCCATCTTAAAAATCTTCAGAACAAAATTCCAGTCCCTTAGCCTGGCTTAAAGCCTTTCAAATCCTGCCCCAAATCTGCCCCACCTTCTTCCTCCACACACACACACACACACACACACACACACACACACACACACGGTGACGCTGCTGGGAGGGCCTTCCCTGCCCCACTCTCCATTTCTTCTGTGTGCCATTGAGCAAGTTACTCTTTCTCATACGCCTGCCTATTGGATTGCTGAGTCATCAGCACAGGTAGGAGTGCCCTTCCCGGTACACAGAGACAGGTCCGTAACAGCTTTCATTATCGCTGCCGGAAGTCATTTACAGGAAGAAGCGCAGTGGATAGGGGCCAAGAAGGCATCAGAACCCACAGTTCTTGCTGGAAGTATCACCAAAAGGTATCAGAAAAGGGTAGGATGGCATCATCCGTACCCCAACCGGGGACTGAACCCACAACCCAGCATAGGCCTTGATTGGGAACGGAACGGGTGACCCTTCTGTTCCAGAGGCGACGCTCAACCACCTGACCCAACGGTCAGGGCATCTCTGCGCTTTTGTACCGGAGAGGCTGGGCCCTGGGCCTGGCTGCAGGGCACACCGTGTGTTTTGGACACGGGCAAGCTTCCCATCGTGTCCCTCCGCGGTGATCCAGAGTCAGGGGTCCCCGCCTGGCTAGCGGGTGCGGACTTTATTGACCAGCCTCGTGCATGTCCAGTCTTCCCCCATCCCCCCCACCCCCCTCTGCTCAGCCGCCTTCTCAGGACCTGCGAGCACCCGCTCCTCCGGGGAGCGCCCCGGGGAGGTCCCTGCAGACGCCCTGCCCCGCACACCGCATCCCGCCGCGGAGAGCTCGGACCCGGACCCGGGAGAGCCCGCGGGGAGGGCGACGAGGATGCCGAGCAGCACATGCAACCTGCTCCCTCTTCCGCCGGCCTCCCCGTGGGACCCAGACAAGGAGAGCTTAGCCCCCCGTGTCCGGGCAGCTCAGCGGGCGCCGTGGGGACGCTGCTCTGAGCGACCACGGACACGGGCACGCTGTCCCCGGCCGCAGGTGGGAAAGGCAGGAAAGAAGCGAAACTTCGTGAGTCAGCGCGGCCCAGGCCGGCCCGGCCCATCCCGTCCCGTCCCGGACGCGCCGCCTTCCGCGGCCGGTGCGGGCGGAGGCGGGGAGGGAGGCGCGGCCCGGCGCCCGGCGGGCGGAGTCCTCGGCGGCTCTCCCTCTCCCCGGCCGGACAGCGCGGCGGGCAGGCCGGGGCCATGGCCGACGGGGCGGCGCGGCCGGGGGCCGAGCTGCTGGCCTTCGAGCGGTTCTGGGCGGCGAGCGCGCAGCCCCCCGCCTACGGCTACGGGCAGGGCGGGCGCGGGCTGCGGGCGCTGCGGGCGCGGGAGTTCGGGCGCCTGGCAGGTGAGGCCGGGCACTGCGCGGGGCGGGGGACGGCGGGGACTCCGGGGGGGGGGGCACGCGGCTTCTAAGGGGTTTCCTGCTCCAGGGAGCAGTGCGTTCCCTAGTTTGGGGAGCGGTTTTTTTTTTTTTTTAAATTATTGATTTTCTACAGAGAGGAAGAGAGAGGGGATAGAGAGCTAGAAGCATCAATCATCGATCAGCTGCCTCTTGCACACCTGCCTCTTGCATGAACCTTGATTGCGGGCATCCCCCGCAACCAAGGTGCATGCCCCTGACCGGAATCGAACCTGGGACCTTCCAGTCCGCAGACCGACGCTCTATCCACTGATAGCAACATCGGTTTCGGCGTTTTGAATGGGAAGCTTTGGAGGGACTTGCCCTCGCGTCTGCTGCGTGCACACGGCTCCCCGAGGTCCCGCCTGCAGCCCCGGGACTTCTTGCTGCTCTTGCCAGACTTTCCGGGGGGGTATCGGGCCGATCTACGCCCTTTTCACCGGCCCCCACCCTCCGCGATCAGGGCTCTGGATTCCGCTGTCGAGGCTGCGGACGAAGGTCCGGCTGGGAGGGAGCGGGGCTGCCTGACGCCGGGACGTCGGGGCCGCGGCTCCGGCTCCTCCGCGGGGGCGGCCCGCGCGCCGGCAGGACCGAGGCCGCGGCCGCCGGGCAGGGCCCCCGCCCCACAGCTGCGTTCCAGTCCGCTGAGATAGCGCACAGGCGGCTTTTACTTCCGAAACCTCCTTTTTTCCCTCCTCATTTTAGAACAATGCCTCTGCCCCCACCCAGCTCGCTAAGGGGGTGGGGACTGGAGGAATGAGCAAACGGAGCAAACTGTCAAAGTTGACAGTTTGCTCATTCCTCCAGGCCCCACCCCCTAGCGAGCTGGGGTACAAGGCGAGCCTGGACCTTGGGCACGAGGTCGGGGTGCCCTTGGGTTCTGGGAGGTGGAACAGGCTGGCTAAGGGTGAGATCCACCCTGGTCTGGCCCTGCGGCGGCTCCCCGCGCGCCCCCGCCCCGCAGGGTAGCACTGACCCTTTGCCAGAGACCTCGTGGGAGGCTTAGCCCGGAGGGGGGCTGGCGCTCAGGTGCAGTGGCAGGTGGGGTGCCGCGCCCGGAGGAGGTTTTCGGTGGGCATTTGGTGGCTGCGCCTCCCCGTGGCAGGACACTGACCACGCACATGTCATGAATCGGGTAGCTGATCCAGCTGTTTGGGTTATTTCCAGAAGTTCCAGTTAGTGACTCTTCTCCCTCGCTCCCCCCGGTTGGGGGCTCTGAGGGGTGTGGCCTGCTTTTGGCGAGTCCCGGTCTGTAGTTAAGGGGGAGGCTCGGGTGGAAGGCGGGCCTCCTGGCCGGCCTGCTCCACTCCCTCCCGGTTGAAAGCGGCACACTCACCTGCAGGAGACTGTGCCCTTGTCCCTCTGCTTCCACCTTCTGTCCCTGAGCGTTGTTTGTTTGTTTGTTTGTAATATATTTTATTGAGTTTTTACAGAGAGGAAGGGAGAGGGATAGAGAGCTAGATGAGAGAGAAACATTGATCAGCTGCCTCTTGCACCCCCCTCTCCCCCTTACTGGGGATGTGCCCGCAACCAAGGTGCATGCCCTTAGCTGGAATTGAACCCGGGACCTTTCAGTCCGTAGGCGGACGCTCCATCCACTGAGCCAAACCGGTTTCGGCTCCCTGAGCGTTTTTATGATAGAAATCTCCTACCCACCGACATAGACCGGTATACTGAACACCCACAGGTGTGGAGGGAGGGAGAGAGGTTTCCCTTCCATTTGAAGCAAGTCCCAGAGGCTGTAGTCATTCAGTCAGAAATTATTTTAGCACCTTAATCTCCTCCAGCTCTGACCCAACCCCCGACCCCTCCAAATAAATAAATAAATAAATAAATAAATAAATAAATAAATAGGAGTGCTGAGTTCTCTGGGCACCTCCTTGTTTCACTCTTGTCCTTTAAGGAATAGCACCTTCCCCTTCAAATTCGTAATTTGGATGGGACAGCCAGGGTTTCAAGCTGGGCTTCAGAGCCCCTTTAACACCATGGGATTACCTCTGGATAAACCCATCACAAACGGAAAATATCATAAGTGGAAAATGCATGGAATACACCTACTGAATGCCATCGCTGAGCCTAGCCTACCTTGAACGTGCTCAGAGCACTTGCATTGACCCTCAGTTGGGCATCCGTTGTTCACCCTCGCGATGGCACGGCTGTCTGGGAGCCACGGCTTGCTTCCACTGCCGAGCATCACAAGAGAAGATCGTACTGCGTATCAATAGACCAGGAGAAGATGGAAATTCAAAAAATATGGCTTCTGCTGAATGTGTATCACTATCATATCATCATAAAGTAAAAATAAAATAAAATGGTTAAGTCAAATCATCCTAAGTTGGGGACTACCTGCACTCGTGGTAGTGCTGTGTGCATCCTTATTTATCTTTTTATCTACTTAGTGCAGGTTCCCAATGTTTTTCCTACATTGTGATTGAAGTAGGCTTTTGTGGACTAAACTCATCCCTCCCACCACTAGGAGCTTTAGAACATTTCTGTCCCCTCCACCCCCTCCTAGGGCAGAGGAAAATCAAACAAACACAACAAGCCAAAATAATATGACTTTTACTTCTCTTCCTTCCCCGTCACCCCATAGATTTTCTGCAGGCTTGAGAATTTGTCTGGTTAAGTGGTAGTTCTGGATAGTTAAATGCTTAACCTTTAAGTCTGAAATGTTTTGCCTAATCAATTGGGTGGGAATTTCTTTGTCTTGGTGAAGGGAGCATATTCAATACACAGATGTGGTTCAAGTGCTTCTTGAAGCTTCAGGGTGCTGATGGCCACTATTGATGGGACTGAGAGCTGGAGGAGCATGACCCAGAAGAGACACTGGAGTTTCCTTTCTTGAAGACCTAATGCCAGTTGGTTTGGAGTAATTTGCCTTCTTCTAAGAACAGCTGAACCCTGTGGCATGTGTGCCAGGCACTGGACTGGGCCCTGTCATACACCAACTTATTTAACTTTCATCCCATTTGCAGATGAAGGAATAGGGACCCAGAATGGCTAGCAAGATTCGATTAAGGCTGGCTGACTTGGATTCTGCAGTGTTAGCCACTGTGCTGGCTGACCTCCTAAGAGCAGATCTCTAGCTGATTTAGATCTCTAGTTAGTTTTGCAACATGAGGTTCTGGACCAAAGCCCAGTGCAGCCTTCTCCCAAATGGCTCCCTGGATTTGCGGGCAAAGAGGTGCTGCCTCAGCCTTCCCCCCTCCCCCCTCCCCCCCTCAGGTTTTACCTGGGTCCTGGGCTTCACACGAGCACCTTCCCCAGGGCCTGGGGGATGGAAGCTTTTCTTTTTGTATGTAATTTTGTATCACTGAATCTCCACTTAAAGAGAATGTTATAACTAGAAACACCAATCAGAAAGGATATATGCACCCCTATGTTCATAGCAGCACAATCTATAATAGCTAGGATTTGGAAACAGCTAGGTGCCCGTCAGCAGATGATTGGATCAGAAAACTATGATACATCTACACAATGGAATACTATGCTGCCATAAAAAAGAAGGAATTCTCATCGTTTGCAGCAACCTGGATGGAATTGGAGAACATCATGCTGAGTGAAATAAGCCAGTCATTGAAAGAAAAACACCACATGACCTCACTCATTTATGGATAATAAAGAACATTATAAACAGATGAACCAAAAGATAGATATAGAGACAGTAAAGCAACAAGCAGACTGTCAAATTACAGTGGGGAGGGTAGGGATATCTGGGGGAGATAAGAGATCAACCGAAGGATTTATATGCATGCATATGAGTACAACCAATGGACATAAAACTCTGGGGAGGGAGGGTATGTATGGGAAGTGGGGGGGGCAATGGTAAGATATATACACAGAAAATAATTTAATAAAAAAGAGAGGGAAAAAAAGAATGTTATTTTAACAATAATTTTCTGGACTAGCTAATACATTTGCATGATAACAACATGCAATAAACTAGGACTCAAAGGAAATTTAACCAACCAGATGAAGGCCATCTATAAACAAATAATCAGAGCCAACATCATACTTGATGGTGAAAAACTGAAAGCTTTACCTCCTAAGATCAGGAACAAGACAAGGACATGTGTTCTCACCACTGGTATTCAACATTGCACCAGAGATTCTAGCCAGGATAGCCAGCCAAGAAAATGAATGGATCTATTTACATTGTATAACTCTTGAAAATGTGTTTCAGAGTTTGTTCCCTATCAGTACTTTTAAAATACCAGAGAAGTGTACAAGAATCCTTTAATTTAAATACATGGTGATGAACCTTTAAGTCATGTATTGACAAAGGTCAGGAAGAAATATCTTCATAGACAGCCCATTTCATAAGAGCACAGTTATTTATAAGATAGAATAATTGATAGGCCAAAGAGAGTTTGCATTTTAAAGTATTACCGATATTGCCAAATTGCTGTCCATAAACTGGGTTTGATTCTGGTCAAGGGCACATGCTTGGGTTGTGGGCTTGATCCCCAGTATGTTAGGTTCTGTTATCTCTTATGGTTGATGTTTCTATCTCTCTCTCTCCCTCTCCCTTCCTCCCTGAAATCAATAAAAATATATTTTAAAAAAGCGAAGTTGTACCAATTTGCCTTCCTACCAGCCACATACCAGCGGGCCTGTTTTCCCTCACCTTCACCCATGCGGTGAGTTATCCAACCTTTTGGTCTTGACCACCTGTTGGTAAACCTCTTCCTCTCATCTGAATTTGCCTTCCTTGTTTGTGAAAGAGGCCAGAAAGATCATGTAAGCTACTAGTATTCTCCGGAGCACTGAAGCTTTAGAGAGACGTAGAATTCACCACGGAAAGCAGAATCAGGTCTCCAGGCCAGGGAGGCGGCACAGAAACCGGAAGAGGGTGTGAGTCAGAAGGTGAACTAGCTCTAGGGTCATTAACCAGAGCCCTCTGTTTGGCTCCTCCTTTGTGTGAGAAACTCTCCCAGGTTCCTGAGAGAGCTGGTTAGTCAGGAAGACCTTCAGGCTCATTAACTATGGAAAGTGCAGTTCTTCCATTGCTTGAGTCTGCACTTGGATTGAGAAGCACGCCGAGAGGCGGGGAGGTAGGCGTGGCCTGATGTTATGCCCGAATGCATTCCATGGGCACTGCTCACACTCACACACACCAGATATAGGTGCGAGCAGTGGGAAACGTCTGAAAAATAACCACGGCTTCGTTCTGTGCTCTCTCTCAGGAACTGTCTACCTGGACCACGCAGGAGCCACACTGTTCCCCGAGAGCCAGCTCAGGAGCTTCACCCGCGACCTCCTGGAAAATGTTTACGGTAAAGAAGAATACGTCATCACTCATTTTTGCACTGGGCGTTAGCTGACTACATTCAGTGGATCTGTCTCTGCTGAATAAATGTTGTGTTAATAGATGGGACCGAGCTGGGACCCAAAGCTGAATAAGCACTATGATGAGGGGGTCAGGCAAACACATGTCATTTTTTACAACTTGCGTGCTGCCAGGATGGGGAACCTGGCTCAGGGGCACGTGTGTCACTTCCAGAAGAAAGGGACAGGGTCAGGAAAGGCACAGAGGCACAAGGTGCTGCTGTATTTGGTGGTGGGAGGGCCTCTGGGACTGGGGGAATGGGCATGCGTTCATTCATTCACTCCATAAATATTTGCCAGCCCTTCTGGTGTCGGGGGCATGGTGCAAATGGGCACAAAGTAACCAGCCCCTGCCTTCATGGACTCTGGTCTAGTCAGGGCAAGACGTCAAGTCAGTGATCTCTAATGTGAATTACCAACTCTGTGAATGGCTGTGAACCAGAGGCCTCTGGGCCATGGCGTCTGGATCTGCAGAGGGACAGCAGGTGGGCAGTGTGAGCGTCAGGGAAGTTTTCTGAGGGGTGGGCTGGATGCTGGAGGATGAGCAGGAGTTTACTCAGAAAAGAGTCAGGAGGAGGGCGAAGGGAACAACATGAGCCAGGACCCTGCTGCGGTTTCAAACCAGCCCGGGAACTCAGAGGGAGGCATGAATGGGAAGATAGGTAGGTACCTTATGGGTGCTCTGTAGAGTTTGAACTTTATTCTAGAAACGATGGCAAGTCACTGAAAGTATAATGTGATCAGGAGATAACTTTGGAAAGCGACTTTGAAATTGTTACAGAGCTACCGAACAATCAAACAATGCAGGAGGAGAGTTTGGAGAGACTCACTTTATTCATAGGGCCATGGGCTTAGAGAAAATGAATTCAAATTCTAAGCAAAGGTACAAGCAGAGCTTCCCTTTTTATTAAGGAGCCAGTTCTCTGTGCAATTAGTGGTTATCTCCCTGCTGTCCTTGAAAACAAACACAGCTATATTTATGGGCATACCTAGTCTTGACCTGCAAGGTCAGACAGCTAATTTTATGATCCTCATTTTACAAGCAGGCTAGAAAGCAAACATTTTATCTAAGAATAAACAGCAGAAAATTCCAAACAGCAGTTTTTTGTTTTAACAAAATAGGGGTTTTCCTTCTCAAAATAACCGTAGTAGCTGGTGTAACCATGGTCATGATAATAGCGATAAATGATAACAATAACCTGTACTGAGCACTCATTGCGCTTCAGGTACTGTTCCAAATGCTTCACCTGCATTATCTCTCCCTCCTCAGGGCAAGCTCAGGTACAGGTCCTGTTACCTCTCCTCTGTCCACGCGAGGAGACTGCCCGGGGAGGCAGGTCATTCTCCCGAGGCCACGTGGTCAGGAAGCGCCGGGCTGGGTGCAGACCGGGGAGCGGAGTCTCTAGGCAGCGTGGCTCCCTGGAGTTAATGATGGAACCGGGCTGGCCACCTGTTGGGAAACTTGTAGAAGAGGTTCTATTGGCTGACTTCCAGTTCCAAAAGCTCTTCCTAGATCCTGTCTTGTTTGTTTTACTTGCTGTTTGTTTGGCAGGGTTTTAAAAATTTAATTATTTTTTTATTGATTTAAGAGAGGAAAGGAGAGGAAGAGGGAGATAGAAACATCAATGATGAGAAAGAAACATTGATGGCCTGCCTCCTGCACGCCTCACAATGGGGATCCAGCCCACAGCCTACCTGGGCATGTGCCCTGACTGATAATTGATCTATGACCTAGTTCATAGGTCTATGCTCATCTACTGAGCCATGCCAGCTGGGTCAGATTTCTTGAGTAATAATTTAAATCCACAAAATTCACATGTTTCAAGTGATTTTTATTTTTTTATTTTTAAAATATATTTTTATTGATTTTTTACAGAGAGTAGGGGAGAGAGATAGAGAGCTAGAAACACTGACTCTTGCATACCCCCTACCGGGGATGTGCCCGCAACCAACGTACATGCCCCTGACCAGAATCGAACCTGGGACCTTTCAGTCTGCAGACCGATGCTCTACCACTGAGCCAAACCTGTTTCGGCCAATTCAATGATTTTTAGTCTCACTATAAATCATTTAGAATATTTTCATTCTCCCAATAAAATCTCTGATGCCCATTCACAGTTGATCTCTGTTGCTTTCTCAACCCCTCAACCTACCCACTCACTCTCACCCCAAGCCAACACTCATCTACTACTTTCTGTATCTCTATTCAGTTATCTTTGCTGGATATATCTATATCATCTATATCTATCTATATATCTATATCTGTATCTATATCTGTATCTATATCCATATCCATATCCATATCCACATCCATAGCGATATCTATATCTATATCATCTATATCTATATCTATATAATCTATATCTATATCTATATCTATATCTATATCTATATCTATATCTATATCTATATCTATATCTATATCTATATATCTATCAAGGCTAATATGCAAAGTGTCCTCTGGGGAATTCAACTGGGAGACTGGGAGTTCAATCACTCGCTATGACGTGCACTGACCACCGGGGGGCGGCACACAATGAAGGAAAGCCACAGCCAACAGCCAGCAGCCTCAAGGCCTTGATTGGCCCTGATTACTGGCCAGGCTTAGGGACCCTACCCATGCACGGATTTTGTGCACCAGGTTTTTAGTTTTATATAAGTGGAATCATGCAATATGTGATCTCTGTGTCTGGCATCTTTTTTTTTTAAATCTTTATTCTTGCAAGTATTACATATGTCCCCCTTTCCTCCCCCACACCCCACTCCATGGCATCTTTCACTTAGCATGCTTTTGAGGTTCATGCTAAATAAAATTTTAAAAATATATATTTATTGATTTTTTTACCGAGAGGAAGGGAGAGGGATAGAGAGTTAGAAACATCCATGGGAGAGAAATATCGTTCAGTTGCTTTTTGCACACCCCCTACGGGGGATGTGCCCACAACCAAGGTACATGCCCTTGACTGGAATCGGACCTGGGACCCTTCAGTCTGCAGGCCGACCCTCTATCCACTGAACCAAACTGGTTAGGGCACCAAATAATTTTTCATTGTATGGATATGTTACATTTTATCTATCTGTTCACCAGTTGATCGACACTTATGTTCCCAGAATTTAGCTTTACAAATAGAGCTGCTATGAACATTCTTGTGCATGAATTTTTGTGTGGACATGTTTCCATTTCTATTGTGTATGTAGGAGTGGAATCATATAATAGTTTCATGCTTAACTTTTTGAGAAAGCAAGGGAGAGGGATTTGGAGGAGTAGAAAAGGAGAGGCCATAAGCAGTGAGTGACTTGATGGCTCTGTCTTTGGAACCCCTCAGGTAACCCTCACAGCCAGAACATCAGCAGCAGGCTCACCCAGGACACCGTGGACCAGGTGCGCTACAGGTGAGCGGAGGGACGGCCTCTGGAGCAGGCTCTCCCAGGTGTATAGACACTCTTCCTACACCTGCCCACATCCCAGGTTCTGAACTGGTTTCAGGAGGATCACCTTCAGGTAAATGGCCACACACACAATGAACAAGATCAGGGTCCGAGGCTGGGAAGGTGAGAGTGAGCAGGTGCCAAAGGAGTTCAACCAGAAGCACAGGGAGGCAGCTGAGGGGCGCACCGCCGTGTGTGTGTGTGTGTGTGTGTGTGTGTGTGTGTGTGTGTGTGTCTGGGCTGGTGCCCTCATTCCTGGGGGCCAGAGTAATAAGGAGCAACACAGGTCTTAAGTCTTGTTTTCAGAGAGAATCAAAACAGTTTCTCTGGTTTTTCTTTTTCGCGTTTCATTAGGCATCTTTTTTATTCACCCCCCTCCCCCCCTTTTTTAAACTAATATTTGCACATGAAACGTCTCTTTATATTTTTCCACACGTAGTAATTAGCGTGCGGTAAGTAATTTCCAAGGGGTACCTAAAGTGACTTGAACAGAAACGGTTTCAAATTATCTCCAGTTTGAAAGGGATCCTGGGTTGCCAGCCTTAAAAGCAATATGAAGTGAGCTGGGGACTTACCGCGCACGGTGGTAGAGAGGGGAGAGTGTTTTCCCCTGAGGCCAGGCCGCTGTGGGCTTCCTCTCCTGCGGTGGGGGCTGGCACCGGGGAGGGAGGCAAGGCGCTTTTGCTGGTTCGAATCCTTCTCACACCTGCTCTGCCCTCACGGCGATGGCAGAGCCTGCCTGGGTGTGGGTCTAGCTATGGGGGCAGAGGGATGCGCCGTGTAGTGGACATGCAGGTCCTTGCCATCTCTGTGTTTTGCAGGGTCCTGGCGCACTTCGGCACCTCCCCGGAGGACTACAGCGTGGTCTTCACCGCCGGCAGCACGGCCGCCCTGAAGCTGGTGGCGGAGGCCTTCCCGTGGAGCCGCGGGAGCCTGTTCTGCTACCTCACCGACAGCCACACGTCCGCGGTGGGCATGCGGGCGGTGGCCGCGGCCAGGGGTGCCACCTGCATCCCGGTCCGGCCGGAGGCTCTGAGGCCGCAGGAGGAGCGGGGTGCTGCCCCCGCCGACCAGCTCCCGCACCTCTTCTGCTACCCGGCCCAGAGCAACTTCTCTGGCAGCCGGTACCCGCTGGCCTGGGCGGGCGAGGTGGCGGCAGGCCGCCTGTGCCCGGCGGGGGAGGGCGCGCCGGGGCGCTGGTTCGTGCTGCTGGACGCCGCCGCCTATGCGGGCACCTCCCCGCTGGACCTGTCGGCGCACCCGGCGGACTTCGTCTCCCTCTCCTTCTACAAGATCCTCGGCTTCCCCACCGGCCTGGGCGCGCTGCTGGTGCGCCGCCGGGCCGCCCCGCTGCTGCGGAAAACCTACTTTGGAGGCGGCACGGCGGCCGCCTACCTGGCGGGAGAGGACTTCTACGTCCCCAGGCCTTCCCTGGCAGAAAGGTCACCTCGCGTGGGAGGAGGGAGGGGAGAGGGAGGGGCGGGGGCAGAGCCAGCCAGTCTGGGGTCTGGCTGTGCAGCCTGTGGGGTTGTGCAGGGGGGTGTCAGGGGAGGCTGGGCCACGGGGGTCAGGGGTTGGCTACTCCTGGCAGGGCGGCAGGCTCAGATGCGGGGGCAGAGGCCATGGTTCAGTGAACTCTGCACCTGTTGGCGGGCCCCTTTGGGCTGCATGCAGAAGAGGTGAGAGGTCCTCACAGAGGAAGGAAGGAGGGGGCCCCAGGCCTCTGCACAGAGTGCCGGTGAGGGATGTCCATGAAAGCAGCAATTTGAACGATTCTATTTATTTATTTATATTTTAATTTTTTAAATTATCGATAAATTGTTATCTGTGTACATATACCATTGCCTCCCCCCCCCACACACACATACACACACATACCTTTCCTCCCGAGTTTTGTGTTCATTGGTTGTACTTATATGCATGTATACAAGTCCTTCGGTTGATCTCTTATCTACCCCAGATCTCCCTACCCTCCCCGTTGTAATTTGACAGTCTGCTTGTTGCTTTACTGTCTCTGTATCTTTTTTGTTTGTTAATCAGCTTATAATGTTCTTTATTATCTAAAAGTGAGTGAGGTCATGTGGTGTTTCTCTTTCATTGACTGGCTTATTTCACTCAGCATGATGTTCTCCAATTCCATCCAGGTTGCTGCAAATGATGAAAATTCCTTCTTTTTTATGGCGGCATAGTATTCCATTGTGTAGATGTACCATAGTTTTCTGATCCAATCATCTGCTGACGGGCACCTAGGCTGTTTCCAAATTCTGGCTATTGTCGATTGTGCTGCTATGAACATCGGGGTGCATATTTCCTTTCTGATTGGTGTTTCTGGTTTCTTAGGATATATTCCTAGGAGTGGGATTTCTGGGTTGAATGGGAGTTCCATTTTCAGTTTTTTGAGGAAACTCCATACTGTTCTCCACAGTGGCTGCACCAGTCTGCATTCCCACCAGCAGTGCACGAGGGTTCCTTTTTCTCCGCAACCTCGCCAACACTTGTTTGTTGATTTGTTGATGTTGGCCATTCTGACAGGTGTGAGATGGTACCGCATTGTCGTTTTGATTTGCATCTCTCAGATAATTAGTGACTTTGAGCATGTTTTCATGTGCCTTTTGGCCTTCCTTCTGTCTTCTTTTGAAAATATTCTATTTAGGTCCATTGCCCATTTTTTTTTTTCCATTGCCCATTTTTAATTGGATCATTTATCTTCCTTTTATTTAGTTGTATAAGCTGTCTGTAGATGTTGGAGATTAAACCTTTATCAGTGATAACATTTGCAAATATGTTCTCCCATACAGTGGGCTTTCTTGTTGTTTTGTTGATGGTTTCTTTTGCTGTAAAAAAGCTTTTTATTTTGATGTAGTCCCATTTGTTTATTTTCTCTTTAGCTTCCATTGCTCTAGGGGCAGTATCAGTGAAGAAGTTTCTTTGGCATATGTCAGAGATTTTGCTACCTGTAGATGCCTCTAGTATTTTTATGATTTCCCGTCTTATGTTTAAGTTGTGTATCCATTTTGAGTTTATTTTTGGGTATGGTGTAAGTTTCCTGCAGTGTTTTTAATATATATATATATATATATATATATATATATATATATATTATTGATTTTTTGCATAGAGGAAGAGAGAGGGATAGAGAGCTAGAAACATCAATGAGAGAGAGAGTCATCGATCAGCTGCCTCCTGCACACCCCTACTGGGCATGTGCCTGCAACCAAGGTACATGCCCTTGACTGGAATCGAACCTGGGACCTTTCAGTCCGCAGACCAATGCTCTATCCACTCAGCCACACCAGTTTCGGCACCCCTGCTGTATTAACATACAGAGCACAGTATTCTCACTGAAAGCTCCAGCCTGCACCGGGTTGCTGTTTGCCACTACCCTTCACCCCGATGCTTGCGGACCTCCCCGTGTCCCCGCTGGCCCATCCCTTCTGCAGCAGCCAGAGGCGTCTTGTCGAAGTCTAGGTCCTGTTCTGCCACTCCTCTCTGCTCAGGGCCTCAGGCCCCTGCCAGCTCATCCGGATGAAGTCCTCTGACTCTGTCTCCTTCTCCCCCACCTTGCCTGCTCCTGCCCCGCCCCCAGGGCCTCCTTGCTGCTGGGTGTGTGTGTGTGTGTGTGTGTGTGTGTGTGTGTGTACGCGTGCATGCGCGCCAGGCTCCCTGTGCTCAGTGCGTGTGCTGCCCCTTCTCTCCGGGATGCTGTTCTCTCTGACACTGTGGACTCAGCTGTTTCAAAATGAGCGGCCTCCCCGCTCCCTCACGCCCACGCCTCTTTGCTCAGAGGGTCTCCCTCGGAGAGGACCTACCTGACCCTCTCTCGGCTTTGTGCATGTTCACCGCACTGTCACCACCGGCGTGCTGCTTATGGGCTTCTCTGCCTGGGTGTTGCTGGTTGCGCCTTGTCTCCGGGCCCTCAGGAGGATGGACGCGCGTGAGGGCAGGGGTTTTACCTGTCACGTTCACTGCGGCATCCTGGGCACCTGGCACCATGCCTAGCACCCAGCGCAACAAAGATCTGGTGAATGATTTTATATTTTCCTTATAAAATGAATGGTAATTAATGGACATGCACAAACCCCTGGACAACCAGGAAGAGGTGTGTCTGCTGCATGGAGAGCCTTGTGGTTTTTAGGGAAGCCTGTGGTTCTGGAGACTTTGGAATCTCAGGCTCTTGGAAAGATGTCTCCCCACCCACTTCCAGGAGCACCGCTGATCACACTGACGGTGCCCTGCCAGCCAGCGGGGCCCTCTTGGGGTCAAGTGCAGCCTCTCAGGAGCCCACAGCCCTGGAGGTTCTGTCAAATCCAAAGTCTTCTTGGGGCAGCCAGGCATCTCGCCACTTGCTCATGTATCAGACGGCGACTGCCTTTAGGGCCTTCAGTCTCTGCTGCCAGCCGCCCCGAGGAGGCTGCGGTGGGTCTGGTGAGCTGAGCCCCCGCCCTGGGGAGGAGGAGAGGGATGCTTCTGAGGCGGCAGAGAGAAGGCGCTCACAGAGGTGGCTGAGCCCGAGTCATCACATGCCACCACATGCATGTGGAGACGCGGCCCCGCCTGACCTCCTTCTCTCACCCTGGCTACAGGTTTGAGGATGGCACAATCCCGTTCCTTGATGTGATAGCGCTCAAGCACGGATTTGACGCCCTGGAGCGCCTCACAGGTAGGGGGACATTGTTAACCCGTGGAACTGGCTCCTGGGGTGAAGCAGGGGCGTGGCTTCATGGATGGGCTGCCCTTTCTCGATCTCTTTCATTCCAACCATAGGGCCCCGCAGGTCCTTAGTCTCAGCCCAACACGGGAGGTGGACGGCCTCATGCGAGGAGAGAGGTGCCCTGCAGGGAGGTGGGTGGGCATCATCCAGGACAGGGAGGTGGTAATCAGGATGGGCACTGAGAAAGAGCGCTTCCCCCAGGAAAGATATCAACATGGCACCCAAATGCAAGTGGCAGGGTCTGACAGGGCCAGGGCACCTTTGAAAGTAGATCGACAATGTCTGTTTTCCAATAGAGCAAACCCTGATTTTTCCAGCTTCATTGTTTTTTTTTTTTTTTTTTTTAAAGATTGTAGTAAGTGTGTAAGATTATATATATGAACTAGAGGCCCTGTGCACAAAATTCATGCCCAGAAGGGAGGAGAGAGATGGAGCCTAAATGAGCAGTTGGACATCTCTCTCACAATCCAGGACTGCTGGCTCCCAACTGCTCTCCTGCCTGCCTTCCTGATTGCCCCTAACTGCTTCTGCCTGTCAGCCTGATCACCACTTAACCAACCCCCTGCCAGCCTGATTGAAGTCTAACTCCTCCCCGGCCAGCCTGGTCACCCCTAACTGTCCTCCCCTGCAGGCCTGGTCACCCCTAACTCCCCTCCCCTGCTGACCATCTTGTGTCCACATGGGGGCAGCCATTGTTGTGTGTTGGAGTGACAGTCAATTTGCATATTATTCTTTTATAATAATAGATAGGATGGCAGGTATTCCCATGGGAAAATTCAGCAATGGTAAACTTGTCTAGTACCAAAGACCTGGACATTTATCTTGTGGGCAGCACCAAATATTTACAAGTATTTAAAATCATGAACATCAGGTCCAGGTCTGCCAGTTATAAGGATCACGTTTTCTTGAAAAGGAGCGAGTGGATTTGCTATCAAGCAAGTAATTCTCTCCGGCGTTTTCTCCTGTCTTTGAGGCGGCATGGAGAACGTGCAGCAGCACACCTTCACCTTGGCTCGGTACACCTACACCGCCCTGCGCGCCCTCCGGTACTCCAGCGGGGCCCCCGTGGTGCGGATCTATAGCGACTCTGAGTTCTGCAGCCCCGAGGTGCAGGGCCCGGTCATCAACTTTAACGTGCTCGACGCCGACGGGCGCGTCGTCGGTTACTCCCAGGTGGGTTTCCTTTTCTATCCCCCGCACCTACCTGTCCACAGCAGGGTGGCCCTTGTCTGGAACTTGGCAGCCTCCCGAAATGTGTGGTCAAGGCCTCTGGGCCTTGGCAGGAGCCGTGACGAAGCTCAGGCTCGGCGGTGGAAGCCAGGCCCCTTCCGAGGTTGCTCCTTGCAAGCACGTCTGCTTAGTCCTCCATCCTCTTTATCCGGCCAGTAGTCAAGGGCAAGTGGGGAGAGAGAGGCGAGTCTCTGACAGCAGCGCTAAGAGCACGCCCTGAAGTCCTGTCGGCGGGAAAGCAGTGGAGACCAAGTACCATGTCTGGGGTCATTGATGTACAGACAGCTTGGTAGCCTTGGTGACGTTCAAGAGCACATCACAGTGTCATGCAGAATCATAGAATGTCCCAGGTGATGTTGCATGCCTTTGGAGGCGAGGTCAGGAAAAACGAAGCCACGTTAGCCTTGTTCCCTGGGTCACTCACTTTTGGAGCCCCGAGGGACCGTGTAAGCAGTTCTCCCCGGAGGCTGACCTGCTGTGAGGAAGCCATGCCCGGGGAGAGGCCGAGGGTAGGCACTCGATGGTGGCAGTGCGAGTTTGAGCCCGCTTAGCCGGGGAGGCCAGATGCACGCATGAGGAAGTCAGTCTCCAGGCGATTCCAGCCTCTCATGCCACCTCACTCCCAGCTTTTGAGACTTGAGAAATGAAGAATCAGAATCACCTCCTCGGTGCCCTTTCTTAATTCCTGACCCATCGAAGCAGAGAGCACAATAAAATGGTTGTTTTAGTCCACCACGTTTGGGTGGCTTGCTGCGCAGCAGTGATAAGTAGGTGTGGGTGGGGAGAAGGCAGTGATGGGTGACTTCTGACTGAGCAGTGGCGGGAGTTGGGGTTGGCGGAGTGAGGCACTTCCCCAGGGGCACCATTGCTACTAACCCCTTACTAGAGCGCTGTTCTCAGAATGTCCACCAGAGGGCGCTATTTGCAACGAATCCCTTCCTCCGACCCTGGGAATGGGTTTGGCCAGAGGTGCTGCCCGGTCTCCTCTCAGATTCCTGAGATGTCATGACTGGGTTTCCACATCACTGAGCTGCTTGCTCCTCAGGGCTAAGGAGTGCAGTTGTTTTCGGAGGCCTCTTGGTTCAGCCCAGAGAATAGCTTCTTCTCATTCTGATAGTCCAGGGGAGACAGCCATGGTCTTGACATGAGAGGTACGCGCCATTGCCAGCACTCCCCAGCCGGGGCCCGGGCTGGCCCAGGTGACCTGTGGTCTGCGGAGGGCGCCGTGTCCTCCTGGCTGCTCTGGCGACCCAACACGTGACTTCCCAAGGAGGAAAGTTTCCAGGGCTTACCCCACTGCTCCAGATGTATTTGTCTCCCTGAACGCAGCTGGGTGACTCCCCTGAGTTTAACCCCAGTCCCCGGGGCTGAGGCCCCTCACTGGGCTTCCAGGTCCTCAGAGGAACGGAGCCCTCGGCCCACAGCGGGAGAGCTGGGACAAAGGTCCCTCATGCTAACCCTGCCTGCGTGTCTTGAGTGAATGGGAGTCACCTCCCAGCGCTGCCAGGGGACGGGAAAACACCTGGGAACTTCTGCATTGAGCAGCAGTTCTGGGATTCAGCCCAGAGTCAGGGCATTATGAAAAGCAAACGGGTAACACACAGGGTCAACGCAGTCATGTCTTTAGTACGGGGTGGGCCCAGGTGGGGCTGCTCTGGGTGGTAGCTCAGCTGGGCCTGCTCTGGGGTCAACCCCGTGGCGGAGGGTGCCCAGGGCTGCCCACGTGGCAGCTGCACTTGGGTTCTGTGCTTAATCATCTCGCTTGAAATGAGAGGGCCCTAACTTGGAATTTTGGCCTAATTTTTTTTTAAAGTATTGTTTTTGAAAGGGGGGGAGGGAGAGAGAGAGAGAGAGAGGAGAGAGAGAGAGAGAGGTTTGTTGTTCCACTTATTTATGCATTCATTGATTGATTCTTGTATGTGTCCTGACTGGGGATTGAACCCCCAGCCTTGGTGTATCGGGATGACACTTTGAGGGTTAGTCTAACTGCCTTGAGTCTAACCAATCAAGCGACCTGGCCAGAGCGATACTTTCTCTTTTCTCAGGCATCCATCTGTATCCCACTGGATACACCTTAATGATCAGTAGCCTCTTATGCAATGCATTCAGTAAACGAGATCATGGCCCTTTAGGGCACACTGGAGGGCTCCTGTTTTCATTTTATTGTTCGGAAAGGGAGGTCCAGAGAGTGGCCTGAGACTGTCCCAGGCCATGGAGTAACGCTGGCCGTTCCTCACCGGGCTCCGTGTCCCATCCCGCCCGCAGGTGGAGAAGATGGCCAGCCTCTTCAACATCCAGCTGCGCACCGGCTGCTTCTGCAACACGGGCGCCTGCCAGCGGCACCTGGGCCTCAGCGACGACATGGTCAAGAAGCACCTGCAGGTGGGTGTCAGGCCCCGTGGCCCGAAAGCGTGCCAGCAGCACCCCAGGTGGCACCCCAGGAATCCTGGAGGCCGGCCTGGTGTCGGGGTGGGCTCGGATTCACCTTCTAAGCCCACCACGTGGCTGTGCAAAGGAAACGGATCAACAAGCAGGAAAATGCTGTAGGCCGGTATCCCCATGGAAGTCATTTTTTACTGTGAAGGCAACATGTCAAGGCTGAAGAGGGGTTCTGACAGGGGGCGAGCATGCGTGGGAACATGCTCTTACATGCAGAGGGCCCAGCCCGATCAGGGTAAACATCTCCAGTTGGAGTCCCCTGGTCCTGGGCTGGGTGAGGAGGGGACCGTCCCAGGGGCATTCCACATCCATCAGAGCTCCTCCCTCCTCCCTCTCTGTCTTCCCTCCTCTGTCCTCCCTCCTCCCTCCTCCCTCCTCCCTTCTTTCTCCTCCCCCTCTCTCTTCTCTCCTCTGTCCTCCCTCCTCCCTCCTCTCTTCTCCTTCCTCCATCCTCCCTCCTCCCTCCTCTCTCCTCCCTCCTCTATCCCCCCCCCTCCCCCCAGCGCTGGGGATTTCACTTCAAGGGAAAGCTGTTTGGAACCCTTTCGTAACAGATTGAGTGGCAGAGAGCCCTTATTTATCTAGGAATAGTTTCAACTTGAGTTTTGTTTGGTTGCCAGTAAGTATCGCATATATTCGATCCCCACCTGCCACGACTGGGTTTTATTTGAAAAGAGAGAGAGGGAAGCTCAGAACACAAACAAGGAAGTCCAGGTGTGATGTTCGATCCTGTGGGATGCATGCCGGGCCCCACCTCCCTGGAGGACTGACCCGGATTAGGGGCAGTGACCAACCCCGGGGAGCTGGGCTCGGAGAGGCACGGGTTGGGACCTCTCTCCTTTCTTCCCCCCGCCCTGCAGGGACCCTGGAGCGTCCTCGGCTTTTGTGGTGGCCTCCGGAGGGCGAGGGCGGTTCATAGGGCAGCATCTCGCAGGCCTGCTGCCAGGGATGCAGCCGCCCAGGTCCTGAGAGGCTGAAGGGCGCGGCCGCCGGTGTCCTCCGCCTCAGCCCTGGCGGACGGAAGGTGGGACCTGGGCTGCGGGAGCTCAGCGCTGGGCAGAGGCTTTCCGTGGAGTGTTTCCTTTAAGCTCTCGGTGGCCCCTGAGGTCAGTGCTGACCCCGATGTGCACTTGAGCAAAGGGCCATCCTGTCGGCGGGCCCCTCTGCGGGGCTGGTCGCAGGCACACAGCACAGGCTGGACGTGCGATGCCCTTTTCTGGGTCCGTTTATTTCACAAGATGAGCAACATCTATCTGAGAGGAGCCGCTGACTCCGTTCCCTTCTCTTCCAGGCTGGTCACGTCTGTGGAGATGACGTGGACCTCGTGGATGGGCAGCCGACGGGGTCCGTGAGGATTTCGTTTGGATACATGTCCACTCTTGAGGACGCCCAAGCCTTTCTCGAGTTCATCATCGCCACCCGGCTGCGCCCGCAGAGTAGCCAGCCTGGTCCTCGGGCCGCCCCTGGGGAGGCTGGCACCGCACCAGCAGAGACTGAGGCTCAGAGCACTGTGCCCGCCACTGTGTTCACAACCGTGCCCACCACTGTGTCCACCACTGTGCCTGCCACTGTGCCCACCACTGTGCCCGCCACCGTGCCCGCCACTGTGTTCACCACCGTGCCCACCACTGTGCCTGCCACTGTGCCCACCACTGTGTCTACCACCGTGCCCACCACCGTGCCCGCCACTGTGTCCACCACTGTGCCCACCACCGTGTCCACTGTGCCCGCCACTGGGCACAGATCTAGTCCCTCTCCTCGGGAAGACACCCCCACAGCCTCCGGGGCCGGGAATGCCTGGCCCCCTGCTCTGGGTGCTGTGTGTCAGCACTCACCGCTGGAGGCCACCAGGCCCCTGCAGGCCCCTCCAGAGACAGCGGCGGCCCCGGGCGAGGGCCTCGGGCCACATGTGGTCACCAACCTCTTCCTCTACCCCATCAAGTCCTGTGCTGCGTTTGAGGTAAGGGTCTTCATGGCAGAACGGAGAGTGCTTTTTTTGTTTGTTTATTTTTTGTTTATAATGTGGGTTTTTTGTTTTTTTTGGGGGGGGGGCAAAGTGCAGAAAAAAGCTCAGAATATGAAAAAAAAATGCCGAAAATCCCACTCAAGGTCAGAGGACTGTGATGTAATAAGAGCCATTCTATCTGCCTTTCTTGGTTTGGGCTGCCTTTCCTACATGGCTCTGCCTGCTTGCGGGGACCCTGGAGGAGACCCTGAGTGGTGAATGCCTGCTTCCTGTTTTTTGTTTTTTAAATAATGTATTTAAAAATATATATATTTTATTGATTTTTTTTGCCCCCCTCCCTCCCTCCCATACATACCCTTCCTCCCCAAAGTTTTATGTCCATTGGTTAAATAATGTATTTCTTTATTGGTGTCAGAGAGGAAGGGAGAGAGAGGGAGAGAGAGAGGGAGAGAAAGAGAGAGAGAGAGAGAGAGAGAGAGAGAGAGAGAGAGAGACATCAATGACGAGAGAATCATCGGTCAGCTGCCTCCTGCATGCCCCCTACTGGGGATTGAGCCCACAACCCGGGCATGTGCCCTTGACCGGAATTGAACCAGGACCCTTCAGTCCTCAGGCGGACACTCTATTCACTGAGCCAAATGGGCTAGGGCCTGCCTGCTTTCTGTTAATAACTGTGGATACAACTTTCAGCGAATGCAGGGGCTGCATCCCTAAGGAGGCATTTTAGGTGCCTGGTTTCATTCGATTCTTGAAACAACAACATGAGGCACACGGGAGGATCATCCTCATTTTGTAGAGATGGAGCCGGAAGGCCACTGAGGCGACGCACTTTCCCAGGTCGCCTGCGAACAGGGCAGAGCAGGGGCTTGAACTTAGGTCTGTCACTCCTTATGTGATGTGCCCCCCTCAGCCCTCCCTGAGGAAGTGAACTCTGCCTGGGGTCACCAGAGCTGGGAGACAGGGCACCTACCGTGGCACCCCCGGCAGTGGCCCAAGTGAGTCCGCCTTTGTCATATCTGTGCGTCCACGTCTCAGGCCCAGATCCACCTCTGGGGTGACAGGTTCCCTGGCTCTTGGTCAGACAGACGGGGATCAGAATGTGTGTCACCTGCTTTTCAGGGGTGCCCCACAAAGCCTGCCTTCTAGGCTGAACCATAAACATGAAGGAACAGCCCAGTTTCCTCAGCCCTTTGAAGCCCATAGTTGAAGCCACGACTCAGACTACCTGGGGGGGGCGGATATACAGAGTGATGAGATGTCCCAGATTAAACATGTGAAAGAAAGAAATAAAGAACAAAACAGACAAAGAAGGCAGAGCCCAAAAAGAATAGGAAACCAACAGAGGGGAAAGTATTATAAGTCAGTCACCATCAGTCAACTTGATGGTTATTAGGACTATTGTAGAAACATGTTTCCTTCCTTCCTTCCTTCCTTCCTTCCTTCCTTCCTTCCTTCCTTCCTTCCTTCCTTCCTTCCTCCCTCCCTCCCTCCCTCCCTCCTTCCCTCCCTTCCTCTCTCTCTCTCTCTTTCTCTCTCTCTCTCTTTTTAAATTTTATTGTTGAAAAAACAAAACAAAACAAAAAACAAGCAAGTTCACCTCCACTTCAAAACGGGGCAGGTGGGACTCCACATGCCCTTGTGCACCGGGCCTGTCTCTTCAGAGATGGATCCTGTTCTGTGGGACAGCTGCATCGCACAGCAGCACGGGCGGCAGTTAGTATTCCACCTCGCAGATGGGGACACCGAATCTCAGTGGGGTTTCGCACATTGCTCAAGGTCTTCCATCCCTCTGCTCCTTCCAAAGCTGAACACCTGAGCACCTGCTACCTGCCAGGCGGTGGGGCAGAACCTGGTGGACGGTGATGAGCAAAGTGGAAACGGTTCCTTCCCTGGTGGTGGTGGGGCACAGTGGGGGGACTGTCTCAGGAGGGAAACAGACAGAGGCCAAACACCACCCAAGGAGTGGAATGACACTGCTGATGAAGGCCAAGACGGTGAAGGTGGGGATGCCAGAGAGAGAATCCCAGTGGGTGTGTGACGTAGTCCATTGAGGCAGCTATAGCAAACCTGTGAACCGGGTGGCTCATGAACAACAGACATTATTTCTTACTGTCTGGAGGCCTGACGTCCAACGTGAAGGCACAGGTGGATGTGTTGCCCTGTGAGCGTCCACTTCCTGGTTCACAGACAGCTGCCTTCCTGCTGTGTCCTGTCACGGGGGTGAGGGAACTCTCCAGGCCTCTTTGGAAAAGGGCGCTAATCCCATTCATGAGAGCCCCACCCTTGTGATCGAGTCACCTCCCACAGGCTCCACCTCCCAACAACTTTACCTTGGGAGTTAGACTCTTAACATGAATTCTGGGGTGACACAGGCATTTAGTTCACTGCAGTGGGGTACTTAGACTGTATTTGGAGGAGGCAGGAAAGGCTTCTTGAAGAGGGGACATTTAACCTGAAACCTGGGAGTCAGGCATATGGAAAGAGGGGGAAGAGCATTCCAGGCAGAGGGAACAGCCTGTGAGGAGACCCTAGGGTGAGAAAGAGCCTGGTCTATTGGAGGAACAGAAAGAAAGACATGGGGGCAAAGAGTGGGGTGGTGGTGAGGAGGGATTTGGGTGTTGTACTGCACATGCCTCACCTACTGAAGAAGCGGGTTGAAATGGAGAGGGGCGGGTGTGCAGGGTGAGTGGAAGGTGGCCAGGTCCTTTGTGCTGTCCTCTTCATTGACTTTCTTCTCTCTCTCCCGTTCTTCCTTCAGGAGTATGTGCTGAGTCCCTGAGGTTTAGCCGGCTGTGCAGCCGCTGCGCAACGCAAAGGTCATTGTCCAGGAGCCCTGGCCTACCACGCGCTTCCCTTTCTGTTTAGGTGACGCAGTGGCCTGTGGGACCCCGAGGGCTGCTGTACGACCGGAGCTGGATGGTTGTGAACCACAACGGCATTTGCCTGAGTCAGAAGCAGGAGCCGCGGCTGTGCCTGGTCCAGCCCTGCATCGACCTGCAGCAGAGGATCATGGTCGTTCGAGCCAAAGGTGCAAAAACGGGTTCCTTTTCACCACGCAGCTGTCAGAGGGGCCTAGATGCTCACGTGAAAGGAAGATAGGGCTTTTCCTCCACCAACTATTGAAGTGATCCGAAGATGAAACGAGGCCTTGAAGAGACAACAGGAAGCTTATTCCTCTCGTGTTGTGGGAGTTTTCTGGGGAAAGGTGAAGACCTGAGGGTCCATTCAGAAACTAAAGAGGCGTAACTTCTGGAATTACGTGATGTGCTTTTTCACTTACATTCCTTTTATACCCTTCAGTCATCATCATACAGGGTGGGTCACAGTAGGCTTATAATTGTTTGTATGGAAAAAGGCAGGCAGGACATGGTTATGACAACAGCTTTATTAACGCAAAAGAATGCCACAGTGGCACCATGCACTTAGGTACAATCTCGTAAGTGCTCAAGTGCCAGCCTTCATTCTTTGCACATCCTTATGGTCTTTGAAAATCAGTAAAGAAATCCGAATTTCAGTGACCTGTTGGGTCAGCCCCACTGCCTCCTGAGGTGGTTGAAGTCAAACCTACTTTTGTCTCTACCCTCCTCCACCCCGCCCCTGTAGGCACTGCATGCTTTCATTCTCTCTGCTGGCTTTTATTGGAGACTAGTAGCATACATAAAAATCACAGATCAGCTCTGTCCAGCAGGGGTCGGCAACCTGCGGCTCCGGAGCCGCATGCGGCTCTTTTGAACCTTTGCTGCGGCCCCCAGCAGGTCCGACACTAGCAGGGCAGATAGCAGGGCGGGGTGGGAGCTGTATCACTTGTGTCGCAATGGTTTTGCAACTCCGAGGTTTTTTTTCCTTCGAAAACGGGTCCAAGTGGCTCTTTATGTCTTAAAGGTTGCCGACCCCTGGTCCAGGGGAACTTTCTGTGATGGTGGAATATGCATTCTCTATATTGTCCGTTTGGTAGCCACCAGTCACATGTGGCTACTGAACACCTGAAATGTGGCCAGCCGGAAAAGAGAACTGAATTCTAAATTTTATCTAATTTTGGTTAATTTAAATTGTGGCTAGTGGCTACAGTGTTGAATAGTACATGTATTTTGCAATTATATATTTGTAATTATATTTTGATTGTAGTGCCATACATTCAGTTCAGGAGAATTTATATAATATAATATTGTCTTTTATATATAAACTAGAGGCCTGGTGCATGAAATTGGTGCATGGGAGGGAGGGGGCGTCCCTCAGTCCAGCCTGCACTCTCTTGAAATCCTGGACCCCTCAGGGGATGTCTAACTAATGGTTTAGGCCTGATCCTGCAGAGAATGACTATCCCTCCATCACAAAAAAAAAGTTCCATTGGACAGAGCTGATTTGTAATTTTATGTATGCTACCAGTCTATAATAAAAGCCAGCAGAGAGAATGAAAGCAAACAGTGCATATGGGGGGAGGAGGGGTAGGCGGGGTGGAGAAGGGTAGACACAAAAGTAGGTTTGACTTTAACCACCTGTGAGATCAGGCTTAAACCATCAGTAGGATATCCTTCTTGCAATCCGGGACAGCTAGCTCCTAACTGCTTGCCTATCTGCCTGCCTCTCTGCCTGCCTGTTTGATCACCCCTAACCCTTCTGCCTGCCTTCCTGATCTGCCTGCTTGCCTGATCGCCCCTAACTGCTCATGCCTCGGCCCCCACTGCCACGGCTTCATCGGAAGGTTTTCTGGAAGGACGTCCAGAAGGTCATTCAGCTGTCTGGTCTAATTAGCATATTATGCTTTTATTATTATAGATAGTATTTCTCTTCATTTAAAACTTCTTACTCCAAAAATTTAATAATATCAATATTTTTCCAGAAATGTTCTGCACATTTTTGGATATATAATAGTTTGAGTATTTTGAATATTATTTTTTTCTATTAAATTGGTTATGAATGCCATATAGAAACTATACTGATTTTTATATATCAATGTTTTACCCAGAATTTTTTCTGAATTTTTGTTAGTTGATCTGAAGATTTTGTCACATGTTCTATGTAAATTGGCATATTGTCTTCTAAAATGATAGTTTCTCATAAAATGATAGTTTCTTTTTTTAAAAATATATTTTATTGATTTTTTTTTTTTTTTTTTTTTTTTTTTTTTTTTTTTTACAGAGAGGAAGGGAGAGGAAGGGGGAGAGATAGAGAGCTAGAAATGTGGATGAGAGAGAATCATCAATCAGTTGCCTCTTGCACACCCCCTATTGGGGATGTGCCCGCAACCAAGGTACATGCCCTTGCCCGGAATCGAACCTGGACCTTTCAGTCCACAGGCTAACTCTCTATCCACTGAGCCAAACCAGTTTTGGCAGTCATTTCTTATTGAATATTTTTTTTCTGCAACTATGGTTATATTTTTCTTCTATATTCTATGAGTGTGATGTCTTACATTAGCAGACTGTCCAATACCGAAGTATTCTTTCATTCTTGGGGTAGAGAAAACACTAGTTGGCAATAATTTGTTGATACAGTTGGATTGCTGATTTTTTTTTTAGTATCTTTATATCTATTTTTATTAGTGAGATTGATATATTATTTCTTTTCTTGTTCACGTTCAGGTACCCAGGATAATACACAAAAAAGATTTGAGTGGATTATTTCACTTTCTATTCTCTGAGTAGTGTATACATCAGTCTTAATGCTATTCTTTAACCTGTTACAGGTGTTATATACTCCTTTATATGTATGATGTATCTATAACAATTAAAAAATAGCTTCTTAACCCATTGGCATAACAGACTCTTTGAAGTAATGATGGTTGGTGCAGGAATCTAATTTGATGCTGATCCTAGGGGCTGTAAGAGCTGACACTCTATGCTGATATCTTTGCAGAATGAGTCTTCACGCCTGCCTGCCTGTTTTTAAAGAGTTTTAGGTAGCTCAGAGAACAATGACCTTGGGATGTGGAGTCACCCAGAGGTAGAGAAAACTTCCAAAGGGATTTACAGTGTTCCGGGGACTGTGGATGTGGCTGCCCACGGCAGGGTCCCTGCTAACTAGGTCCCTGCTAACTACACTCAATGCACAGCTGTTGGGCACAGATCAGGCTGAAGAGAATCTCTGTGTTAGATTTCCAAGACCCAGACACGTATTTGATTTAACTAGTTTCCAGGGGCATTAAGATTCTTGTAAATTTCATAACAACGGACTTCAACGTACATAGTTGCTCTTTTTGCTTGGTAATAAGTTTCTCTCTACCCTTTGCCCATCAGGAATGGAGCCTATAGAGGTGCCTCTTGAGGAAACCAGTGAATGGGCTCCGATTTGCCAGAGCAAGGTCTGTGCGGACAGGTGAGGCTGCAGCGGGGGAAATCTCAGGTCCACCGGCAGGTGGTAGGAGGGGACGAGTCCTCTGCTGAGTCCTCCATCTCCCCCACTGTCACTCCCCATGGCGCACCCCGCTCACCACTCACAGCGTTGGCTCCCTCTCAGGGCTTTGCCCTCCTGTTTCCTCTGCTTGGAATGCTCTTCCCCTATTTATACCTCCAAGGGGCTCACTCCCTCAGCTCCATCAGTCTCACTGCCACCTGGTCGCTGCTGAAAAGCCCTTCTCTCAGAGGGGCGCCTGGCCTCCCACAGAACCGGGCTTCCCTCACTGCTTGTCAGGCTGCATTCTTCTCTTTAGCATGGACTGTTACCCAACCTTTGTCTTTAGTCCCTCCCACTAATGCTGACTGGGGCTCAGGCTTCCCGCAGAGCCCGAAACAGGCTGTGGGGGAGGTATGGTGAGCCAGAAACCATTCAGAGGAGACATGGAGGGCCCTGGGTGGGGTGGCTGCTGTAGAGCGGTGAGGGTAGGGGACCTGATTCGTATTTTGAAAAGACTGGTTGTGGATGTAGAATAGTTGGAAGCTGGCGAGGGTGCAAGTGAGAAGGCCGGCTGGGACAAGGCGAAGGGTCAGGGGAAACCAAGTGGGGGTCAAATATCTATCCTGGAGGTAGACCACCTGACCCAGCTGATGGATTGGATGGGGAGCCTGAGGGTAAGGGGATGTCACGTCCCTCAGGCTGTATAATTTTCAGGTGATAACCCATCAGTTACATTTCATACAGTTGTGGATGATGGCCTAATCTGAGTTACTGGTGAAAAATCATTGGCTAAATTCTAGGAAGTGTGGATAGTGAGATGGAATGCAATAAGAGCATTTCTATTTGATTTCTTATTATGAATGTTTATAGATCTGTTTATTGAATATATTGACTATCAAGTCTAACATGGGCCCCAAAACATGTGCAGGAGCAGATTTTCTGATTGTGGAAACCTACCTAGCCCATCTGATATCCCAGACACTTCATTCCCCAATACTAAAACAGCTAACTGGAGCAGTGCACTAGGATTTATACAGAGAAGGCTTTTAAACTGCAAATTGTCTATTATTTGACATAATAAGCTCATTCGTGGGTGTTTGTGCTCAGTCGATGGCGATGGTGATACTGCACGGAGTGGCATTGACTGCATTTACTTCTGCTCTGCCTCATCATGTAAACCACAAAATGACCTGTGAAATAATAAAGCTGTATCTGAATTGGGCTCACATGTCTAGGGCCCCGGGTCTCCCTGTGTGATGAAGGCTGCACCTCAGGAAAGGAATGCAGGTGCAGGTGCAGTGCGATAATCCTGCTGGGCATGGCTCAGTGTCGTGGGCACTGGGCCATCCTGGAGCCAAGAGCCAGCACAGTGGGCATCCTTCCACCATGCTCGTGCCAGGAAATGCTCATCAGAATACACAACTGAGGGCACCGAGTCTCGGGTAGGCATTTTTGCCCGTCACCGCTGTAAATCTCAGGGAGAGAGAGAGACAGAGCCATTTAGGAGCACCTGCAGGCACTTCCCCAGCTCGTCTCTGGTTGTGCCTTTCATTGAGTTGCGTCTGAGGGGGATGCCACTTTTCTGGGTAATAAAGCTTTCAGGCCCGTAGAGGTTAAGCTAGGAACTGTGAGAACTTAATAGAATGAAAATGGAATTAGTGCAATCTCTCAAAGCACCAGAGAGAAGGTGCTATAAGGTGAGGTTTCCTTCTTCTCTCCCCTTTCTAGAAAAGAAAGGCAACCATTTTTCCGAGTGAAAATTAAGGATGAGATAGGTTTTCAATAATAGCGGTCTTATGGTCCCAGGGTAAGATGTTAGCAATTCTCCCTTATCAATTCTGGTGATGTGCAGATTAGAAAACTTTTTGGAATTCTATTTAAAAATTCTAGAAGATTGCAGAGTTTTTTTTTTTTTTTAAAGATCAATAAATGTACTTACATTGGTGATTTATAGGCCCAGTGGTGTTCTTTCAACAAGCCAACATGTCAGCCCATGAGGGATGGCTGCGAGAGGAAAGACTATAGTCAGGCCCTTAGGAAAACACCAAGACACATGTCTGGGTGCGAGGGCTTCTTAGAGCAAGGTAATGCTCTGGAAAACCCGAGATTCCAAGGTTGTTTTCTCAGTGGCTATAACTTAAAGAAGGTTTTTCAAGAGGAACCTCTAAACTCTTTTTTATCTGATCTTAAAGCTCTGCACAAGCCCAGGTCTCAGGTCTTGCTGTGCCTTGGAAAGCTCCCTGCAGCTTCCTAAGCACTCCTGCCACTCTAGGCTTCCTGCTGGCTGGGGCTCAATGATTATTATACAAATAGAGGCCCGGTGCACGAAATTCATGCACTTGGCAGGGTCCCCCTCAGCCTAGCCTGTACCCTTTCGCAGTGTGAGAGCCACTGCCACTGTGCTGGCCAGCTGTGAGCCCAGCCTCTGGCTGAGCAGTGCTCCCCCAGTGGGAGCACACTGACCACCAGGGGGCAGCTTCTGCATTGAGCGTCTGCCCCCTAGTGTCAGTGCGTGTCATAACGACCAGTCATTCTGCCGTTTGGTCAATTTGCATATTAGCCTTTTATTATATAGGATATTGTATTCCTTTTTGCCATTTAGATTGTCATTACATAATACGATATAACATTTACCATTTTTTTAATTTATTTTTTTGGTCAGGGTAAAAACTTATGATTGTGGAGAAGAAATTTCAAGCTGGTTGTCAAGGTTTTTGGGCCGTCCGTGTCACTTGATCAAACAAAGTTCGGACTTTCAACGAAACGCGAAGAAGAGCCGTGGCAAAGGTATGGCGCTCGGGCTGTTCTCAGGGCACAGGGACTCGGGCTTACCTTTGCACGCACCCAGGTCAGCCCGTGACGCGGAGTCACAGGGCAGCTCGCTCACGTACAGACAGTGGGGCGGCCTCCGGCAGAGAGGACCCTGTGGCCCCAGGTCGGCAGGACCCAGGTGTGGCCTCCTGAGAAGCCCGAGAGGCTGGGTTGGGGTCCCAGACCATTGTTTGGCCTCTGCCTCAGCCACGCATATTTGGAAGCACACTTCTGTGTTGTTTTTTTTAAATATATATTTTATTGCTTTTCTACAGAGAGGAAGGGAGAGAGACAGATAGTCAGAAACATCGATGAGAGAGAAACATCGATGAGCTGCCTCCTGCACCCCCTCCCCCCCCACCTGGGGATGTGCCTGCAACCAAGATACATGCCCTTGTCTGGAATTGAACCTGGGACCCTTTAGTCCGCAGGCTGACGCTCTATCCACTGAGCCAAACTGCTTTCGGCCACACTTCCGTTTTGTTAAATGAAAACATTGGTAGCTTGTGGAATCCTCAGAAGACCTGGTTTCTCGTCCTGGCTCCATCTCCACATGGCGTGAGACCTTGGCAACTCCTTGGGGCCTCCACTTCTGCTGACCTCAGCTGCTTAGTCTGGAACACGTTTGACAGTTTTCCTGCCAAAAGCTGCCGTTAGGATGAAGTGAAGCAGCAGAGAAGAAAGTGCTTTGAGTGTTAGCAGCACCGCAGGGGAGGAATGGGCCACTTTCAGGCGTCTGTTTAACTTTGTCTTCTCAGGGGAGCCTCGCCTGACTTCTCTCCGTAGGACCTAAGCCCTCGCCTGAGCCTCCCCAGCTCCTTCGCTGTTTTATTTTTCTCTGTGGCGCTGTCCACCTCCTCCAGGCCGTGCCTCTGGCTTTTATGCTTTGCATGTCCTGCCTTCCCTCTCCTGGACCCTAAGCTCTGTGAGGAGGGGACTTTTACCTGTTTTGTTCAGCGCTGCATCCCCCATGCTGAGAAAGGCACCTGGCAAATAGTAGTTGCTCAGTAAATACCAGATGAAGGAAGGCCTGGGTCATTGCGGCACTTCTGGTTTGTGCAGGGATGACCTGCCCTAGCGATTAGCTCCCAGAGAGACTGGCTTGTAAACCCAAATAGCATTTTGATTGTATGGGGACCAGGACTGGGGTCTTGGGTTAGTCGAGTCTTATGAGAAGAGATTTGTGGCTCCAGGGAGAGAGCTGAAGGGACAGCCACCTGGACCTCTGTGCTGAGTCTCACTCTGACCCCACAGCTGTCATCTTTCTTGGGTGGAGCACTCTCCTCCTCTAAGTCAGCCTGGGGGCATGCAGCAGCCCCACCTGCTGAACTTCCTGTTCCCCTACCCTGCTGGACTCTCACGGGGCTGAGGAGTCAGCTGCCTGCACCAGGCTGTAGAGGTCTGAGCTATTCTAGCAAATTATAAATGTGATCATTTAAGTGAAAACTCGTAGGTCATCCTTTTAAACATTAGTGAGGGGAATCTCAATACTATAGTGATTTGATTCCATGAACATTCATTTTATATATATATATATATATATATATATATATATATACACACACACACACACACACACACACACACACACACACAAACTGTCTTTTAATGGTCAGAAATTTTATCTTTCCTTTTCCTTCTTCAACTTATATTTCCATTCTACTTCTTTAATGAGGTTGTATCTCAGTGTTATATATTTTATGCTTGAAAATCTTTCCTTGATCAACCTATCATATTTACTAAAATTAAGATCCTATATAGATTGGAATGTATAAACATTTGTAGAGTTTCCTGTGATCATAAGAGTCCAAGTGTTAGAAAATTTCTTATAGGTTAAATTATCACAATTTTTTAATAATATACAGTTGATCAAAGCAACAACTTACATATTATACATTTCCAAAGGTAGTGGAAACACGGTTGAAAACAAATCTCTTAATGAGACGGCTGGGCTGCCCACCATTAACTCCCATATTCATGAATAACTGCCACCTGTGACCAGCAGAGCTGGTGCTCAGCCCTGGTTCTCTTCTGAAAAGCCTTATCTGAGTGAATAAAGAGCTGGGGATGAAAGGCGTTTGGTTGACCTACTGTCACTCAAACCTTTTGCTGAGACACAGGGATCTCACATTGAGATGACTTTAATCATGTCACTTGACAACTTAATCAGGTGTGACAGCTTTGTGGAGAGCAAAGAATGGCAGCCCATCTGACCTACAGGCGGGTTTTGAATGGCTTTTGTCTTCCGCCATGGAGACTGCTGGCCCCCAGGGGCAGGGTGCCCGCAGGCGGGGTGGCCTGCCCTCTGTGCAGGGGAGAAAGGCCTTTTGTGGAGGGGCTGGGGTGTGCCCCTTCTCTGACAGCGCCTTTGTAGCAAAGGGGGCCATTGGAAGTGGAGGGTCTGGAAGGTGACTCTCTTAGAAGTGTCCTTTCTCATGTATTCCGGGGTCCTCAGGCCCGGTTTGCAAGGAGCTCACCAGGCTTTGGCCCAGCCAAACCTTTCCATCAACATCTTGGATAAAGACAGCGATGGTGTGCCCCCCACGGGAGGTGGAAGCTGGGCTCAGGCTGCCAGCAGTGGTGGGCACATTTCATTCTTCCTTTCACTCTTTTACTTTCCCTTTCAGTAGTTTGAAACTTGTATTATTTATTTCTGAAGTCGATTATTTCACACTTTCCCAAGGGCAAAAACCAGCCTTTTCCTAATTCAGGAGAGCTTCTTGGGCCTGTGGACGCATGGAGGCCCTGTTCCCCTGCTGTCCGGGGCCAGCCCTGCTCCACCCGCTGCCCATCTCTCCTCCTCGGAATGTCGCCTCCAAGTCAGTGCTGGAAGCTTCACTGCAGCATTTTATTATTATTATTACTTCTTATATGAGTAGTGGAATATTCTACCAGCTCATTTTCTTTTTGTTTTTGAGAGGTTTGAGCCAATTTAAGACAGTTGGTACTAGTTCAAGGGCACCGCTTTTTCACTTGTCAATGTAAGTCTCTATTTTTAAAACATGGCGGTCAATAGAGCATGTTTCATTTGCAGCCCAAGAAAGCAGCTCTTCTTTTATTTTACTTTAAAACATTTAACATTTAGTTTCATTAATTTTTTTTAGTTGAAGTATAATTGACATATAACGCGTTAGTTTCAGGTGGACTCCACTACTTGTCTGGATTCAATATTTGTATGTATCGTGATGTTATCACCACAGTAAGCCTAACATCCATCACCACACCCGGTTACAAATGTTTTTTCTTGTAATGAGAATTTTAAAGATTTACCCTTCTAGCTATTTCAACTATGCAATTCAGTATTATTAACTCTAGTCACTGTTACGCCCAGACTTCGTGATCCCTAAGGACCACCAGGGAGCCGAGTCCGATGCAATAAACAAAAGAGCCTTCTCCATGCTAGCATGGGCTCCTCCCACTCACGCCGGCAGCATGGCGGAAGAGAGAGCGAATTTCGCCCAGTCCAGGGGTTTTACTCTGGTCGGTGGTGATGTCACTGCCTCAGCTAACCCTGATTGGTTGGGTGAGGGCTAGGGATAACTCCGCCCTGCGGGGCGGAGTCTGGAGCTCATCCTCGCCCCGCCCTGCCCTTTCAGTCACCATGCTGCATATTACATCCCAGGATTTATTTATTTTATAACTGAACGTTTGTCTCTTTTGACCCCCCCCCCCCTCCGCTTCCTTTCTCACAAATTTTGCTTACCTCCATCCTTTGCCTCGGGCAACCACCAGTTTGTTTTCTGTATCTGGGAGATTGTTTCAGCTTTTGTTCTTTAGATTCCTCACGTAAGTGAGTTCATATGGGATTTGTCTTAATGCCCTCTAGGTCCATTCACACATCACAAGATTTCCTTCTATTTACGACTGAATCATATTCTGTGGTATAGTCTACATGTGCCATATCTTCTTTACCCAGCCGTCTACCTGTGGACTCTTAGGCTGTTTCCAGATCTCCTAAATACTCACTCCATTCCTCCAGGGCAGTCTTCTGGCACTCAGGCCACTCTTTCTCTGGTGAATGAGGCCCAGTATCTGCTGGTAAACAGATCCAGTGTTTTGGAACTTCAGCGGCAATTAAGTGCCAGGTAAGAAAGATCCTCTTACTACTTGCTGTTTACTTCGGGAATAACATGGAGGTATAACCACTTGCCCTGCAGGTAGCCTGGCACCTACCTGGGGAGAGAGTTCCCAGAGTCAGTCCTGGAGCCCAGACTCTTCATGAGACCAGAGAAATCATAAGCCTTTAGGGAAGTCCTCAGGAATCGTTTTGTCTTTTGTCTTCTTCCAATATAGAACCAAAATATAAATAGGTTCACCTGGGCAGGTCCTAAAATCATTCTCTTTTGTCTTCCAGTGTCCTTCTTGATGCCCTCAAAATGCTTAGTAGAGAACCCCAAGTTTCATTTTTAAAATTGCATTATGCATTAATTTATTTTATTATTATTATTATTATTAATTTTTAAAAAATATATATATTTTATTGACTTTTTACAGAGAGAAAGAGAGAGGGGTAGAGAGTTAGAAACATCAGTGAGAGAGAATCATCCATCAGCTGCCTCCTGCAGACCCCCTCTACTGGGGATGTGTCTGCAACCAAGGTACATGCCCTTGACTAGAATTGAACCTGGGACCTTTCAGTCCACAGGCCAACACTCTATCCACTGAGCCAAACCAGTTTTGGCCCAAGTCTCATTTTTTTTTTTAGTCATTCCATGCCTTATCATTTGCTATCATGGAATTTCTACCAACTTGATCTAATTTCATTGCCCACCCTCCCACTGTCCCTGTACCCAAGGAGCCTTGCTCTACGTCCACAGTCCTCGGGAGGGAAAAGAAGTGGTTAGGAAGCGTTCACAGTTGTGATTGTAGATGTGACTTATTGATACCACCAGACAGAACTGGCAGCCCTGCCTGTCCACGCCTGCCCAGTGCTCTCCCAAGGGCCCTGGCAGCAGTGGGAGGTCAGCAGCAGGTCTCGGTTGGTCCAAGCCGCCTTGTTGTTTAGAGGAAATTGTTGTCCATCTAAGGTGATCAGACAATTAGGGGGAAATCACTGTGGTGAGAGAGCTGGACTGCTCCTTCCTAGTCCACGGAACAGAGTGAGGTGTGCACACGCCTGTCAGCACCTGAGCCGGAGCTCCTGCGCCTCCCACGTGCCACATACCCTCGGGCATCTGTGTGCACGCTTGCAGAAATACCCAAGTACAGCGTAGTAACTGCAACAAAGCTAGACTGTCTGAAGGATAGTCATTGGCAAAATCATACCACACTGTTCCCTTGCCGTGGCCTCCCTCACCCTCATGGGATCAGATGTGGGGCATGGCTGGTACTCGTTCACTGAGTTGTAGTTGCACTGAGTGGCCCCACTTTCCAGATCCCCGGAACGCTGGGGGAAGCAGGTTCTCAGTTTCCTGGGGTTCTGGGTATAGAAAGGCAGGAGGGGAGACAGGCCTGATTCCCACCAGGAGGGAACCATGTTCCCAACCAGCTGGTTTAGTGCCCGGGGGCGGGGGGGACAGGTGAGCAGAGGTAAGAGGAGCAGTCCCAGGGCTGATACCCGGGACGCTCCCGGGGGCCCTGGCTGGTGTGTCTCTGGCTGCTGCCATGTCCATGTGGACAGGGCAGCTTTCGGACATGACACTTCCCCTTTTATGAAGCACAGAAGGAAGGTTTATAGCCACGAGGGCAAATACACAATAAAAGGATTTTAGGATGGGCAAGTGCTAACCCTCTCATTGTGGATGAGAACACTGTGGTCCTCCTAGGTCCACCTGGGAGCTGTTTGGTTGGGAGCAAAGCTAGACTTGCTCACTGCTCCCAACATTCCCCACCCCCTCACTGTTGGAAGGGGACTGGGACACAGCCGTGGGCCCTTCCTCCCCCAGAGCCTTTCAATCCCATCTCCAGGGAAAACTCCCGTTACACCCAAGGGTTTCTCCCAACTTAATTAAAAAAATATTTTTGTTGAAGTACAACCAAGTACAAAATCCTAAGTCCACAGCTCAGTGAGCTTTACTGATGGGCATACCGTAGAAACACCCCAGGTCAAGTGGAGAGCATTTCTAGTGCCTCAGAAAGCTGCCTCTACCCCTCTCAGCCAGCCCCACTGAAGGCCACCGGTGCCCGGACTTCCCTGTTCTTAAACTCCGCACGATGGCTTACAGCAGTGCGCTTGCTTGCCAAGCTTTCAGAGGCTGTTTCAGTGCTCTTTCCCTTGAGGGAAGGGCGTGGGGAGGTGCAGGGAGCCATTTTACAGGGCCTCCTGGCAGTAAACAAAACCTTTGCATGAGAATTAGAAAAGTAGCCTATGCTAGCTAATTGCAAACAGAACAGGAGTCAGGAAATAAATATCAACCACGCTGCTTTACGATGTTTTAGTATTGCCAGAGTGTGATGTCTTGGTACGTAAGCTTGACACTCTTTCAATGCCGTATCCTGACTCGCCTTGCAGAACTGGTAATTTCTCAGTTCGTTTACTCAACCTCTGTTCACCTGGTTTCCAAAATCCTCCACGTCTGACACCGAGATCTACTCACTCTTTGCACCACATCCTGTGGGCCTCTCCCCGATGTGGGACCATATCCCCAGGGAGACCACTGAGATCTACCACGTCGGGGCCACTGGGCCTCACGGGAAAAGCGTGTTCTGGCCATCCAGGCCTCAGGCCAGAGCGCAGGTGATGAAGTCGGGTTTTGAGTGGTAGAATCACTAAGTTGCTACAACACCCTAAAATTCCACACACTCACCCCTCTCCCTTTTTGGCCTGTCTTCCACAGTGATGAGAACGGAAGGGAGGAATCGTTCCCGATGAGAGATCTCATCTCACGTTTCCGTGCCAATATTATCACCAGCGGAGCAAGTGCTTTTGAAGAAGAGAGATGGGAAGAGATTTCAATTGGCTCCTTGCATTTCCAGGTGAGTTCTGGGAAGTCCTGTCATCCTTCCTTAAGGGCTGCTCAGGGAGTCGGAATCCGAGGCCAGGATGGTGGCAGGTGGGAGGGTGTGTGACATCTGCGTTCCGCACTGCCCTTTGGAATGACCACCCTTTCTCCCCACCGGGGCGAGAGAGAATGTGCCCCATGCAGGGGATGGAGAGCTCAGTGCGAGCCTCTCCCCACATCCTCCACCCCCCGCCCCGCCCCGCCCCGCCGTCCTTAAGTCTAGGCTTAAATTCTTAGAATACTGTGACTCTGAGAAGCTCATCCTGCTGAACTCGGTGGGCTTTGGGCGTCTGAAGCTCGTGGAGGAGGACCTCCGATGGCTGGTGGGCCATCCGTGCAATGGCTGCTGCGCCTTCTCCCGGCGCTCCAGCTTCTGTCCTTGCTGGGAGGAGCTTGCAGTCAGAGGCAAAGCTACCGGATGCCCCCTCTCCCTAGGCTCCGGGAGCATAAGGTGCCACCCACCCCCACCGTCCCCCAGACCTGAGACATTCCCTCCTAACTGGCCACCAGCCTCTCCAGCTCATCAGCCTGTCCTCTGCCTGTCATACCCGCCTTCTCTCCACTCCCAGAACAAGCAAGCTCCCCGCCTCCCTCAGGGCCTTCGCCCAGGCGGTCCCCCTGCCTGGCGAGTTCTCTCAGCAGTGACTGCAGGGTCTCAGCTCAGAAGTTCCCTCCTGCAAAGGGTGTTCCTGACCCACCACGTGGCACAGCGCCCACTGATTCCTTCAGAGCACACAAGGCTGGGACCACGTCTGTGTTGTTCCCTACCATACGGCTAGGGCCTAGAACCCTGGCCCGAGTCACTGCTCAGTGATTGTGGAGGTACTGAAAGAGTCAGTGCTCAGTGATTGTGGAGGTGCTGAATGAGTCAGTGCTCAGTGATTGTAGAGGTGCTGAATGAGCCAGTGCTCAGTGATTGTGGAGGTGCTGAATGGTCAGGAAAGGTGAGGAACAAGGAGGGGCAGAGGGCTGGGTCATCCGCCCTCCATATGCCGGCTCTCCAGTAGGGCCTGAGGTCCCGTTAATAACAGCCATGTTAGCAGCCGGTTATATGAAGTTATCTCAGGACTTCTCATGTTATCGTCATGACAGTGTCCACGTCTGAGCATGACAGAGTGCCAGGCCTGTGCTCGGCTTCTCAGAAATAGTGTCTGGACTCCTCATCAAGTCCAGCTAAGGAGCTGGGTGGGGAATGAGGCCTGGCAAGGTCACGGTCTGTGAGCGCCCCAAGGCAAATACCGGACAGAACTCCATCTTGGCTCGCCTGGCCGCTGCCTGTGAGGCCTGGTGTCTTGACGTTGGTACCACGGCGAGGTGGCGTTTCCTCTGGCTTCATGCCCAGCAGCCAGAATTGGAGTGATAGGAAGAGGCCGATTTAGCTGAGTGTTTCTAATGTCAGTGCTCACTTTGTGCTTGCTTCATACCGTTCCTTTTCTTTTTTATTGATTTTCAGAGAGAAGAAGTGAGAGGGAGAGAGAGAGAGGAACATCAATGAGAGAGAAATAGCAGTTGGCTGCCTTCTGCATGCCCCCTACTCGGGATCAAGCCCACAACCCAGGCATGTGCCCTGACTGGGAATCAAACCAGCAACCTCCTGGTTCATGGGATGATGTTCAACCAACTGAATCATACCGGCCAGGCACCTTGGTACCTTTTCTGTGTGGAGTGAAAGAGCATCTTGCCACTGCTAACCTGCATTCTTTCTTTTTTTTAACGTTCACATTTATGGGGGATTTTTCTTTCTATAAAAGCAATTCGTGCTCATGGTGGACCATCCAGAATAGAAGTATGACCCCTGGTAAGAAGCTGTGTACTGTGTATTATGGAGTGTGTGTATGTGCACATATGTACATATATAAAGTACACACACACACACAAGAATACACATGTAATTTTGTTTCCTGCTTATTTCAGTTGTAAAAATAAACATTTCCTATTTTATTTAAAGCCCTTTATAGGTTAATTTTAAAAACCGTATAAGCCCAGCCAGTGTGGCCCAGTGGATTGAGCACTGTCCCATGCACCAAGAGGTCACTGATTTGATTCCTGGTCAGGCTTGGGCTGCGGGCTCAATCCCCAGTAGGAGGCATGCAGGAGGCAGCTGATCTATGTTTCTAACGCTCCCTCTGCCTTCCCCTCTCTAAAAAAAAATAAATAAATAAAAATAAAATCAATTACAAGATATTTAAAACACACACATACACAAAAAAACCCTGCATGATATGTCATGTTTGTGGTGTGGTTGGCTTAACCATCCTTCTCTACTGCCATATTTCCCCACGATAACCAATGTGAGGAATATTCTTGGATAGGAATCTGTGCTTATACTTCCGATTCCTTTCTTGGATGGAATTCCTAGTAGTGAAATTGCTGGGTTCTTTCAGAGACTCAGGGCGGGTCTGTGGCTATGCATTTCCCCCGGTTAGTCCTCCCTCAGTGAGTTCCTCTCTGCCGGAGGTGTCTCCAGCATTCCCCGGTAACCACCCGAGAGAGATTCACAACTGCTCTTGTTTCTCTGCAAAGCCCCGAAGCAGCAACCTTTCAGCTGAGACACAACTGCGGATTGACTCCCCAGGGGCACTAGGAAAGGGCGCCGCTTTCTGGCTCCTCACAGTTAGGAGTAGACTATCAAGCATCTCTCTGTGAGTCTGACATTGGCCCGGGGACGGCCTTTGACAACCCGAATCCTCTGGATCCAGAGTCATCCCTGCGGAGTCGGGGGTCTGGTCACTTTCACAGCCACGCTGTCTCTTCTGTCCTCGCCTCCCAGGTGTCGGGGCCTTGTCACAGGTGCCAGATGATCTGCATCGACCAGCAAACCGGGCAACGAAACCAAGATGTATTCCAAAAGCTTTCGGAGAGCCGAGAAAGAAAGGTAAGAAGGGTTGCAAAGCATGGCACCCCATTTTAAGATCTCGGTGTGTTATCTACTCCAGAACCATTTCCCTCGTAGCACGGAGTAGCTGTTAGAAGCAGAAAACATTCCGAGGCTGTTGGGCTACCATTAAGGTTCTGATGTCATCTGTGGCACCATCCTATCTACCATCCTATCTTCCCTTTCTGTCTGTATCTTCCCTTGTATGGGGCTCTCATTGTGTGTATTTTTAATACCCTCAAGTCATGTTGAAGAGATGTGGAGTATAAGTAAAAGTGAATAAGAGGAGTAATTCTATTTTTGAATTATTCTTTTCTTCACTGCAGAGTAAAATGACTTATGGTGTATACAGTAGCTGCATAGAAACAGGCAATACAATTCAGTGTACTAAGCTTGTAAGTCATCCTCTTGAGGGTTAAAATGACCGAGTGCTGTTGTTGTGAGGTCCAGATTATAAAAGCTAAACTTATTTATTTCCACTATTAGAACCTTTTGGTTGCAAAGAATTCCAGGAAGTCAAGACAGCTGTGAGGCTGCGCAGAGCAGTTCTTGAAAATTAACTGAAATAATGCAAATGTTGAATCCCCCTCCAGTCACACGTTGGCAGGTTAAGTCAGGGTAGAATGTTCTGCCCTGCTTCCCATGTTTCTCCAAGACCAGGGTTTGGTTTCACCGTATTTGATTAACACGATCTCCCTACAGACACGGGGTGGAAACGGTCTTCAGAGAGGTGCACGTGAGTGTTATACCAGCAGGTCTGTCTGCTCAGCTGAGGCCACTGTCTCAACGAGGGGCCTAGGGTCCTTGAGCCTGCCCCGTGTTGCCAGGAGAGGGGTGGGCACAAACACTATGACACATCAGGGCATCTTAGAATTCTCATGTGCACAAATCTTTTTTTTGGAATATTTTTAGATTTACAGAAAGATTACAAAGATCATGCAGAGAGTTCCTGTGAGCTCTTCGCCCACATGTGCACGAACCTTAAGAAATTCATTTGTTCCAGCCCCTCGTCCGGGGCCTGGAACATGGGGAGCAGGTGGCCCACTGAGGTTATCACAGGAATGACCAGGTCTGGAGGCACGCCGCCTATGCCAAAGGGTTCTTACTGGCTCACCGGCGCCGATGGCAGGCCTCGGGCAGACTGCATTTCGGACCTTCCATCTCTATTCTGGACAAGTTGGAGAATTTCACTGGCATCACATGTTCTCATGGGAAAGGCAGGGTGGGCAGGAAGGAGGAAACAGAATGGGCCCAGCCATGAAGAATATGGGCCGAAATCGGTGTGGCTCAGTGGATAGAGCATCGGCCTGCGGACTGTCAGTTCCCAGGTTTGATCCCAGTCAAGGGCATGTGCCTTGGTTGTGGGCATATCCCCAGTGCGGGGTGTGCAGGAGGTAGCTGATCGATGATTCTCTCTCATCGATGTTTCTAACTCTCTATCCCTCTTCCTCTCTGTAAAAAAAAAAATAAACAAAATATATATATATTTAAAAAAAAAAAAAGAATATGGGGTGACTTGGGAAAGGATCCTTTAGAATGAGGGCCTTTGATGTCTGCCATGAAGATTCCCCTGGTTTCCCAGGACATGTCTTTAATGATGTGACTTAATTTCAGCTGCACATTACTTACCCGGTGTTTTCAGCTGCTAAAATAGTCTCGCTGCCACTGTTTTGTCCACAGGTGAACTTCGGAGTGTACCTGATGCACGCGTCTTTGGATTCTTCCCCCTGTCTCCTGTCCGTGGGATCTCAGGTGATCCCTGTGTTGAAAGAAAATGTAGAACGCCATGATTTACCTGCTTCTGAGAAACATCAGAATGTTGTCTCCTAAGATTCCACCCTCCCCTCCCCAACCCCGGCCCCAGCTTAAATTAAAACTTCTCTTTTACAACGACCTCTCATTTTTACTAAGATCATCACGTGGCTCAGCAGAACCTGGTCTTTCCAATGAGGAGAGTGCTTTTCCTCTTGGAGGTGGATAGCGCTCTCTCTGGCTTCCCCCTTCCTCTCCCTTCTCACTCTCCCCCTGTGCACTGGCCCGGCCTGCTCAGGAGGACAGTTTCGAGGCCCCTGTACTCTCCAAGGGCAAATTTGGCAGAAATGCTGCACCCACCCCGATGGTAGTGAAAGTATGCGCTTTAATGAGCTTCGTTAGTGAGATGCTCACTGGGAATATTTAACCTCCTTCGTTTTGCCATTTCCCCACACTGTGACTTTGTCTTTAAAAATAATCTTTAGGTGCTCTTCAGTGTCCTTGTGTGGGGGAAGGCAGTCTAATTTTGAGGGAGTGAGAATATGCCCCCTCCCTTCCATGTGCACAGAGGAGGTGGGTCTTGCTCAGGGCTCCCAAGTGTGCCTGTGGCCCTGATCCTTAGCAGAGGTTCGGCCAGGGTATCCATGTGTTGAGCAAAGGCACAGGCCATTGACCCCTTCCTCTCGCTTCCTATCCCTGCCCACCGTCCCTCTCCCACTGTGAGTTGATGCACCAAGGACTCCTCGAGTCTGAAGTCACACTCATTGAGGGTGATGCTATTTGAGCAGTTGTGTTCCCCTCCACAAGCCACTGGACAATGTTGGTCCACTGACCCCAGAGTCTTCAGACCCCAGACAAGAGGAACTCTGGAGGGGAGGGAGTCTGTCTGTACACTGTGACCAGCGCTCCAGCTGTACGGGTAGTGAGGCTTCCTGTCCCATCCAGTTGCTCACAATGTCCTCCCTATATTGAGCTTGTTATCTGCCTCCCGGTGACTTCTGGCCATGGGTCTTCCCTGTGGTCCGGAGCAACCTTGAGTGAGACTGTACACATCCGCTCTGCGGGAGGCATGGAGTCCCTGAGAGAACCCTGCATCATTGGCCAGGACTTCAGCCCTTTCCACCCGCCCCCAACGCCCACAGCCTCTTCCTAAAGCCGGTGTCCCTGCATTTCTCTGCCGCCGGTCTTGCTAAGCCTGCTGTGTCTGATCTAATCAGAGCCCCGGGAATCAGGGGGTGTTATTTGTAGGAGCAGTGCCGTTCAGCTGTGAAAGGTGGGGTGTGGCTCTGCTTTCTGGGTGCTGGGCTGCAGCCTTGTGCTCTCACTGCCGTTGGCACGCAGGACTCCGTGTAAGGCCTCTGACCCTGGGGGATTTTGTGGTTAGTGAGAGGAGGCACTTGAGGTTAGGTGGGGATTTCATGATTTCAAACTTGATTAAATACTCAACCTCTTTCAAGACCCAGGGCTATTGCCTCCTGTACATGGGCCTGGCTTCACCAGTAAGCCGACTCAAGAACAATGTCGTTCATGGAGATTTCAGCTAGCAATGTATTTTCTGCATTCTGTGGGGCTCCCTTTCATGCATTTATAATTCCGTGTCCCTGCCTTGGCTCCCACTTCCTGAAGTTCGGCCTGACGTGCTTCTAAAAAATATGAAAATCAAGAGCCATGTCCCTTGAAACTATGTTTAAGACTGAATCTCAGTGCCACTGAGAGTCAGATTGCGTGTGTGCGTGCGTGTGTGTGTGTGTGTGTGTGTGTGTGTGTGTTACCAGACCCGGGTACAGGCAACATCACCCTCCATGGTCATTGAAGCTTGGGAGAGGTTTATCTTACAGTAAAGAGAGAGGTGGTGCTGACTTTTCCCCAGGGAGATGCAACCTCATCCCCTCCTCAGCCTTGTGGGATGGGGAAGGCAGGCGGCGCGTCCTTCCTCCTGTTGAATGAGGTCCACGCGTTTGCTTTCCATTCAAGATGTGCCAAACAGGATGCAGGGCTGCAGAATGGAAAGATCTCACTATAGGGACGACATGGAGGGAAAAGAGACCGACAAGCAGGTGTGAAACAGAGTGTGTCTAAGACGTGGCTCTCCTCTGATGATTATAGTTTGGGAAGCTTTCTGGGCACAACTGGAAACAACCTTCTGTTGTGCCTTTTCCCAATCCCCTTGTCCTGTGCTGGCAAAATTAGCTTTTATATGTCTCATCTTGCAAATACCCAAGTAAACGTCATCCTATATGAGCCAGTTATTGAGCATCTCTTAGCCTCATCTGAAAAGGGTACTTACTTCATAAAATTGCTTGAGAATTAAAAGACATGTTGAGTTTTAGCAGTGTAGCAAAATCATGCTTGAGTAAGCCACGTCTGCCGCCTGGTGGCAGTCTTAGGTAAGTGCAGTTTTTGTTCAAGAGGCAGAAAAACGGGATCAGATTGGTCAGCAAATCCGAAAGGGTGGCCAGTATTAGGGCACATCTCTTGCCTGGCTTCCCCAACAGACCAACTCTGAGCAATTGTCATTACTGATGTTGGTGTCCTTTAAAAGTTAGTTCCTGAGTCACTTCTTGGTCAGATTAATTTTCAACTTACATTGCATCAACCATTCTTTTGGGGGCCCCTATTTCTTCTTAGGATTTTCAAGAAACCTATGCTGCTTTGAATCAGCTGTTTTGCCAGGTATGCATTTCTGTCTCATTATCTCTCTTTGTCTTTTTAAGTCTTAAAATACAGTTCCTGGTCTCAGCTGCAGATCCAGGTTTTGTGGCTGTGAAGCTTATGCAATTTTAAAATCATCTTTAAGGAAAATAATACAAAATAAAAATTAGGAACAAAAAGGAAATGTTACTTAGCTGGGAAAAGAAAGGTCTTTGGAAGAGGTCTGTGCAAGTGAGAGGCCCTGACCCTAAGCTTTGTTCTTTTTGCAACGAATCCACTTTTGCCAGGTTTCTTGTTGCTCTCCTTTCTTATTCCTGCTTTTTTTTTTTTCCCCCAGTTTTCAGAATAAACCACATTTTGTTCACTTTCTAAAATAAACAGCCACACGAAGACCTGTCCTGGTCTTTTTTTTTTTTTTTTTTTTTTTTAAATATGTATTTTATTGATTTTTTTTTTTTTTTTTTTTTTTTTTTTTTTTTTTTTTTTTACAGAATGGAATGGAGAGGGATAGAGAGTTAGAAACATCAATGAGGGAGAAACATTGATCAGCTGCCTCCTGCACACCCTGCACTGGGGATGTGCCTGTAACCAAGGTACATGCCCTTGACCAGAATCGAACCTGGGACCCTTCAGTCCTCAGGCCAGATGCTCCATACTGGTTTCAGCTGTCCTGGCCTTTTATCTCCCACCTGTGGCTGGAAACTAATTGTTCCTACTCCATCTATATGCCCCTGAAAACAGCCACTCTTTAGCCTCTTTTCAGGCCTGGGGTGCAGCCGGGTCTGCTCTTAGGAGGATCATCCAGGAAGGCACACATAGGCCTTGGAAATAGAGGTCTTTTGGGCAGGGGGTTCTGTGGTCCCAGGGGCTTGGAGAACACGCTAAAGAGAGAGCAGGGTGGGTCCCAGGAGGGCATGAACTCTTGGCTCTCTGGGCTCCTGGCCCCTTAGAAGGGTAGGCAGAGCGAGGCCCTGATAGCACAAAGCAGAAGGCAGGACCCTCTTGCTTGGGCCAAGGGCAACACTAGTAAGAGCTTTTCTGGGTAAAGAGAACTACCACGGAGAGAAGCCCTAGAGATGCTCAAGGAAAAAGCCGTTTGCCCACTGGCTTCATCCACAGTGAAGCCCAGTAGGCAGTGTGCCTGTTACACCCTAGAGCTTCCAATCCGCTTTTAATGTAAATGAACGGCCAAGAACCACAGACAATTTGAGGATAACTTCTCCTACAAAAGGACAAAATTGAAAGAAAGAGGAAAAGAAGACTAGAGAAACAGAGCAATGAAATAAAAATGTAAAGGAAAATGTAATTAAAAATATCAGGAAAATGCTGGAAGCAAGAATAAGATGCCTTTTAACAAATCAGAGACCAAGGAAAAGCTATTGAAAATGAAAAACATGAATGCTGAAATTAAAAGTTCAGTAAAAGAGGAGAAACATGTAGTTGAAGAAATTTCTCAGAAATTATAACAACATCATAAGAACTTACCAGAGTGAAAAAGTTAAGAAAGTTAGAGGATCTGTTTAGTGGTCCAACATCCAAATAACAGGAGTTCCAGCAAGTAGAGAAAAATGTAGAGAGGAAATGATCCAAGATATGATCCCAGGACATCCCCACAAATCAAAGAACAGGATCTCTGGGTCAAAAACACCAATGGAATATCAACATGGTGAAGGAAAAGGAACTCATACCAGGGCACGTCAGCAGGAAATTTCAGTGTATTGCAAGTAACCAGAAGGTTCCAAATCCTGCAGAGAGAGGGGAAAGAAAAGTTACACAGAGTGAACAGTCACCATACCACAGGCCTTCTCCGTGCGAACACTGAAGCAGTGCCTCAGAATTCTGAGGGAAGGTAACTTCCCACTTAGAAGGATCTAGAAGGTGTATTACAGAATGCAAAGATGACGGCTTCAGTTCCTCACACCTGGGTACTCACGCCTCTTTGCAATGTGACTTTGCTTCCTCTTCCATCAGGAGGTGGAGCTTATTTCCCTGTTCCTTGATTCTAGTTTGGCCTTGACTTATTTTCACTAAAACAAAAGTGGCAAAGTGACAGAATAGACTGAGCCCAAGGCTCAAAGGAACCTGAAGCTTTAAAAAAAAAAAAAAAAAAAAAATATATATATATATATATATATATATATATATATATATATAATTGATTTTTTACAGAGAGGAAGAGAGAGGGATAGAGAGCTAGAAACATCGATGAGAGAGAAACATCAACCAGCTGCCTCTTGCACACCCCCTTCTGGGAATGTGCCCACAACCAAGGTACATGCCCTTGACCGGAATCGAACCTGGGACCTTTCAGTCCTCAGACTGACGCTCTATCCACTGAGCCAAACCGGTTTCAGCAGGAACCTGAAGCTTTTGCACTCCACTGTAAGAAGCCAGGTCTTCCTTACTGGATGAAAAGCCACAAGGAG